AAGAAGTCATGAAAATTCAAGAGGTGAAAAAAGAGGTTAGAAAAGGTGTTAGAAAACGTGTTAGATCTAACATTCTAACATAAACTTTATTTTTGGTGTAAATTTCATGATTTTCGAGAGTTTTAGACCATGTTAGAAAACAGGTGAGATCTAACATTCTAACATAAATTATATTTTTGCTGAATTCAGCAACAAAATGAACGAGGTCAGGATGTATGTAAATACCTTTGAATTCATTCATAACACCCTTAGTAAGCTCATAAAATGCTTGTTTTGAGGTCGAGCCACTTTTGGCTCCACCGTATTCTTTCAACCAAAACTCAAGAATTTCCTGCATGAATTTTGTATAAAACTAATTTTATTTTTTTATTTCGGGAAAATTCATGAAAATTCAAGAGGTTAGAAAACGTGTTAGAAAACGTGTTAGATCTAACATTCTAACATAAACTTTATTTTTGGTCATGGACTTCGTCCTCGCCGCTTTGCGTCTTTATGTTAAAATAAATGGTACCATTAATGATATCATGACTGTTCTCATTCATGTCTGATTTACATCTAATGAAAAAGTTTAGAAGAATTTTCTTATTCTTTCTGGCTTATTTTTGTCTTTCCAGTACTCCCGCTCTAATGGTCCCAGATGTGTTGACTTTGACTCTCTCAAGTTCTTAGATGGTATAACATCTTCAACGCCTCCTTCATATCTTACTTTATAAGTGTCATCGTTTATGTTGTAGCCAAGTATTTCAATAACCACTCCTCGCTTTGCTTCGTCAATAGTTTCAGCAAGTTTGCCATTACTACTTTCGACTAATTTATGACGAGGATAAAATGCTATGGAGTCGTCAGCAGCTTTTATAAGATATCCATTACCTTGCGTAGAGTCTACGATATAATAGTTTCTACTTAACCTTAAACGTTTCTTTGTCAACGGTTTGTCGTCAAGAACTACACGAACTTTTGTACCAGGAATGAGGGTAAATTGTGTTGAATTTCTGATATTTTGTGTTTGACTTCGTTTCTTTTGTATATACTTTTCTTCTTGTTGTTGTGTCATTGAATTTGGTGTATGTCCTGTTGTAGAATGTGTTGAGGAATTATATACTTCGAGAAAGTGTTTCATTGTTTCTTCGGTAAAGTCTCGCTCTTGGTTTAAATCTCTGAGAGTCCTTATGAAGCGTTTATGATGCCGAGTATGTTATGGTTATGGTCTTCAGTAGTGTAGTGAGTTATGTTATGCTTAATGAGAAAATCTGTGATTTCATTGCTGAGGTATGCACTGTCTTGGTCTGATGTTAAAGTACTTGGGCTATGTTCTGCTACAAACTTTTGTAAAACTCTTAACACTTCACGAGTTCCTTTATTTTTCATTGGATATGCATATGCTTTACGAGTGTTAACATTAATGAAGATGAGGAATGGTTTATGTCCTCCATTTCTGCTTTGAATGAGAGTGTCAAATTGGTATGCGTCAGGAGTGTTGGAGTAAATTGGTAAAAAGTAGTCGTAAGGGTTTATTTTTGTTTGATGTACAACATTTTTGTCAAAGAACCTTTTCACTTCAGCTCTGTTAGTAAATCCCCAACTCTTTGCAGCTTCATTGAATTTCTTAAAAGACCTCCATGGATGTTGTTCGAATACTTCTTTCAAGCTCATTTATGTAAAGTTAAAGATTTTATTCTAGGCTCAAGCGCGTTCATTGAACTCTATACCATGCAAATACAGTCATAAATGGTGGCATGTAATCTTCACCCGAGCCTGTTGGATTTGTTGTGAAAGTGTGTGAATGATTTCCTGCGGTTCCACAGAAAATACCTGCGCTTGAATCTACGGGGTCACTTGAAATATCATATCTATGCATTCCCTGTCTATCCGAACCTGCTGCAAGATTTGTATAACCTCTTTTTGTTATTGAATGTGAATGACTACCTGTTGTGTTTGTAGTTCCTGTATGAGTGTGCGGTGGAAGGTTTGCTTCTTTAATTTTCTTCGAACCTCCTGTTTGCTTTGAAGAGTTAGCACAGTATAAGAATTTGTCTACAATCTGCTGCCATGTACCAAAACCTAAAACTGTTGCTGGATTTGTTGAATTCATTGACGTATAAATAGAGCCTGTAGGATATAATGTTTGAAGTATTTCAGTCTTTAATGTTTGAAGCTCTGTTTTGTCAGCCTTTTTATCTAACATTGCGGGTAGTTCATGTGCTTCAAAGTTTCTGGCATGATCTTCGATATTCCTGCAACTCTTATCTAAATTGTTAAGAGTATCTTTTACGCTTGTACTTGGATTCTCTAAAGGTGCACTTGAACCAAGGTCAAAGTTCAATATTATGTCGTCTGCTCTAACAGTAGTGAAGGATTTATGTGTATGGTTCTTGTCAGCTTTCTTAATCTAAATTGTTGGTAGTTCATGTGCTTCAAAGTTTCTGGCATGACTTTCAATATTCCTGCAACTCTTATCTAAATTGTTAAGAGTATCTTTTACGCTTGTACTCGGATTCTCTAAAGTGCACTTGAACCAAGTCAAATTCAATATTACATCGTCTGCTAACAGTAGTAAGGATTTATGTGTATGATTTTTGTCGGCTTTACTATTTAATGTAGCTTGAAGTTCATTTATATCGGAGATTTGTTTATGAGATTTCAAACTTTGTTCGTTGCTTCAAGTTCAACTTTGTCAGCTTTACTTTTAATAGCATCTTCAAACGTTATTTTTGACTTAACTCTCAAAGTAAATCTTGTTCAACTAATACACCGTTAACATTGAAAGTAGAGGCATAAATTTCACCGGTATAACCAAATGCTTCTGTGCTTTAGCTACATCATACTGTACAGTACAGCTTATGTCATAACCTTTAGCACAATGTATTTATCTTCTTCTTTCATTAACATTTTTTGTCTTCGCTTCATCACTTCGTGTTAAATATCCATGTAGTCCGTTATAATCTGTTCGTCTGAAGTTATATAATGAACGTGGTTCTTGTCCGCTTTACTATTTAATGTAGCTTGAAGTTCATTTATATCGGAGATATTGTGTTTATGTTCTTTATCTGCTTTTTCGGCTAATTTCTCTTCTATCTCATTTATTTCAAGTTCATGCCTACCACCACCTCCCGAAGAAGTATTTTTCTTCAGCTCTTGAAGAACGTCCACTTCGCCATCTTTGGTGTCAATAATGAGACTTTGTGTTAAAACCTTTCCTGTCTTAATGGATGTTTGTAAAACTTCTTCTTCACCGTGTTCGGGGTCATGGTCGTCATCATATCTTGTGAAATCAGAGATGTTGTCATACATTAAGCATATCTGTCTCAAAAGTTCTGCTATTTGAAACTGGAACGAAAGATATACAGAACTTTCATCATCTCCTAAAGTGAAGTCTGCTTTCTTAAGTATTTCTTGAATGTATGCAATGAGAACAGAGTACCTTGGAAAATATTCGAACAATATTTCATTAGCTGTTGGTTTTGGTGGTTCTTCTGGAGTTTCTGTTGTTTCAGTTCCTTCTGTAGGTTCTGTTGGAGTTTCTGCATCTCTTGACTTCAATGCTCTTGCTCTCAAAGACCTAAATGTTAGAGCACCGGGTTTTACAAAGGACTTTATAAATGCTTTAATAGTTCCTGGTAAGTTATTGTTAGCATTAAGTAAGTTCCTTATGCTTCCATCATGTACGTCCATAGCACTATGTAAAAAATCTATACTTTTCTTGTAGTCAGCAATAGACTGACTGTGATTTTTTAAAGATTTGTCAATACCTTTAAGCCAATCTTCATGCATGTCTGATACTGAGCCAAGAATATCATTTGCTTCCTTTAGTGTATTTTGTGCTTGTCGTAAAGTATCCAATCCCGTACGTGCATTGTTTGCTATACGTCTTACAGTATCTATTTGACTCCTTGTTTCTTGCATCCAACCAGATAAAGTTTTAATAGTATCCGAACCATTTAAAATGAAGTTCAAAGCATTTTTAACGTCATCTAAAGCTTCTTCACCAAGTACTGCCCATATCTTTCCGATTTGGTATTGAAGAACTCCATAAGAAGCAGCTGTTAAACCAGTATTTATAAGGTTCCATATCCATGATTTAGCAGTTTTTCCATCCTTTCCATCTACACCATCCAAACCGTTCTCGCCTTGAGGTCCTTGTATTCCTTGTATTCCTTGTATTCCTTGTATTCCTTGTATTCCTTGTGGTCCTTGAGGTCCTTGAGGTCCGGTGTCACCCTTCTCTCCTTTCAGTTCATCTTTATGTTCGTTATAATATTCTAATGTCATAAGGTGTACATCATTACTGCTACCAGCAACGCCAAGAATTTGTTTCTCATTCATGACTAAATTCTTTAGGCATTTAATGTTGTCGTCAAATCGAAAGCTCTTTAACAATTCAATGAGAACATTTAATACTTTCACTAATGAGGCATCTACTGTTGAATTTATATATTGCACCGTTCCATCATTTATGATGGGAACCTTGCTTGTTGTAATGAATGGGTCATAAGTGTTAAAAGTATCGAAATCAATGACTTTTTTAGTTTTTCCATCGTCAATGACTAAATCATTGCCTTCAATGGTTAAAGTTGAGTTTTCGTTTACTAGTTCATGTGCTCTTCTTGCTTCATTTGTTTCATACGCATATGCAGCAATAGTCATATTTTAATGAGAATAAAATGTTGTTCTATTTGCAAAGTACAGACCCAAACGAATATGGAACAGTAAAGCTTCAAACAAACTTAGGTCTTCAGAATGAAGCACTTGCTTTCAGAGTTGTTGACTTCAATACTATCGCAACTTTTGTCATAACAGATGAAACAGATTTCATAGAGATTGAAATAGATGACAAAAGAAGTTTTATAACATTTCCTAACAGAGCAGAGTATAGAATAGATAAAATTGCTGGAGTCATAGATACTCTCATAAATGAAGAAACTATTGACAACATAGATGTCGAACTCTCTTCTGAGGGAACATTGAAGTTCAGTAGCAAGAAAGAGTTCAAGATAACACGAATGAGTCATAGAGTTCAACTTCTTTTAGGAGCATACCATATGACATTTCCTTTGAAAAGTGTTGACAAAACGATTGAGATGAAATCTGTTCCATACGTATGTTATGGCAATTGTTTATACATTGAGTCTAAAATAGCTAATGTCACAGGCATTTCAGGAGTTAATAGTAAAGGTTCAGTAGAGTATAAATCTTTCTGTTATGCAGTCAATTCAATGTTCATTCCAAATGTTCCTGTCATAGCAACTCATTTAGGTAAATGGGTTCGCATTAGTCCTCATAATTTGAAAGACATGCAATTCAGACTTGTTGACTTTCAAGGAGAGCCTGTAGAACTGAAGGCACCAGTGCGAATGACTGTTGAAGTTGACTTTTTAGAAAATATTAAATGCAACAGCTTACAAGAGAACTCAGAGCTAAAAATATAAAGTATGAATGTTATGTATTAGGTCATGAACTTTGGTTGTTGCTGTTTGATGAAACAAATGAGTTAGTTATGTCAGTCAAGAGAACAGAAAAATATTGTGTTAGTGAAAACTGCACCAAGTCAATAAGATTAGGTTTGCATTATGAAGATGAGTTCGATACTGTTGAAGAAGTTTTGGATAGATATAGGGTGTCCAAAGGTGTGTTTAGCACAAACCTGAATACTGCGAATAGAAATAAACAAGTTACATATATATAAAGTTTATTTAAATATAATCACCACTGGATTCAATCACGCGTTCGCAGCGATCGATCCAGGCTTGAAAGACACGCTTTAAATCATCATGAGAAAATTGCTCAAATTGCTCTCTTACAAAATTTTCAAGATCATCTGGACTCGCGAATTCGCGTCCTTCAGCTCTCTTTTTTAGCGTGCCGAATAAATAAAAGTCAGAGGGTGCAATATCAGGTGAATAAATTGGGTTTGGAACAACTTTGACATTGTTTTCCAACAAGTAATTCATTACCTTATGACTTTTGTGAACTCTTGAATTATCAAAATGAATTGCAAACTTTTGTTTTTGTTGTTTGGATTTCTCAAACTCATCAGAATTGATAATTTGAGTAAGAACATTGTCAATTAGATACTGAGCATTCATCGTATTAGGTTTTTGAAGAATATCAATTGCGATGATGCCATTCACGCCCCAAAAAACCGACAACATCATCATTGGTGTGTCAATTTTTTTCTTCGGGAATGTTTGCGGATTTTCATCCTTCGGGATCCACATGATTTTGGCTTCTGTTGCATATTGAAACCAAGACTCGTCCCCTGTTACTAAAAAGCGAAACTTCTTGGATTGATACGCACCCAATATAGAGAGGAGCTCTTTCGAAGATTGGACTCTAGATTTTTTTTGAACTGAATTAAGGTTGTGCGGAACCCAACGTGTATACGCTAGTTTGTAGTTCAAATAATTGTGCAGATAATAACTGACTGTTGTACGTGGTATCTTTGTCATCTCCTCTATCCTTCTGAGTGATGCTCTTGGGTCTTCATCTAGCGCTTGAAGAATTGCTTTGATTTTTCTTTGATCCGGCGATTTTTTGTCAATTTTTATGATGGGCGCCTTTTTGTTCATGAAGTGATACATCCTAACATGATACGTTACAGTGGAATAGCTAGGAGCATCCATACCGAAGCATTTTACCAATGTCTCGTAGATTTTTTTACAGTCTTTGCATTTTTTTGCAAGAGCGAGGATGTTTTCTTTATGATTCATTAAAAAAATGAAAAAAATCCCGCCAAAATTTCCCGCGAAACCGCCTCTTGTCTCAAAATTCATTTTATATCCCGGCATGGCGCCAAAATACAACATACTCATCATATACATATATTCATATTTTTTATTATATATTTATAATCAGCATATATCTCCTTTAATAGTCTCATATAGAGCGCTGTGCTAAACGCACCTTTGGACACCCTATATTACAAATTGCTTTAATTTACTAAAACATATTTCAAGCAAAGTTTATATTCTGTTGAAAGTTTTGTATATTCATTCGAATATTTATACTTAAACTCAACTCCTGTAGTTCCTGGTGTTTCAATGATGCGGATGTTACCTATTTTCATGAATAGTGGCGTTTGACCACAGCATTCGATTTCAGGGTCGAGATAGTCAATGACACATTGCTTTCCTGTTATTCGTGATATAACATTTTCAAGGTCCTCCTTTGTTAGAATTATTTGGTTCTTACTTATAAGATTTGTCAAAAGCTTCTTATCGTCTTTGAGTAAAATTGTTTGGTATAACTGAAGAAGGTAATGGTCTAAGTTATCTGAAGGATTTGTTTGAACATTTGTGTAAGGATTGTCGTTGGCTTCTCTTGAAAGAATTTGGTCCAGTGGTGGATACTCTAACTTAACATCTGATGTAGCGTTAGCGTTTGAAGCTGTGTTTAAATTCACCGACTTAAGTTCTGGTTCTTTTTCTTTCAAACACTCTGAACTATAGTTCTTTATGACAATATTGTTTGTCGTTCGTGAGTCAACATTTGATGTTGGTTCAATTGGAACATTAACGGCACCAGCTAAGATGGATTTGCTTCTCATTTCATATAGAATAAAAACCTTTTATATGTATGAAATGAACAATATACTCGACAAGGGTTTGAATGTAAAGCTAACGAATGAAAATATTGTTGAATTCACTGAGACAGGTGCTGTGTATAAAGATGTAGAACTACTGAACAAAAGAGCTAAGGGAAGAAGCAGAAACATGAACAAAGGGTGGAAGCCTATAAAAATTTATGTCAATGATGGCTCAGGAGGTTCAAACATAAAGTATGCAGAAAGTTATAGAGTTTATGCTCTCAAAGGTGAAAAGCCTTCATTTAAGAACAGCTATTCTAACGCATATCCTCAAAAGTTAACGGATGGAGAAGTGGATGATATGAATGACAGCAAAAATATTAACAGAAATGGCGACAGAGATGCATGGAATTTGTTTACCATCAGTCAATTGAAGGTTAAGCTTTAAAACAATGTTGGTCGTTCCCATGGAATATTTTTGACTTTAATGGTATTAGTCATGATATGAATCTCAAGGTATGAACGAGGAGAGATGAGAGACTTATATGCTTCCCAAATTTCTTCAAAAGGTAATGTTATACCTGACTGTTTCCAAATGAGTTCAATGTCATATCGTGAGAAACCTTGAAAGATAACGAAGTCAGTTATGAGACGTTTTATGTTTAAAGCAAGGAAACGCCATGTTTGCATAAGTATTGCTACAGTTAAGTGGTAATGTCTGACTTTAGTAATGATGTTAGCTAATGGTGAGTCTGGTTTTGAAACTAAACCTTTACCAGCGAAGTCGTCGCAAACGAGCAGAGTGTTTGAAGGATACTTTTTGAAGGGGTATTTTGAAAGTTTTGACAGAATGTAGTTTGTAAGTCGTTTCATATCGTAAACTCCTGAGTACTGACGTAAGTGGTGTTTGTCAATAATTCTTTCCATCTCCTCAGAAGTCTTTTGCATTCCTGACTGTATAAATTCAACGATGGCATAATATTTCCTCTTACGTCGAATGTAACGTTGAAGAAATTCAATGAGTTCACTGTCTGGAACTTTAACGACAGAGGCTTGAACTTTTGACATAAATGTTTTCGCTGTTGAGTCCATAGAGTCTGAAGTTGCTGATATAATGATTTGGTCATAATATGAGTCATTTCCTAAACGTTCTGTTATGAGTATATGACGAATGAGGTTAAATGTCTTACCTGAACCCATCTTTCCACAATAGAAATAAACACCATTTGAACAGAACTCATAGTCCTTACTGAAAGGAAGAATGAGAGAAGAGTTAAGTTTGTCTGTAGTTTCATTCATGTCTTCATCTACGTCATGTATTAAATGCTTCATTTTATCTCCATTAAAAATGCAAGTCAGAAATATTCAGAACATAGCACCGAGTCTAACTGACAAGAGTATAAAGATATACTATGAACACGTTATGATGAAACCAACCAAAATTCAAGAAAGTCAGTATACTTATGAATATCCAAGACACTGGGTAGAGTATGTAGGAGGTGAGAAAGCTATTGAAATCAGACAGGTTCGAAGTATTCCAGCAGGAAGGACAATATTATTGAAGAACTTTAATGTTTTGAGGTATAATGATGAAACAAAGAAGCAAGATAGTTTTCCTGTTGCTGTGTATGTGAACTTAGATACAGGAGATGACATGAAAGTTTTTAACACAAAGCTTCAAACGGTAGTGAGAGAACAACTGACTGCGGAAGGGCATCCATTACCTTCAGAAGTTACCATAGCATATAATTTTGAAACAAACTCAATAGATTTTAAAGTCGTCTCTGCAAAGAAGTCGGGTTTTACATTTAATGAAGCAGATGTCTATTCGAATGAAAACTTCAAAGCTATTGCATGGTTAGATAATGACGATTGCTTTAAGAAAATATTTAAATTCAGTGACTCAACGATGTCAATAGATTACCTTCGTGGAATGTTACCATCGACGTTTACAGTAGAAGGTTCAGCAGGATTGCTTACAAGATTGTCAATTGGTGGTATTTGGTCTCGTGAGAACATTGTTATAAAATCCAGTATAAGTGAATTTGCTGAAGAATCTATATTATGTCTTTCAAACTACATGTATTCGCCGCCGAAGCATTATAGTATAACAAACTTTGTCAGTAAGTTTAACATAAGACTTGTCGAACCTTCTTCAATGAAAGATGTTGTGCTACCCAAAGATGGAAAGGATGGACTCATTATTGAGATGATTTTAATAGCATATTAAATGAGCTTGTTCTTGAAGGTCATTCATGATGAAATAACTGTTGTAGAAGATGTTAGCAATTGTTCAGACATTTTATTGAGAATAGATGATATAAGAAAGAAGTTAGATAGACCGCAAAGTGGTGAGGGCGAAGCCCGTGAGAACGTTTATGCTTCATTGACTTTCTCCAGTAACGAGAACTTTTATGAGATAATATTGAAGAGAGATGATTTTAATATGGTGTAAATGGTAGCTTGGGCAGCTTTAGGCGCAATGGGAACAAAAGCATTAGCATTTGGAGCAAAAGCACTTGGAGCTTATGACGCAGTAAATAAAATGAGTGGAGGAAGGGTTTCGAAGACATTAGATGCAAATAAAGGGAAGATTGGAGGCTGGGTTGCAAAGAAGTTAAGATTAAATAAAATAGAGCTCATAAATAAAGCATCCAATTTAGTTGCGACTGAGTCAGAAAATGCTTTAGGAAAGGACGATGAGTTTGCAAAACACGCAAAAGACTTTAATGACCAGATGAAAGGTGAAACAATGCATTTAAATAGATTCGATGGAACTAAAGAAAATGTTTCTTCTCCACCAGTAGTTCTTCCGTATGGTCCCTATGGAATGTATGGAAACCCTTACGAAAGACCATTTGACCCATTGACTGGTGGAAGTAATTGGTATCATTACGGACGAAGAAGAAAGACAGTCAAGTTGGAGACAGACGTGAAGAAAGCAACTAAAAAGAAACCAAGGAAGAGAGTTATAAAGCAATGAGTTCAACAGGGTGAAAAAAGAGGTGAAAAAACAGGTGAGATCTCACCACTTCACCTAAATTTAAATGGATGTTTTCATACGTGTGAGGGTGGTGATATCATTTATTTTAAGTTTATTTTTTATTTTATTTTTTATTTTATTTTTATATAAATGACGAAAACTATTGAGATAACAAACTACAACGGTCATGAGTTCAAGAATTTGTTCTTCGTTCCTCGTGAAAATACATTCTATCAGATACGAGGGAGAAAGGGTAAAGTTAGTTTGAGCGTTTATGACTACAAGCATAATGGAAAGTTTATACAAGCATATGATACAAACGGTAAGCGTGTTTCATTAGCTTTGTCAAAACTTACAGGTATAAACTATGACAGTGATTTTGACCTATATGAAGAAGAAAGTGAGTCAGAAGATTATGAGCTGTTATATGAAGCACAGCAATGGGAGGAGTTGCAATACTTTTGTAAGTGAGAACGTTTATTTTTACAGTAGTGAAGTCGTTTGTGAAAACGTTAGTGAAGTGAAGTGGTTGGTGGCTTTGTAAATATTTAAGGTTAAGTTAGTGTTGTCGTTTGTGTTGTAAAATATACGTTAACGGTTTCGTAAAGTGTCAAAACAGCTAAGTGGTGTATGGAGGCGCGCAGTGCCGCCGTACCCTTGATATGTATACTAACTATCCTCTCCTATTTCTCTTATGTTTTTAAACTTATTTGACATACATGCAACGCGTGACTTCTGTGCATTCATTATTTTAGTCTTTGTGTAATTTTGTGTATTCATTGCATCGTAACCATATGATCCATTAAGTGAAATCTTGCAAAATAAACTTTTTCCTTTATTTCCTTCTAATTCAGCCTTTTGTCTTTCGTTCATAAATTCGTTCGCAAATTCATTAAAGCAAGTGTTTTTCGTAAATGTTAAAATTGATTGAATGTCATCAATGATAAAATGAAATCTGTCTATTAGATACCATAGATAATAAGAAGAAAATGGTTGATATTGGTTGTGTGTTGATGCTAACTGAGTTAATTTTCTCTGTTTCTGGTCAACTGGTAGATTGTTTGATTTCATGTAATTATGTAATGCATGAAAATTCGGTTCACTTCATTTTTGACACTTTACATATCGGATGTATTATCTAAGAATTATATTATAAAATAATAATTTTGTGTTTTATAAGTTTATTTGTATAAATTGATTCAAAAAAAATGGAAAGACAAGAAGTGGATCTGCCAAATGAAAATCAGATTTATAGTTTTAGAGAGTTACATACATGAAATATGAAAATTGAACTTTGTATAAGGAATTGTTGGCTATGATGTACTGATCATGAATCAGTACATCATAGCCAACAATTCCTTCGCAAACAGCGGGAAACTTTGTCTGAATAGTTTAACATTCAGACAAAGTTTCCCGCTGTCAGAGAGGGAATGGAAGGGTAAGAGGTATATATTCATAATGTATACCTCTTACCCTTTCATTCCCTCGAGAAAGTTCAAAAACTTGGGTGCAATCAGTTCTGATTGCACCCAAGTTTTTGAACTTTGTATAAGGAATTGTTGACTATGATGTACTGATCATGAATCAGTACATCATAGCCAACAATTCCTTCGCAAACAACCCGAAATTTGTCTGATTCCACACTAATTTTATTAATTTATCTAAACTTTTATCCTCGTCTACAATTTAATCATCAATAATTATCTCTTGTTCTATTTCACTATTATATATATATATATTTATATGATTTGATTTAAAAAAAATAAATAAATAAATTAATAAATCATTTACTCAAATATATCAAAAGTTTTATTTTTATATATAAAGATAACTACTTTTAAAAAAAAATACCCTATATATTTTTGCCATGTAAACTATTTTTGCCATGTAAACTTGTCACTTTTGTCAGAAGTGAAGTGAACCGAATTTTCATGCACAACAGATTTCATGTAATTATACATAAAACTACCAATTGTTTTTTCATCTGTGATAATATCTAAGTTTCTTATTATCGGTAAAAAGTTTATGTAATCATTAATGTATTTTTCATCAATGTGACCCTTTACTTCAGCCACGAATAAAGTATTTTTCTTTCTAATAATTCCCAGTGCTTTTGCTTTCTTTGTTGCTATATCACAAATGATAACACCATTCAATCTTCCCGGCATATACATTTTATGGTCAGTATATTGAATGAAATCATGAGGATTAGATGAAAATGATGAAGGATATAATGAATTAAAGTCAACTCCAACGAAATGAGTCATAATGTTGGTGGTGTCCTCATTTGATACAGTTTTAGTTTCTGGATTATATGAAAGTTTATTAATGTGCGTGATTCCTTTAAGATTAACACGATGTTGAACATTTGATAGACCACCAGTAATTCCATTACGGAGAATGTGATAAGCTTCAACTGAATCTAAAGTCATTGGTAAATTATTTTTTAATGCATAATTTCTTAAATTGATTCTTAAACGTTGAACATCTTCATCTTTATTTGATTTTACGACATTGCAATAACAACACATTAACTGACAATTTTCTTTGGTATGTGGTTTTTCATTATCGATTCTATCCAATGTTGGTTTATTTACATATGTAAACGCTTTACCACACATTTTGCATTTAGATGAAAGGATTAAATTGTGATAGTATTGATAGTCATCCATTGAAACATTGTTTTTGGTATCTCTTTTCGCCTTTTCATCTTGTTTCTTATATGAATCAATTTTATATTTCCAATACTTTTTTGTTAATTCAAAACTTGATTCCACATTTTCTTCTTCTGGATATGTTTCGTTAGGATTGAAGTTCTTATATGCTAACGCGTAACGAATCATTGATGCATTCGATGATAAAGAAAGATTATGAAGCATGTCAATTTTATAAACAAATATTTCTTCGATAATTTTATCAATTGGGTCAATCATAATTTCAACGTCTTTATTGCAATAATGAATAAAATATTCTAATCTATTCTCAAAATTTTTAGCATCATTGAGATATATTTGATAATCTGAATCGGATATTGTTTCTTGTGTTAATGCTGAATAAAATGAATCTTGAGTGAATGGTTCCTTTTTATATAATTCATCTTCGTAATTCTCCCATGTGATGAATTGATAAGGGAAAAAGGATTTAACACGTGATTTATTGTTTCCGAAATCTTGAGTGAATTGGTCTAATGTTCCACCCGCTATATAATTTCTGATGTCAATAAATCTTTAATTCATATGGACAGTTTGTTTTCTTTACTATGACTTGCTTAAATTGAGAAGAAGAAACCCAGCATTGATTTTATCTTCCATTTTGCAGTATTTAAATCACGAAGAATTAAATTTAAATCAAACTTTCCTGAATTAAAACCAATGATATTCACTTTATTAAATTCTTCATCTAAAAGCTCTTTCATTGCTTCCTTTTGTTTTTCATTTAATGTATTCATTAATTCTTCATATTGTTCAATATTTGATTTAGCAACTAATGAACATGTTGAAAATAAAAATTCAATCCAATCAGAGATGAACGAATCACTTGATGTTAAGCAAAAATTCCTCGTAAATGTTTTATCACGGTCTACGACCTCGCCGCTTTGCGGCTTTATTTGACAGTTGATGATACCATAAATGGTTTTAAGTAAGCGTTCAAAGTTGCACATTCAGAAAGTTGAAGTTCTTCTTTAGTCTCTAATGTTTCGAAGTCAAAAGTAATATAATATCTTGTTGGTTTATAATATTCCTGCAAATTATGTGCTAATAGCCATTGATATATCTTCTGTTTCGTGATATGTGGTGCATATGGTTGTTGTGTTTTGCAATTGAACGTCTTGAATTAATCTTCCATTATTTTCTTTACATTTCTCACAATGTTTTAAAAATCTTCTTTGGTTTTTCCTTTCTGGATCATCACGGATAGAATATACTTCTTCTTTGCAAAAGGGGCAAACTTTATATCCTGTGAGTGCTTCAACGTCTGTAATTCTGTCAGCGTGAAGTTTTCCACATGGACTCTGTGTTAATAAAATATTTACTGTTTCAAATTCTGGATCTATCATTATTGATTCCACTAATGGAAAGTCTACCTTATTTATGTCCACGTCTTCTGGTTGAGGATCACAATAATAAAAATCAATATTAACGTTTAACATTCTTGCTAACCTCTCACTTTCTGATGAAATGTCAAATCCTTCATATGCATCTATGGCTTCATTTAAATAACTTCTACGAGTTTTAGGATTAACACCATCAGGAATGTTATAGAAGCGTTTAAATAACCTTCTACCTTCGGCTCTTATTTGATTATCATTCATTTTAGCTGTTCCGTTTTTGTTCATTTATGTAAGAATAAAAATTAAAAAAATAAATAAAAATAAAGTTTATTTTTTTTAAAGTCCAGGGCTAAAGTCCATAAAATGAATTAAGAACACATAAATTTTTATCATCTGCGACGTGACGAATACATTTTAATTTACTCAAGAATGCGTACCCTGATACATTAAATCTAATTCCTGTCTTATTTAATTTCACAACTTTGAAAAGGAATGTATGAATAGCTATAAATGATGAGAAGATTTTTATGGGTTGCTTCCATTTTTTCTGAAATAAATGAATAAATATAATGTTTATAAGTTTTCATATCTTTTATGTTCTTAATAACGAATGGTATAGACCTTTCAACTTCGTCTTCCTTCGGTGCTGTTCTTTCATATGAAACATTATTGGTATCTTCAATAATGAAACCACAATCGCATAAAATTTTATAGGTTCCAATTGTTTCTTTTGATATTTTATCTAACAAATCAAAAACTTTATCAACACCTGTACATTTATTTAAATAATAATTTGTGTAAATATCATGGTCTTCTTTCTTAATCGTATTTGTTGCATATGTTACATTTTTCAGTGCTTTTTTGAATTTTTCAGAATCAAGAGGAGGTGAAAGTAATATACATGGATAATCTCCATCGTCAATAAACTGAAGCTTATGTTTATGAATAAATTTTGTGCCTTCTTCTGAAAGTGTTTCGTCAATATCACCATCTAATAAATTTTTAGTAGATTCCAAAAAGTAATTTTTATATCTTTCCTCATGTGATTTTTGAACTTCTGATTCTGAAGCTGGGATATTCATTAAACCCTCTACTTCATTCTCAGCATTTCTCAATTCACTAATTCTTTCATCTATTTCATTTCTTAATTGTTCCAATTTCTCAATCTCATCGTTATAATATTCATCTTGTTTAATTTTTTCTTCAAAATATTCAGGAGGTGTTTCAAGGCTCTCTGAACCCAGGTCCTCTGGACCATAAAGAGGAATATTCTCCTGTTTTTCAACTTTTTTGGGATATAAATATCTCATTATAGCCTTTTTAGTAATTGGTCCGTTATATTTAAATTCATTCAACAATCTGGAAAACTCTTTCACATTCTGCATATATGTTGGATAAGAACCGTCTCCAAAAGAGAAAGGGACAGACTAGCCCATTGTCACTTTTTAATTTAGCAAATGAACGCTTATGGAGTGGAGTTTTTGGGTAAATCTGATTTGCTTATAAATGAAATAAAATCAAAAGAAACCATATTGGCATTATATTATGCAAAAATAAATGATCTTACTTAGTACTTTTAAAGTTAATTTCAGAAAAAATTTGACACAATGGTATCCGGCACATACAAGTGGTGTACAACCAAAATATAAGTTAGTTTAAACATATATTGCTATATCTCATGATCTTACTTAGTACTTTTAAAGTTAATTTCAGAAAAAATTTGACACAATGGTATCCGGCACATACAAGTGGTGTACAACCAAAATATAAGTTGGTTTAAACATATATTGCTATATCTCATGATCTTACTTAGTACTTTTAAAGTTAATTTCAGAAAAAATTTGACACAATGGTATCCGGCACATACAAGTGGTGTACAACCAAAATATAAGTTAGTTTAAACATATATTGCTATATCTCATGATCTTACTTAGTACTTTTAAAGTTAATTTCAGAAAAAATTTGACACAATGGTATCCGGCACATACAAGTGGTGTACAACCAAATCTTCGACTCGATGAACTTGTCATCGAGTTATATTCCAGTGTTGTTCCTTCATTCCTGATTAAGTTGCAAATTAAAGGTCTGGATTCAGAGAGAAGTGTTAAAGTTATCAAAAAAGTCACAAGAGATTTCGAAGAAATGACACAATTTAAAAAAGTCGAATGCATCAGTATGCTTGAAGCTGTTCAGAAAGGTCTGAAAAATGATACACTTGATCCCAACATTGTTTACTCAACATTAAAAATATTATTGCAAAGAAAACATTTGATTTAATAAACATTTAATTTATTATAATTAATTTTTTATTACAGTATAGTAAAAAATGCTATAAATAAATTATTATATTTTATTAAAATGTGACTTTTAATAGTAAGTGAATAAAATAAATCAGGAATTGGGAAAGAAATAAGGTTAATTAAAAATAATGAAAATTACAAGTTTAAGGTTAATGAAAAAGTGACAATGGGCGAGTTTGTCCCCCACTCGTCTCCAAAATTTTCTAAAATATTTTCTAATTCTGAATTAGTGAACTTTAAAGATTTCAATGAATTAGTTGTTATACTCATTTATTATAAAATAAAAAATAAAAAAAATAAATTTAACTTAGTTTTAATTTTACGTAAGAAGTTAATTTTTTATAAAAAAAAAAAAAAAAAAAAAAAAAAAAGGTAGTGGGGCTTCCAGGCACTTCGTGCCCTCTAGCCCCGAAGATGTTTAGTATAAATGAAGTTTTTATTCGGAAAATTGTTAGTCTTCTGGTGTGAATTCGGAGGACTCTTCTTCTTCCTCCATTGCTTCTGGGAAGAAGCCTTCTTCTGGGTCGAAAACATTATATAATGTTTCACTTTTCACAAATTATATATGTTTTCATGCTTTGTCACTTTTCTGTCACTTTTCGGGTAAAAACATTTTTATTATTATATATAAATGAATTTTACAAAACCTCCGTTACCGTTCTTTGGAAATAAGAGTAAATGTAAAGATATTATATTGAGAGAACTTAAGAAACTACCGAATGGTCTAACATTTGTAGATTTGTTCGGTGGAAGTTTCTATATATCCCATTTGTGCCATACAATATTCCCAGACTCAAAGATTATATGCAATGACTTCGACAACTATATGGACCGTCTCAAACATATACCAGACACAAACAATATATTGAAAGCGTTAAAAGAAAAGATACCTATAGGTAAGATGGAACGTATACCATTAGATAAGAAAAATATTTGTGAGAAGGTTTTGAAAAAGCAGAATATATAGACTGGGATAGTATATCTGCTAGACTATTATATAGTGGTGCTATAAGAGTTCATGACATTGAAACACTTATGTCAAAAGTTTTATATCTTAACTATACAAATGTTTTCAAAGAGAACATAGAAAAATATATTGAGGGTATAGAGTTTGTGAGATGTCATTGGACAGAGTTGTATGAAAAATATAAAGACAAGGAAAATGTTTTCTTTATAGTGGACCCGCCGTTCTATAACACATGGGATTTTCAATACCAAGTAGACTGGACTTTGAGAGACTCTTTAGAAACTTTAGACGTTTTACATAACCATCCATGCTTTTACTTTACATCCGATAAAAGTGGTTTGGAAAGTGTCATGAGATGGTTAGAGGACATACATGACTATGAGTTTAGATATGACAAGATAGAATATGAGAGAGGTCCTATAAACTGGAGAAAGTGTCATAACAAAGAAATTTTACTAGTAAGTAAATGTGGTTTGAAATAGGACTACTTGTTTTAGGTTTTTTCCATTGTGTCATTTACTTATTTGACGTGGCAGAAAGATATAGAGAATATGAAGATGAACCAATGCCTGCAAATGTTCAGCATATGTACTCGTAAGAGATATTTTTATCTAATATTAAATGGACGCACAGAACTTAGCGAATGCACAGCAACCTGGACAACCAAACCCAGAGAATATTCCAAATGAAGTTAGAATACAAACTGCAATGGCAAACTATGGTCAAGTGCCAACAGATGTACAAATGCAAACTGCCATGTCAAATGACGCTGCGTTAGGTTTGCCACCATGGTATGCAAATATGAGATGGAAAGAGTTTTATACAAACCCTGAAGTGGGATATAAACAACTTTATGCAGATGACGCGAACACAGGAGTTGACCCAGAATATGTTTTCTACCAGAGGAGAAACAGAATGTATGAGCTCCAGTTAAAGAATGCTATGGAACTCAACAGGAAACGTAAGAGACTAGGCGGACATTAGATTTTTACATATAGTAAAATGGGTTTCTTCAGTAAGATAGGAAACTTCTTTCGAAATGTTGGAAGAGGTATATGGAATGGAATAAAAACCGTCGGAAGAGGAATTTGGAACGGTGTCAAAAATATTGGTAAAAGAGTAGGTCAGTTCGTTGGTATTATACCTAAAGACCCTGAACCAGAAGAACAAGCTCCTGTTATACAACAGCCTGAACCTGCACCACAGTCTAGTTGGCAACCAAATCCAACACCTCAACCGTATTAAAAAATTATATTTTTACCGTTCGATAGTAGTTGTATATGAAACTAAGTTCTAAGTAAAACGCATGGTATAATGGAATTATTCTTTTTCTTCCATCTGTAGTAAACCATACTTGAAAGTCTGAAATACTTCCACTTGGTGGTTCGTATAACTTTGTAGGTTTTTCGTAAAAGTCATTTGCCAAGCATAAGAAAGAGTTTTGGGCGCCAGAAAATGAAGCATGAACAATAATAGCAGCTGGGTCGAAAACATCTTTAAATAAATATGGTTCATCTCTTGCATATCGACTGTAAATATTTGCTAAAGGAAGTTCGACTTTCTGATTTAACATTCTTTGCAAATAATACCATGACATTGCAGTGAATTCTGTATATATTTGTTCGTCTTTCTTTGGATTGTCTTCGTAGATTTGAAATGACACTTGTGAATTTTGTTTGTCATATACAATTCTCACATAAAGTGTGCTCTCGGTATTTGCATATTCATCAGCATATTTTGCATAACATGAATTTATTTTATCTTCTATATTTTTTAACGCAGTCTGTAGAGAAGATGAAAGGTCAACTTGTATTAGCTCAATTTCTTCCCACATTTTTCGTTTCCCTTCAGATATATAATCTATATGAAACCTTACAATAAATGGAAAACTTTTATCTTCTACAGACACAAACTTCATTCTACGAAAGCCAATAGCTTTTGTGACAGATGGGTCTCTTAGCCATCTTAATGGGTAGTCAAAACGATAGCCTTCATGCTTTACGGTCTCTGTCTCAAACTTTTGACCGACATTAGTAAAAAGTTCATCTAATGGTTTAGTTGTAGCAACTCTTGAATTTTCTTTTTCTATTGGAAGCATATTTTATCTAGAATAAAAATGTCGAAAGAAACAGCGTCTATGAGAGAAATACAACACAACCGACAACTCATTTTGCAAGCTCTAAATAAGAACACAACAAACTTTTCAAACTATTCTAAGATATCTGAGTCATTGAAAGAAGGAAACTTAAAACTGACGATAAACCCAATGACAGACGAGTTTCTGTTTCAAGACAACAAGAACCATACTGTTTGTATAAATCCAACAAAAAGAACTTTAAACGAGAAACCTATAGATGAACTTCTTTTGAAAGCAGATATTGACAACAAAGCTGACAAAGAGTATGTCATTGAAAAAGTTCAAGAAGAACATGACAGAGCAGATGCAACATATGCAACAAAAGAGGATGTTGAAAAGAAAGCTGACAAAGAGTATGTTGACGATGAGTTAGCACGTATGGCTAGTGGGTTAGTGAAGAAGGCAGATAAGGAATATGTGGATGAAAAAGACAATGAAATTATAAAAAGGGTTGAATGGTACCATGAACGGACATCGAAGATTTTAGAAGGTAAAGCCAATACAGGGTGGGTTTCAGGATGTTTAGACCTTAAAGCCGACAAAGAAACTGTAGATATGTTGACACAAACGGTTTCAAGTCATACCAGAGGTTTAATGGAAGATGGACAACAGTTGAAAGAGCTTGAGAAAGGTGTTACAGAGTTAAGGAATACAAAAGCAGACTCGACATGGATAGCTGGATATGTAGATGCAACAAAAGAGTATATTTTCAGATGGACAGAAGGAACATACGCACAAAAATATCATAGACATAGCATCTCTGACGTAAATGAACTTGAAGAAAAGTTATATAAGAAAGCAGACAAAACAGAGCTTCAAACGTTAAAGACTGAAATACTTCAAACACTATATCCTATAGGTTCTATTTACACGTCAATGAACTCTACCAGACCAGAAGTAGTACTTGGTCTCGGAACTTGGACTCAAATAGTCGACAGGTTTTTGTATTGTGCAAACTCTTCAAAGGAAACAGGTGGAAGTAAAACGATTTCAGGTGAAAACCTACCTGCACACAGTCACTACATAAATTTAACTACAGCTGAAGCAGGTTGGCATAAGCATAGATATTGGGATTGGACAGGAATGACAAAAGGTAAAGGATATGATGTTAAAGACGACGTTAAGTTTGCTATAAATTGTTACTGGGATGACACTCAGGGAGGAGGAAGCCATACACATCGCATTACAGGATATTCGGAAACAACGGGACAGAGTAAAGACTACATGCCACCTTACATGACAGTTTACGCATGGTATAGAATTGCTTAGTCGTCATTTTCAACTTCTTTAGCATATTCGTCAGGAGTTGTCTTATATTTGTTAGGAACTGTCTTTGAAAGTATACCACCTTGAACTTTGACAAGTTTGAAACGAGGTCTGACAATAGTAGTTTTATCTTCTGCTTGCAGTGTGTACATTTTGCCATGTTTGCCTAAAACTTCATAATATTCTCTTGTATACTTTCTTCTATTTTTACGAACACGAATGCGAGTACCTGTCGAGTTCCCATTGTTGTCATAGTCAATAGTATTTTCATATGGGTCGCGTTTAGGTATTTCTATTTTTACTTTGTCACCTTTCTTAAGTTTGAAGCCTGGCATTCTTTCTTGTTTGTCTCTTTTGACTAAACTATTAAATATATAGTCTTTCTCTAAGTCGGGTTGTTTTTCATTTCTTCGGGGGAGTGGTTTCCCAAACCTTTTTGTTTACGGCTATTGTAAATATTTAAAACTTGTCTCATCTTTGCCATGGAGAAATGTCTATACTTGTCGTCATATGACATTTCATCTACCTCACCACCTTGTGGTTGGTTTAAGTCTCTTAAGATTTTTTACAACTGTCAATGACACCAAGAGCAGAATGGTTTTGGTCGACAATGAAATATTGGTTTACATTTTTTGAACGCAGATAGTTTTTAATATCGTCTGATTTGAAAGAACTTCACAGTCAGATGTCAGTTTTGTTGGATGGTATTTGTCAACGAATATTGTCAAAGCAGTTTTCACATCTAAAATATTTTTGGACTGTAATGGTATGGCTTCACAGTATCTTGTGTTTTGACCAACAAATATTAGCCAGTATGGTGGTCCATCTTCTCTATACCTCGGAATGTTTTCCAAGATATCCATAAACCAAGCATTTGGTGTTGAACTAAAGATTTTTACCATGAGTGCTTTCTTTGTTGCTTAGAAACATAGGGGTCCTTGTTTGATTCGTCATTTTTAACCCATAAGAAATGGGTTTATTTGGCGCATTAGCAGGAGTTGCATCCAGATTTTTGCCCGCAGTGGGAACAATAGCCAGAGGTGTATTTGGAGTTGGAAGGAAGATTTTGAGTACATTAGGTATACTTAAAGAGAAAGCACAACCTATTATACAAACTGTACAGAAAGGTTGGGAGGTAGCACGAGATGCAGCAAATCTTATTCCAAATCCTGAAACAAGAGGAAAAGTTCAAGGATGGATGGACAATGTAGGAAGACAAGCAGGAAACTATTATAACAAAGCAAATGACTACTATAACCAAGCAGGACACTATATGGACCAAGGTGAAAGATTCTTTAACAGAGGATATAACCATGCACAACAATGGGTAAACAATAACCAACCTCAACCGCCTCAAACTTGGGGAATGTAAATTTTTTACTGAGATGAAATGAACAATACAGCATTGAGACAAATGGGTTCAAGATGGATTTGTCGGCTTCCAGCAGTTACACACCACGTGTTTGTCAAGTCTCCTATACCTCAGAAGTTTTAGACCGACTTAAAAAACCTAAACAACCAGTTGAAAACAAACCAAACTAAAATTTTTTACTGAGATGAAATGACCGAAGAAGTTGAAACCGTAGATTTGACACCACAAACAAAAAGTTCAGAACCATTGTCAAAACCTGTCAAAGAACTTACAGATGAAGAGAAAAATTCAATAATAGAAAGTGCCAGGTCTGGAAATACAAACCCTAACTACAAAGTCACTTTTCATAGAAATGGAACGGCTAGTATCTCAAAAAAGAAACAGACTCTCACAAATAAAATATTGAAGTCTGAAGGAGCTTTCGAGACAACAGATGGAAAAGTTTACTTCACTGACCAACAGTTCATTATAGAACATCTCATTGACTTAGAGTCGAAATATTCTAAACTTTACAAACAAAACAAAAAGTTGAAAGGAAAACAAAAACAAATGGCATATGATATTTATGAAGATGTTGACGACACAACTGTTCCTGCAGGTGAGGTAAAGTCAGAGGAACCGAAAAGTGACGAAAAACCGATAGAAGAAGAGAAACCAAAAACTGAAGATAAACCAAAACCAAAGTTTAGTTTCCAAACTAAACCAAGTCAACCTTCATTAGCTGGTATGGGTTGGCGTCAAAGACTTATGGCAGCAGGCGGTTACGTAAAGTAAAGAAAAAACATTTTTTTATTTTTATAAAAATGCCCCCATATAGAATGGATAGAAAATCTGCTAGAATAAAAGCAGAGTTAGAAAGATATGGTTGGAAAGTTTCGAAGAATTTTAAATATAGGAAGGGAAGACCCATAAAAGTCTATGACAAACTGGCTGGTCTTCGCTATGAAATGGACTTAGAAACAGCACGCGCAAACTATCCAAACAGATTAGAGAGGTTAGAAGAAGAACGTCTTATGGACATACCTTTCGATGTTACTGAGCCTCAAGTTGAAGGACACGACGGCTTTGCCAGATTCTACTGGAAACATGACGAACAATTGCATCCTTTGAGAAGGAAAAAAGGTAGTGCAGAGGATGGTCATGCTCCCATGGAAAGAACAAGATATGCATATGAAAAGTACCGTGAAGTTAGAAGTCAAATTACATCTGGTCGAACCTTTACAGTAAACTTTGACGAAGGAAAGAACAAAGAAGGCTTCATGGGTGTACTTGCTGCCATACAAGACGGAAATAAGAAAGGATACAATCTCAGACTAACCGTAACAGATTTGGACGGTCATATATACTATGCACATGGCAATGTCACAACAGCCGCACAACTTCTTGACGCTTTCAAGACTACAAAGAGAGAACAAATGTTTGACTCCGACTCAGACATTTTGAATGCAATTGAAGGAATTGTAAGCGTGAAGTTCGAATGGTACCAACCTAACCCTCAAGCAGTCAGACAACATGCTGGATACTTCCCGTTCATAAATAAGTCTGACATTGACTTGACAAGGTATGGAATTTACAATTCAATTGAAACAATTGTCAATGAACCTTGTATTCTTACATGTCTCAGGAACTCTGGTCTTGTTTCAGAAGAGAAGATGAAGTATCTTGAGTCATGTGTGAAGACAAGGTACATGCTCAGAAGTCAATTGGCAAAAGTTGCACCGTTGGCAAATGTGAATATCCGAGTTAACATTCCGACTGAGAAAGGTTCTTCACACGACGACTATGTTGTTGATTCAAATTGCCATGGTTGAAGATTGTAATTGTCCACAACCACTTCATGTTGAACGAAAGTCTTACAAACCCATTGTTCGGAAAAGGCAAGTGCAACATTGTCAGAGCTGTAAACATTCTTTTCGAGAAAGGTTTGTTGGAACCAATTCCAGATGACAAGCTGACAGAAACTTTTGTACCAAAAGACGAAACAAACTTTTCATTGTTAGCAAGACCAAAAGTTGTTCCAGACAAAGTTCTAGTACAAAAGAAGTACACAATTCCAAAAGGAGTTGGATTGTTCGGATACCAACCTGAACCAGAAGAACTTCCAATGAGGTTGCAAGAACTTCAAGATGCTATAAACAAACTTCCATTGAGACATCCAATTGACGTCAAATTGTATTGGAGAGCATCTGAGTTAGGTCAGAAGGTTTTATATGAAACAGGTTGCTTCGACGATGTTTATGAGATAACAGGAGAAGTTTCTCAGAAGATAAGAGACTCACTTGAATTTCCACAAACTGGACCAATTGGTTGCGACAAGTTCGACTCAGATGAAAAGATATACTATGTCGACCTTAACGCTGCGTACATGAGGTTCGTCCAATATATCCCGACTGGAATTCCAAACGAAGACGGTGAGTTCCCAGGAAGGAACTATACAGTTGGAAAAGTCATACAACAACTATATGATATTAGGAAAGCTTCAAACCCCAAACTTGCAATGACACTCAAATTGCTTATGAATTCGACATGGGGATATTCCATAAAGAAACCTCAAGAGATGAAGAGTAAACATTATGAGAAGGTCGACAACTTTGTTGAAAGGTTTTCTCCTTTTGTTTTGAAGTACGAATTCACTCAAGGTCAAAGTGGCTTAGTAACCACATTAAAACCTATTGTCGAACATTGGTCTTACCCTCAGTTCGCAAAAGCAGTCCTTGACAACTACAACAAATTCTTCTCCGAAGTCAAATCCAAAGTTGTGGTTTACTATGAGAACATCGATGCACTCATGACGAACGAAGAAGGATACAACAAACTCATTGAAATGGGTTTAGTCGGTGAGAAGATGGGCTGTTTTAAGCTAGATAAGGTATTTTCCGAAGTTCATGTCCTCTCCAAGCGTAAGTACTGGGGCATACTTGAAGACGGCACAGAAATAAAACATTGCATGAAATAAAACATTGCATGAAGTAAAAACGTTTTTAAAACAATATATTTTTACATATATTAAATGCTTCAGGTTGAAAAACAAAGAACAAAAGTAGCAGATACAAAACCGTTAGACTATATCTTTACAAATACTGGTAGGACTATTTCAGATGAAGAAATTTTATCTCGAATTGTCTTTCATATACAACTACGGAAAAGTGCTGAAAAAGCACTGAAAAATATATTTTAGGGTAGAAGGGTATATCTACCCCGTTTTCTACCCTCATTTCTACCCGTTGAATTTTCATGAATTTCCTTAAGACAGCAAAAAAGTTAGTTAAAATGAGATGTTTACTGAACTGGTTGGATGTCGCCTTCACAGGTTATGTAGAACGGCTGACCAGAGAAGTGGAACAGTGCTCTGAGAATTTGTATAATTCGTGGAATTGGACTCTCTCTGTTTGGAAGTTGTATCCATGGGCGCTTTGCAAAGAACTTGAGAAGAGCTTCTTTCTTCATCTCCTTTATGTCGTCTACAGGAGTGTTTTCTGGTATTTGAATTGGAATTCCAGTCGAAATCTCGATTTTCAGCGCACCTCTTCCAGACAACCAGACGCCGAGGGACTTGTTGGCTTTGTCCTTGCCCAAATACTGCTTAACAACTTCATTTATCTCTATAAGGTAAATTGCCTCATCTAATGGCTCGATGCTGTCCATTGTTCTGTTTCAGAACTAGTCTTGTTCTGTTTCAGAACTAGTCTTGTACTTTTTCAGAACTAGTCTTGTACTTTTTCAGAACTAGTCTTGTACTTTTTCAGAACTAGTCTTGTACTTTTTCAGAACTAGTCTTGTACTTTTTCAGAACAAATTTCCCGTAAAAGCTCTCAATTTGAGAGAAAAATTTTCTGTTTCAGAACAATATTTGTACTGTTTCAGAACAATATTTGTACTGTTTCAGAACAATATTTGTACTGTTTCAGAACAATATTTGTACTGTTTCAGAACAATATTTGTACTGTTTCAGAACAATATTTGTACTGTTTCAGAACAATATTTGTACTGTTTCAGAACAATGTCCGACGTACCACCAAAAAATATATTTTAGGGTAGAAGGGTATATCTACCCTCATTTCTACCCTCATTTCTACCCTCGTAGAAAACACACAAAACTCTTGAACTTTGTATAAAAAAAGCAACCCGCGGAAAACAGCGGGTTGGTATATTCTTCACAAAATGCTTGTTTTTGAGGTCGAGCCATTTTTGGCTCCACCGTATTTTTAAACCAAACTCGTTCATTTTGTGCTGAAATAAAATAAAGGTAGTCCCACCAAAAAATATTTTTTATTTTTATTGTAAGAACATGTTAGCAACAACAGCACCAAACTCGTTAGTCATGAACCCAACTTCAATGTTAGTAGAGATGAAAAGCTTCATTCCTTCTTCATATACTTTCGAAACAGAAATCCAGAAGATAAAGCAAGAACTTCTCCAAGGAGATTTAAATTGCACTGCAAAAGATGAAACAAATGAACAGTATCTTTATGAAATGCAGGATATTATTGACCATCTACCTAAACTTCCTGAAATACAACAACAAAAGCTTACTATTCCAGAATTCGATGAAATAGAAGTCAAAGCAACTGACTCAGTAGAAATAAAGAAGTTCATACGAAAGGTAAACTATGAGTTTCTTGGATTTCATTGCAACCACAAAGTCATGGACAAAGATTGCGATATGGTATATAAGAACATCTCTGACATATATAAATCTGAAGAATTTAAGACCTACGACAACTTTGTTTCGTTAGTTGCAAAATGTGTATGGCAGATAAGAGATAAAGATAGAAGAGGTAAAATATGGAACGAACAGATAAAACCAACTGCTTCAGATTTAAAGAAAACCATTGACGCCTTAGTCATACTAGCAGGTAAGGTTTCAGAATATAACGCAAAAATGAACTCACAATGTTCAAAATGTAAAGCAGCAACAAGGAAATATAACTACTCCGTCAAAGAGATAGAAAGAATGAGAAAAGACCATACTGACTTAAAGAAAGAAGTAGAGAAACCAGCAGAAGATAAAATGGACATGTTAGAATTTCTGAACAAAAACTATCCAACTGCTGACGATTTCCTTCTATCTGACGTCAAGAAGAAATATAAAGAGACTTTCGGTATCGTTAAAACTTTTGACATACTGACAGAAGAAATAGAAGCTACGAAATTGTTTAGAATTTCACGAATTCACAATGTTTACCATGTAAAACGCTTATAAAATAACTGGGGTAGAAAAGAGGGTAGAAAACGGGGTAGATATACCCTTCTACCCTAAAATATATTTTTGTCTGATTTACGCTCATTACGAAGAAGTCTTGACAAAACATTTACGAAGAAGTCTTGACAAAACATTTACGAAGAAGTCTTGACAAAACATGTACGATGAAATCATGAAAATTCAAGAGGGTAGAAAACGGGGTAGAAAACGGGGTAGATATACCCTTCTACCCTAAAATATATTTTTGCTGAATTCAGCACAAAAATCTGAGTAAAATGGCATAAGATTGCTTCCTTCGGAAAACCGAGAGAAGAGATTCCGTATGAAAACAGTGAAGAACAGCGAGTAGGTAAGAAAACCCAGTCGCCTAAAACTCTATGAAAATCGTAAAAAAATCCCTGAAATCATATCTTTTATACAAAATAAAATTAACGCTAGTTTTTTTAAAATATTTTTTTTTATTTTGTATGTAAGAACAGAAAATGTTAAACATTGAGTTTGAAACAGTTAGAAAGATAGACAATGACACCAAAATGGTTAGAATATGTGATTTAAACGTAAGATACTCAAAGAAATACAAGAAATATTCTTTGTCAGACATTTTAACACTATCTGAAGGAAAGAAAGCACACGACTGGGTTAAAAATGCTTCAACTCAGAAAATTTTGACAAGAAATCCTGAGCTTATGATATCGGTAAGATTTCATGGAACTACAGCATATCTTATAGACAAAAGTCTTATACCAGTAGTTTTGTTCTGGTTAGACCCAGTTGTTGGATATAATTTCATAACATATGGTTCATTCGATACGGAACGTTGCAGTGAAGGCTTACTTTACATCGTTCAGAAACCGAAGGACTTCAATACAAAGAGATATAAGATAGGAAGAACATTTAATATAACTCAAAGATATGACAGTATAGTCAATAGAGTTAAGGTTGTGTTTGTTAACGATATGAGAGCTGCAGAAACAGAACTACTTGAAAAGTTTGAGAAATTGTATGGTGCTCCCACGAAAGGTAAAGAAACGTTTGAAGTAGATGAGATAGAGAAAGCTATAAAATTATTTGACGAAGTTGCTGAAAAATACATGTAAAGCGTTTATTTTTGGTCTTTTGTGAAAGTCAAAGACGATATGTACAAATGCAAAGTATTTTGACAGCATGTTTTGCTCCAGATACTAAGCTTCCTAAAGACTGGTTTAGGAACCAAAGCACACAAGAACTTTTGAGCGAAATTTCTCATATGTTTGCGACCGGTAGAAAACCGCGGGTCGCCAAAACTCTATGAAAATCGTAAAAGAACAGCGAGTAGGTAAAAAATCGGTCTTGCCTAAAACTCATGAAAATCGTAAAAAATTGCCAAACGGTTTGAGAGGATATTATGTACATAGACTTCTTGTAAATGCTGTAGCAATGTGGGCTTCACCTCTTCACCTAAACATTATTTTTATTGAATTCAGCAACAAAAATCATGAATTTCCTTAAGATAGAAAAAATAAAGTTAGTTTTATTTTTATTTATTTTTTTTATTTTGTATGTAAAGACAGATATGTCAACAACAGAGAACACAACAACAGTTATAGTCCATGAAGCTATAAATGAAGAATATGAGTGGGTTCAGTTTAACAAACAACTCCGTCTCATTCGTTCGGTCAAAGACGATATGTACCAAATGCAAAGTATTTTGACAGCATGTTTTGCTCCAGATACTAAACACGCAGACGATTGGTTTAGGAACCAAAGCACACAAGAACTTTTGAGTGAAATTTCTCTAGACCGAGAAAAATCGGTCTTGCCTAAAACTCATGAAAATCGCAAGAATTTGGCTCCTGGTTTGAGAGGATATTATGTACATAGACTTCTTGTAAATGCTGTTGCAATGTGGGCTTCACCTCGTTATGCTTGGTATATTTACAGACTTCTTGACGAAATTCATAGACAAGAACGTGAAGAGATGGAAAAGAAACTTCAAGCAAAAGACAAAAGCCTTCAGAAAAGAATACCACGTTCGGTACCAAAAGGAAAGGAAAAGAACTATAAGTATATGATTTATACTGAAGAGATGGAAAATGAAGAAGACAGAGATATGGTTATGTTGCATTTAGTCAGAAGAAACAACAAAAGCTTTTACGACCTTGCTAAGATTTACAAATCTGACAGAAATTGGTTCTATCGCGAAAACTTACCGATTTCAATGACACCGAATGAAGATGTGAAACAAATAGTTCAAGATACGTTACCTCAAACACACTATGATATTAAAGGTTGTACAATACTTACATTCAAAGAAGATTTGCCGCTACTGAAAGAAAAAATAACAGAGTATTTTGACAACTTCAAACAAGCAGAGTAAATGAACCATTTATTTTTACGCTTGACTTCAGATGGCTCAGGTAGCTCTATAAGGTAAATTGTCTTGTCAAATCCTTCTGGCATTCCAAGTTCTTCCTTCCGACATTCCAAGTTCTTCCTTCCGACATTCCGAGTCCTTCCATCCGACAGGAAAAAAATTTCCCGACAACTGGAAAAAAATTTCCCGACAACTGGAAAAAAATTTCCTGACAACTGGAAAAAATTTTCCTGTTGTTCGTCCGTAAACCATTCAAATTTTCGAAAATTGAGAACTTTTTGGTCGAACGACAGAAAAAAATTTCCCGACAACTGGAAAAAAATTTCCCGACAACTGGAAAAGTTTTTCCCGACAACAGGAAAAGTTCTTCCTTCCGACAGGACACAAACGAATGTCCGACGTTCCTCTTCCTGAATGTCTTCCCAAACCAGAAGAACCGACAGCCCCAGCACCACAACAGACTAAGACTCAAACACTTAGATTTTTCAAGCTTGACTTTTTACAATTTGAACTTTGTTCGCGTAGATGTGAATTCTGAAAGAAGTATGAGGGTCTTGTATGACTTTGTACTTCTCCCATAGTTCATGTCTGTCAAACTTACCTGCCATGGACTCTTTCATAAGTTCCATGAAATCGTCTTCGGACAATCCAGGGAAAAGTATGATATCAGTAAGTATTCTTTTAACATCCTTACTTAAACTCTTGGCTGTCTGTACACAAATGACAACTGAAATGTTAAAGTGTCTGAGCTTCTTAAGAATTCGACACATGTCTTGTTCTCTATTCTTTAACAAAGGATGAGAAGCAAAGTCATCTAAGATAAGAAGACATCTGTGAGGGTATGTCTTCCAATCGTAAGATTGCAATTTCTTCGAAATGTATTCTATCTCTTTCTGTTTGTTTCTGAAGTGTTTCTTCTCTAATATTCTCTGCATTTCCTCATTTGGGTCTTTAAACTTCGAATTGACATACTCATTTATAGCATTGTACTTCAAAACTCTTCTTTGGTACTTCTTTATCCAATCTAACAACTCAGAGTCTTTTATACATACTAACTTAGACTTCTTTATAATATCTTTGAACGAATTGACGGTTTGGTCAAATTGACCAGAAGTACTACAAATGACTACTAACTCATAGAATGGGTTCTTCTCATCTAGTTCTTGTTGTTGTGCAGCCATTTTAAGATAAGTGAAAGTCTTACCCGACCCAGGTGGTGCAATTAGACCTGTTATACCATTCTGAGCAAATAAGAACTTGTCATGTATGGGTTTTATCTGAGCATTTTCCAACTTCCTCTTGTTCTTATTTAAAACATTCTCAAATTTCTTGTCAATGTCAGCAAACTTTTTTTCTAACATATTTTTAGAAAAATTAAAATTTTTATCTTTTTGAAAATGTCTAGCGATTTCGCTATCTATATTCGAGACAAACTTTTCGACAGCAAAACTTCTGTCGACCATAAAATCTTACATAGTGTAAACAAGAAAGGTGAATTTGTTCTAAAGTTCTGTTTCTGGGAATATGACAAGAACCATAAAACATTAGGCAGAGAAGTCTTAAAATTTGTCAATGACAGACTTGTTGACAGAGATGACGCCGATTGGAAAGATGAAGTCCAACAAAAGTTCTTAGAATGCAAAGAAGACACATGCGCTGTTCTTGAAGATGAAATAGGAAACAGAATAGAAGAGCTATTAAAGGACAAAGAACTTTTACATAAATATGGTTCGGAGAAATTTGACATAACTCCACCAGAAAAGAAGAAGAAAGGAAAGAAAGAGAAAAAAGTAGAAGAGAAGAAAGAACCTGAACCTGAACCAGAGCCAGAGAAAAAGAAATTTGACATGTAAAAATAAAATTTTATTTTTAGAACATTTCTGGGTCAATGTCAATGTTCTCTTCCTCTTTAGGAGCAAACACTGGCTTAGACTCTAAAATCTTTTTACCTAATTTACCTTGAACTTCAACTATCTTAGACTCATAATATTCATAGTCGTCTGTCTTCTTTGGTTCATAAGGTATAACAAGTTTGTATGCTTTGCCTTCTTTAAGGTTTGAGAACCTTCTGTCAAAATTTTCTTTGACTGTTAACAAACCTTCTATGTCTAAGTCTTCAAATTTCGCACCATTTTTAGTCACAATAGCAAACTTAACTGGTTCGATGTTCCAAACTTTGTCAAATGTAGACTTTTCAAAATGGTAGAAGTAAACATTCAAATATGTGAATGGAGCTAACTTATCTTTGACTTCTGTCATATATTTGTTGACTGAAATATATTTCGTCATCTTTTCTATCGGATAAAAAAATATTTTTTTTTAAAAACGTTTTAAAATGGTATGCCATATAGCTTCTTGAATTTGTTAAGAAATAGTCTAACGTATTTTCCATCTGTATCTCTAGCGTATACATAAGCATAGTCTGCCTTAGTAAAACATACTTGTAATTTTCTATAGTTTACGCCGGTATAAAAGTAGAAAGAGTCCTGTTCTTCGCTGTAGTAGTAAAACTCAAACGTATGCTTGCCATAGTCTGTAATTTCAATTGCTTCATCTTCTAGTTCGTCGACAAATTCGAATACTATATCTCCAAATTTGCTTTTGTTCTTATTGTTTTCAGAACCAGTGACCCAACGTAAGTTTTCAAGTCTATTGTCGTTTCTTATACGGTTTATATGGTCTACAAAAGGTAAATTGTTAGGATTCAGTATAAAATGAGTTGCAATGACAACATGTTTAAGATAGTGTTTTCCACCCATCTTCATATCAGCATATCCGTCATTTCGCTCCCATTCGCTTAAAACTCTTTTTGTCTTTTTGTTTCTGACTTCAAATGACTCACAACAGTGAATTTCATATTTCTCATCTAACAAACAAGTTTCCCAACGGTCTTCTCCAACAAACTCAGCGTACATTTCAAATAAAATAAAAAAATATTTTTTTTAAATTTACTCAGAAAAATTTTTCTTTGTATATACGCCATTCTGAACATCTAAAAGACTTTTGACATTTGCCAAGAATGTACGTTTAGAAGCTGCCATATAACCATACTCTTGACAATACTGTTTATATTCATCGTACAATGACCTTTCATCTAAACACTCAAAGTCGGTTTCATCTATAAACAGTTCATATACACTCTTGTTTGCTTCTAACAATGTTTGTCTCTCTTCGGTATGTGGAATTTGTCTTGGATTGAACTTAGAAATATCTAATGTCATGAAATATGAGAACAAGTGGTTGTAAAAGTTAGGTGTCAAAGTTTCTGCTAAGTCGTCAAAATATTCTGTATCTTGCATATGAGCTTCTGACGTTCTGACAACTACATATCTTCTGTCAGAACTTTCTAACTTCATCGGAACGGCGTTGTTTGAAACCATGATGAAATTTGCAACATTTTCACAAACTCTTTGGTCTTTATATTTTCTTTCAACAACTCCAACTTTGTCTGTTATAAGACTCTTCAAAGCATCTGAGTTCAAAACTTTTGTTGTATCTATACTTTGAAGTTCGTTACATACTATAAGTTTCATATTCTCTATTGAAGAGTTAAATTTACCGCAGATGTTTTCTAAGTTTGTCATATTCGGATTCGAATAGCCCTCTAACAGTTTGCATAAGATATCTGTAAAGAAAGTGTTCTTACCAGTTCCTTGTTTTCCAATTATAATGAGAGCAGTTTCATTTTTAGCACTTGGATGTTGTAAGATGTTTGCAAACCAACATAAGATATACTCATAGACTCTTTCGTTTCCATTGCATATAATTTCTTTGACATGGTCTAACCAAGCTTCTATAATATTTTCTTTCCATTCTACTTGTTCGTATTTATATCCAGTGAAGATAGAATAGAAGTTTGGAGAAGGTTATAGAACTTTATACCTCGAACTGAAAAATCTTCTAACTTTGACAATAAGATATCCCAAGCATCTAACACTTCATGCCAACTTGTACGACTTTTTATTTTCTTAAGTTTCTGTCTACATTCTTGTTCTGAAACTATTGTCGCTCTTGGTTTGTTTAAAGACAACATCCCATTCTTTCATGACATAACATTCTGGGGCAGAGTCAACATAAATGACTAAACGTTCAAATTCTCGACTGCTTTGTTATAGTCTCTAAATGGACACATATTTCTGAACGCTTGGAAGTCATAAAAATCTGAAACATCTATTCTGTACATTTTTATAAAAATAAAAAATAATATTTTTTTATTCTTGACTTTGTTGTTCCATTTGTTGCATTTGTTGTTCTTGAGCTATTTGTTGTTGAAGTTTTCTTGTTAGTACAATACTTTCACCAGTTGCATCTTCCAATCGAAACTTTCTGCCGTCATTGACAAATACATAGGACATAAAAGTTTTACAGGAAAAAGTTTGCGTCAACTAAGGTTAAGTTTATGTTTGCTAAAGTGTTTGAGTTTACTAAAGCTGAAAACTCTGCATTCGAATGAACAATAGGCAAACCAGCAGAGAAAGTGTTGTTATACGCATGAGTATCTTTTTGGTCATAGTAGTTTCTGTCGACATTCGAATAGCACTTTGAACCTAAGTTTGAAACAATATATAAGATTGGTGTGCTTAATGTCAATGGAATAGACATTCCTTGTATGACACCTTTTCCTGTTATAGGAAACTGTTGGTAGTAAAAACCAGAAATAAGTTTTGTATTATAGCTCATATCGTTTATAGTAAACTCAGTCGGACATCCAAACATAATGAAACCTGCTCTAGTTGCAGCACATGTTACATCCGTCCTTAAAGTATTAAATAAGTCAACAAAACCTGTTGGTGGTATATCTGAGTAAGTATCTTCAAAGAAGTATTTTTTACCATTCACAACAACAAAGTCTTCTGGTGTCAAAAGAGCAAAACAGGCTTTAGTCGTCATCGTGTTTAAGGTCAGTTTACAATATCGTCCTTGAGGACTTTGTAAGTTTGTTGTTATAGAATTATATGACTCAGGGTTTTTAGTCGTAATAGTATAAACCACTATGTCTTCTGCCATTTACTTAGCAAACAAACTTTAATGAAATGTTGTGGTCGTCAAATATTTTTATGACGTCTGGGAAACTATATTTTAAGTTCAACGTTTCACCTCCTTTCATAACGTATATCTTGTCAATGACATTGTATGAAACACCACAGCAAGCAATGTCGGGTTCTATTTCTTTGATGTTTATATCGTCTGCCTCTGTCAAAAGTTTCAATAGTTCTTTCAAAATTTCATGAGGTGCGATGACATATGAGTTCACTTTTACAGGGTTGTGTTCGACCAAGTTTAACATTATACCCAAAGCTTGACAAATCTTCTCCTGGGTTTTAAGTTTGTCTTTAAGTTGTTGGTAGTCATTTCGAATATCTGCAACAGAACTTAAGTCTCTGCTAACTTCAGGGTATGTTGGTTGTTCTTTTACAGGAACTATTGTTATACCATCTTGGTCTTCGTATGGTTTCCCCACTTCAACATCTCTTTCTTTGACATTGACAACAACACTTTGACTGTTTGTTTGAGTTGGTGAATTTAACTTCACATCTGCCATCGCCATTAAACCTTTTGAAACACTCACGCTTCTATTTTTCGGAAATGACATTTTACTTAGAATAAAAAGATGGACGTATTCGAGTATCTCTTCGAATTGAAGCAGAACAAAGTTTACACACACAAACAATACAAATACATTGACAGAATAGTTCTTTATACAAACAATGGTAAATGTTATAGAATAGCAATATTTGCTGAACCAAAATATTTCCATAAAGCAAAGAAAGTTGGTATAACTGAAATGGTGAAAGTTCTTGACGTTGACAAAAATATAACAACAAAACTTACAGATATTTCTAAAGGAAAGTTTATAATACAATTTTATGTCAAAACTGGCGTACTGTCAATATTTGACGGAGAGAAGTCAGTTCAAGAACAACTTACTGACCTGCTGCCAAAATCTGCTCGATGGAAGCTGTCGTTATGCCAATCTGAGGAGCCCCAGCAGGTTTCATCGAACGAATCTTCAAAAGAGCATCTTCCGTGAAAAGTGCTATTGGTTTTGTAAACTTCTTTGCTTTCAATTCATTTGGACCGTCTCTGTCACCAGTATATTGTATTTGAACTGTACCAACAGTTGAAATACCACCCATAAAGTCTTCTGAGTCAGCAAATGGAATGCCAAGCCAAAAGTTTGAACGGTCTCCATTTGTATATTGAGTTTTTTGACCTCCTGTATGAGTCCATACTTTCACATATGGCATAATAGAACTTTGCATTTCAGGGTTAATGGTTGTTGTGAAGTTGTTGTTAAAGTTCATAGCATCTAATGTCAAGTTGTATGACCTCATATCTTCAACTGTAGAATATTCTTCTCTTGGATAATATTTGCCATCTATGTTTATATGGTATTTAATACCAGGGTTGTAGAAGCAAGAATAGTCATTTATAGTTCGTCTGAACAGTACAAACATAGTATCTGCATGTTTCATTGCAGTTGTTAAAGCAATATCTGTTCTTGCACCTGGGTCAGCACTTTGGTTTCCAACTTCACCTGCAAAGTCTTTGACAGATATTTGGTGTATAGGGAACATAAGTGGAACTGCAATATATTTGGCAGCTAAAGCATTTGAAATATCTGGGTCCAACATATAGACTGCAAGTCTGCTTTCTATTCTCTTGCATTCAAACTTTTCGCATGTGAACTTAACTGGGTCCCAAGCAGTTCCAGCAGCATTGAAGTAGTAGTTTACTTCAGTGTTGAGGTTTGAGAAACCAAAGTCTAAGTCAACTTTGTCTTTGCAAAATTCGGCGAATGACGTTTGATTTGCCCCCTTTACGTCTGTAAGAGTGAATGGGTCTTGTGTTGGTGCAATGACTAAGTTATTTTTGCTTGGAGTAAGTTCGATAGAAATTTTTCCTGCCCAGTTTGGCAAGTATCTTAAAAACCTGAAGATGAGGAAAGATGACAAAGGAACTCTAAGTTTCAGTTTTACTTTGGTTACTGCTGCTGCAGTTTGTCCAGAAAGGTCAACATAAACTCCTGGAACGTTAGGGTCAAGTCTTCTTATTTTCTCAATAGTTGCATACTGGTCTGTTTGTTCTCTAGCTTGTGGTTGTACTGAGTTTCTTAAAGCGAACCATTCATAGTTTGCCCATGTTACTGTTTGAACTAAGTCAGAGTTAGAATATATCTTATATCCCATAAAAACTTCTGGAGCATATTGGTATCCGACATAGAAAATTCCATTGCAACCTTTCTTGTCAGACAACTTGGCAGAAGGTTTTATTTCAATGTCTTGTTCCACGTATAAGAAAGAGTTGTCAATAGAAATTATATGAAACCTGTCGCAAGCAATATCTACTGTTGTTGAAGAACCTTCTCCAAACTCACCTACATTTCCATAAGAAACAGCAGTTGTATATTCGTAAGTTCCAGGAACTATTTCTGACCTTCTAATGGCATTGTCGCATTCGTTATACCATTCGGAAACATTTCCATTCATAGCATCCAAAACTGTTGGCGTTATATTCTGAGCGGCGTACATTTCATATGAGTAAAAATATAGAATAGTTGGATTTATATGTCATAATAGAACCCACGTGGACCAAGCTTTACTTTCTTCCTGACTGAGTTTTTAACTCTTCTTTTTCCTTCATTGCCCTCTGCTTGAAGTTGTTGCATCTTTGCATTATGTTCATCTAGTATGTTGCAAATTTCCCATGTCCTTTTTGCCTTTTGGCTCTGGTCGCCCATCTCAGGTAACCTATATCCTAGAAAGAGTTTGTCATAGTCTGTATTTGAGTCTTTGCGTATTGTTTGCATGACTCTTTCCTGAGTTTCTGGTTCAAGCTCTTCAAACAGTGCCTGTCCATATGGAATAAGCTCGTTTCCAAATATATGTTTTTGTAGCCATTCTGGTTTTCTTTCCATGTTACCAATAATATCTTTTGTGAATGGGAAAGCTTTTACCCAATCTTTCAGTCTTGCGTCGTTTATTTCTGTAGTTGGTTTTATTTTGTCAAGGAACATGTTTTTCAATACTAACATTTCATTTGGTACTGTCCATTTGAGTTTTCTTAAATATTCATCCCTTCTCGATTCATCGCCTGCAAAGTAAGTTTTTATGACATTTTGTAAACTTTCGTTTGCAAGGTCATGTACAATAGGTTCTCTTCCTTCTCCCTCCCTAACTTTCTTTCTAAACTCTTCACCAAATATACCATCTCTATGGTTCTGTGTAGTTCTTTGAGATAAATGTTCTAGAACGTCAGGTGTTATATTTCCATCAGCCATGTTCATTTCATACTGGTCCAAAATATCTGCATGTTTCATATCTTTCAATGGCATTAAAGCCGCGCTGAAAATACCAGCTATATCTGGTTCACCATTGACTTCCATTGCGTCTACAACTTCTTGGAATTGTGGTTTGTAAGTTTATGAACCACCTATCTGGATTAGCTTTATGACCCCATCTCATTGTAGTTCCATCGTCTGCAGAAACAAAAGTAGGTTTGTTTCCATCTTGGTTAGGTTCTGAATGAACTTTAAACAATGTTTCATTTCTATATGTTTTCTTGAAATTTAACCTTTTATTTTCACCGAGTTCATCCGAAGATTGAACGTTAAATGCTCGTAAGTAAAAAGGGTTGTTGTATTTGTGTACATTTTCTTTCAGTACTTCCATTCTATGCTGAATATTTTCATCTGGTGTTGGAGTCTTTTGTATGTCGGCAAACATTTTTCGATATTCTTCTACTATGTCAGCCGAATTTTTTTTAGACTCTTGGAAATATTCCATATTCTCCGCATACTCTTGTTGAGGTCAAGATTTTTCGGCTGTTCCAAATCTTCATCTAGTTCTGTGAAGTTAGTTTCCAAAGGAGTGACTTGTTCGTTTCCTTCAGGCTCTTCTAGCTGTTGTTGCTGAACTATTTCTTCCATGTCTGGTTGTATCTGAACTATTTCTTCCTGTGGAGTTTCTTGTACCTCATCTGCTGGCATTTCATATATTCCGAGACCGTTTTCAACAATTTCCCTATCTACGTCATCCGCATTCATAAGCTTTTGTTCTTTCGTTCCGTCTCTATTTTTTACGCGTTTCATGACGAAAGTTGAATTGTCATTTAGCTCTGACATCAAATATCTCGGAGTAAATTCATCCATGTCATTTGGATGATATGCTATTAAATCATATCCCTTAGCGAGCTTGTATTTTCCAGGTTTGAGATTATATCCGTTTTGGTGCTGAGCCATAAAGCTAAATAGGTTCGGGTCAGTATTTCCATCCTTGAACTTTCCAATAGCTTCTTTATATCTGTCACTAAAGTCAACAGTATCTGGGAAACCACACTCTTCTTTAAGCATTTTTAAGAATTCTTGGTTTCCTTGTTCTCTACTTCTTTTATGTCCTTGCTCTGTTTGTGGTTGTTGTTGTGCAGGGTTTTGAACTGTTGGTTGCTGTGCTGGTTGTTGTGTTGGTTGCTGTGCTGGTTGTTGTGTTGGTTGTTGTGCTGGTTGTGGAGGTGGTTGTTGTGCTGGTTGTTGTGCATGCCTGTGTCTGTGTCCATGTGACGATGTAAATGTTTTAGGTAGTCCTGGTGCAGGTGCTTCTCTTGGAGGGTTTGGTGGTATATAAGTTCCACCAGCTGGCACATATGTTCCATCTGCAGCGTAATGTCCTACCTGACTTTTCGTTTTTAAGAAAGCATTTACTAGGTCTGTTTTGGTCTGTTGTAACTCTTTTTCTTGACTTTTCACAACAGTTGCTCTAACGGCGTCATAGGCACTTTGAACTGCCTGTCTCGTTGCTGCATCTGTTATTTTCGTCATATTTTGTGCTACTTCTCTTAACTCTTTGTCGAAACCTTCAGACTTCAGTTTCTTTCCAGATGAGAAGTCGTTCACTTGTTTCACCTTACTATGAAGAGCTTCGAAGGCGTTCTTAAAGTCAGCATTTGTTAAAGCTTCATTTGAACTGTCTTCATCCGCTTGTATTTTTGTCCTTATTGACCCTATGAGTTGGGCTGCTTTAGCGTTGGCTTGGGCATCTAACCAGTCATTGTTGGCTTTTATATATTCTGCGCTTTTCATTGCCTTTTGCATAGCCGCGTCGTTATTTTTACTTTCTTGTGCTAAGTTTTCATACTGTACGGTTTGGTTTTGCAACTGTAAAAGTTTTTCTGCCTTTACATTTGCTTCAACTTCTTTTTTATACTCATCGCTATCCATATATGTCTTCAGGGCTTTTTGTTTTATCTCTTCATCTTTCAGTATTTTATATTGAGTAGTATGGTTTTTCAAATTTATGACATCTTGTTCCATTTTTGCTACTTCTGCTGCTTTTTCTGACACTTTTTTCGCATATTCCTCTGTACTTAGTTCTTTCAGTTGTTCTTCTTTCTTCTTTTTCTCTACGTTTAACTCATTGAGTTTCTTTGTGTGTCTGTCATATTCTAGTTTCTTTTCGTTTTCACTTATTTGCTTCTGTATGTCTATGTTTGACTTTTTGACATCTGTTATTTGATTTTTGAGTGAACTTAAATTCATTTGACTTTGAGGGTTATAGGCTGTTCCGTCTGCAGCTCCACCATAGCCTGCCATTTTCGCTAAAAGTGCCGCTCTTAAACCTCCACTCTGTGCACCAATAACTCGGTTTAAAAGCATAGGATTGCTTGACATTTGTTGCAACATAGTGGGGTCATTCAGCATTTGTTGTTGCAACTGTTGTTGTGGTGTTAGTTTTACTATTGGATGTTTCAATGCTCTCTTCCTCTTACGTATATTCTTACGTAGCTTACGTGGCATTTTAAGTGAAGTTAAAAAGCGGTTTTTGACAGATGTTTTATTGTGACTTCTTCGTAAAGACTTTGTTGAGACTTCTTCGTAAATGAGTGTAAATGACCCAAAAATATATTTTAGGGTAGAAGGGTATATCTACCCCGTTTTCTACCCTCTTTTCTACCCTCTTGAATTTTCATGAATTTCTTCGTAAATGTTTTGTCAAGACTTCTTCGTAAAGACTTTGTTAAGACTTCTTCGTAAAGACTTTGTTGAGACTTCTTCGTAAAGACTTTGTTGAGACTTCTTCGTAAAGACTTTGTCAAGACTTCATCGTAAAGACTTTGTTGAGATTTCTTCGTAAAGACTTTGTTGAGATTTCTTCGTAAATGACCCTAGTAGTATATTTTTGGTGTAAATTTCATGAAAATTCAAGAGGGTAGAAAAGAGGGTAGAAAACGGGGTAGATATACCCTTCTACCCTAAAATATATTTTTGGTGTAAATTTCATGAAAATTCTGAGTAAAATGACAGATGTTTATATGACACTTTCTCCGGTTTATAGGACCTCTCTCATATTCTAAACATCTTCGGGGCTAGAGGGCACGAAGTGCCTGGAAGCCCCACTACCTTTTTTTTTTTTTTTTTTTTTTTATATACCATCATTTGTAGGTATTATTTCTATCAGATAAAAATTATTTTTTTATTTAAAAAATATAATTTATTTTATGTCTTATAATGTGCGCATATGTATTTAAAAGGCATTCATTGAATTGCTTTTCAATCTCTTTCTTTTTTTCATCTTCAAATATTATATCATTTTCATGTTCGAAGCTTGTAAGTTTGTTATCTTCAAATATTATATTAGTTTCATATATCAAATTATGATATCGGTCATATTCTTTTAAGTGATAAATAAATACAAAATTTACGGTTCCTTTAATTTTAAATTCAAAATTAATTTTACAACAGCTTTGTGGATCAATTAGTAAATCAATCAAATAATGTTCAAAATCAGATATTATTCTTTTTCCATACATTTTATATTAAATAAAAAAATCTAACTTTATTTTTTCGGAGTTTTGTGACGAAGTGCGAATCTTCACTTCGTCAAAAATATATTCTTTTTATTAATGGTAATATAGGAATTGTAGGAATAAAAACTTTTTATAAATTATTCATAAATTTTTAAAATCTGCTATTCGGAAGTATGTTCAAAAATCATTCAATTATGTGAGAATTCTTACGATTACAAAAAAAGTCACACAACCCGCATCATATACTACTAATAATACATGCCTTTACACTTCTTCAGATTCTGCGAAATCTCAGATTTCCAAGCTTACTACAAGAGAGAACATTACACTCTTGCTGATCAAATTTCCATGCAACCAATATATATCTCAGATGAATTAAAATCTTAGCTTTGTCCTAAGCATATAATACTCAAAAACAAATCCAAAATAACAATTTTATAGCATGCAACATGTTTTGTGTTAATCACATTAATATCATTTATTGGATTTTCATTTGAGGTATTTGCAATAGTGGGAGTGCCTTCATATACTAACGTAATAAATATTGCGCCCAGATTCGCACTTTATGACTGAAAAAAATCACTTTAGTTTTCAGTCATACCTAAAGCATAAGCATATCTCTATATGAGGAACTATTCATTTCCCGGCACAAAAGCCCATGTTGTCGAAAAAAATAAAAAAAATTTAATATAAAAATATTTTAATAATTATCAATCAAATTATTTGAATGTAGTAGCGTTAAGATTTGTGCGGAATAATTGAGAAGAGACATGCGATGCTAAAGCTTCTGAGTTGGAGCGGAGGAATTCCTTTGGATCTACCTTTCCAACGTGGCGGAGTTGATAATCAGTACCCGATAATTTCTCTTCATCAGTAATATCCTGTTTGTAGCTTGGAATACTGTCGATAAGTGCCTTTAATTTGGACAAATTGTTGCTATCTTCCTTAGCGAATGAATTTGTGCTAAATCCGCGTGACCACTCTGGTCTATTCAATGATTTGAGCATATGTTCTTCTGGAGCGGACATTCGATATGAAATATTTAGCTGGTAATAAACGTCATCCGGCTTATGGAAATGGCTTGTAGCTACGTAAGAAGCGTGAGTAAATGCGGTTGTTTCACGAGGTTCCTTGTTATTCATCATTAAATCTTGTAATGGAGTAGATCTGAAGGCAGCAATAACAACTTTGCCGCGAACTGAACGAACAGGATCAACGACAACAGCAATACATCTTGTATTGAGTCTTTCGAAAGATCTCTGTTGCTGAACATCGACATCTGAAAGGAAAACACCATAGCCAGGGTGAGAGTGATACCATCCAACAACGTTTTCTGGTCTGCCTACGTTTTTAAGTAATTCGACCATCTCAGCTTGGAAAGCATCTTCAATTGCTTCGACACTTGTGCCTGTAGCGCTCTGTGGTGTGGCAAAAACATCAACTACAGAGATTGTGTAGTCATCAACAAAAGATCCAAGCATCAAACCAATGACTTCGATTGGAATTCCTTGTCTACCATGTTTAAGCATTTTTAGAAGAGCCATACCGCTGATATAGACTGTCTCGCCAGTATCGAGATGAATTTTTTGTGCATTTGTCGGTAAGCCAGCAAGTGCTTGCATTTTGCAAAATAAATTTTTGAAAAGTGAAAAAAATCTTCATTCGAACCATTATAAATTTTTGATTTTTAAATATGGAAAATATAATTCTCCTGAGCCAATAAGAGCAATGCGTAAAAAATTTTGCCCTATAATGGAAAAATTCAAAATTGGTTGAATAAGAAAATTTAAAAATTAGGCCTTCCAATTGTTGTATAATTGGACTATCCGAGTTTCAATTGGTGTACTTAAATGATTTGGCCCAGACTTGGAAAAAAATTACTAGCATTTCTCGATAATTAACTTTCCGAATAGGAAATAGAAAATCAAAGGTAACGTAGCAATTTCAGTTAAAAAAGTACTGTTAATATTAATTTTATGTTTATTATAAGAAGTTTTTGCTAAATGTTTGGATTAGCACCATGTGCAAGGAGAAGTTCTGCGGCTTCTGTGTTGTCATCTTCCATAGCAAGTTTAAGCGCAGTCTTTCCATCTACATCTTTTGCATTTAAATCGATGCCATGAGAAATAAGAAATTGCATTATTTCTTTTTTATCTTGAAATGCCGCTTGGTGTAATAGAGTCCATCCGAACTTATCCTTTACATTGATTTCGGCGCCATGTGCAAGAAGTACTTCTGCAGATTCTCTACTGTTATTATCTGAAGCAAAAAACAGCGCAGTTTTTCCTTCTGAGCATCTTTCGTTTACACTTGCACCGTGTGTAACAAGATATTCGACAATCTCATGATGATTTTCTTCGGCTGCAATGGCTAGAGGTGACTTGTTTTATATCCAGATGATTTGCGCCATGCATAACCAGAACCTTTAGCGCTTCCTTTCGATTATGTAAAGCTGTCATGAATACTGGTGTTCTTTGCTGAATATCTCTTACATTAATATCTCCACCTAGGGTTATAAGAGTTTCAAGAACATCTTTTTTGTTATCAAATGCCGCTTTATAAAGAGCTGTTTGGCCATCTTCATCTTTATAATTGATATCCGCGCCTTCATTAACCAAATATTCGCAAAGTGGAGGGAGGTTAAATTCTATAGAACCTAAAAGGCATTCGTTGAGATCTTTTGTTTGATCTAAAAACACGGAAAAGGCTTATAGATTATTGTAGATTCCGCAATAAAATAGTTGAATTTCTAAATCATATTCATTCGCCAAATAAGTGATGAAATCAATATTATGCGAAATAATAGAATGTTTCATTGATTCATAGTCAGGATCATATTCTTTCAAGCATTCATGCATGATTTCTTGATTTCCACCTAAAAATGAGTGCCAAAGACATTCAGGACCAATAAATGAATTGAATTCTGTTCTCAAGAACTTAAAGCAATCAACAGCTCCATGATAACAGCAAAGATCAATTAAGGAAAAGTTTCCGCCCTCATCTGGATATAAATCACTTTTTATTGTCATCTTTGGATCAAAGCCATCATTTGATGCAAGGCCAATAAATGTTTCTTTGTCATTTTCCATAATGGCTCTGAAGATTGATTTTGGTTCATGAATTTCCAATGAATAATTTTTAGATTCATATTTATCGAATTTTCCTTTAATTTTTAGATCCAATACAGGGATATTTAATTCTTTGCATAAAAAGTAATTAAGTGGATTTGGTCCTTCTTTGAATATGTCTGGATGGAATTCTTCGTAAATCATCTTGTAGAGAGTATAGTATGACCTCATGTAACGATTATTATAAATTGATGCTGTTGTAATCACAGATAGGATTTCAGCTGGAGAAAATGTGTTAGGTTGGATTAAAATAGTTTTAATATTGTTATAAATATTGTTAATTACTTGATCATCGTCTGATTTTAATTTATATAATTCAGTGAAGGCATTGTCATATTCCTTGAATAACCGCATTAGGTCATTGTAGTACTTTTTCTCCATTCCAGAAAAAAAAAACGATATTTTTATATTGCGCAATTTTATGTAAAACATCGATTCACCTGGCAACCGGTGAATTTTGAGCTATTAAAATCAGAGAACCAGGGCAATAAGCCGCGAGGCAAAATAATAATGAATGAAATTTTAGAAAAAATTGCATTGCATTTTCAATGGGCTGTTTAACATTAATTTCTTGCCCCTGACGCAAATAGAAATAAATATTGTCAATAGCAGTGTTAGTGCTAAAAAAAATAAAGAATAATTAAATAAATACAGAAAAATTTTACAAATAAAGAATAATGTGATAATGGTTAGTTTTGTGTATCATCCAGAAAAGAGAAGAAAGGCTATGATCATACAAAAAAAATAATAAGTCAAGTTAGTGTTCAATTTTGCAGAATTTGATGATATAGATGTATACACGAATCAAATTCAAATAAAATAGGTATTCAAGCTGATAATGTTGTTATTATAACTCGTTTGTAGTAGTTTGTGTAATTTTTGTAGTATTTTGTTGACTAAAATATGATTGAACAGACTTAACAAGCTTTTTGGCTGTAAAAATGGCGATTTTTCCAACAATGCTTTTCCGGAAGCCATTAATTATAGCAATGATAGAGCATATTACAAAGAAAATAATTGCGCCTTTCAATATCCAAGCATCCCAATTTTGTGCGACATGAAGTTTAATTAAAGCTCTTTTTGTTCGAGACTGTATTGTATCTACGGAATCTGAAGCATCCACAACATTATTGAGCATTGATGTAGAGTCCTTGATTAAGCTCAAGCTTTCTGAAGCGTTACTGATTTGTTGCTGGATATTTGCACGAGCATTTTCTAATCTTGACGTAATTTCTTTAGCTAATACAGATGATGACTTTGTCTTGTTGTTGCTGAATTGAAGAACCTCTTGAGGATTGGCATCGCTGAGTAGTTTTTCACGTGCTTCTCTATAATTCGCTATTTTCTCTTTGCCTGTTGATAATTTGGCTGTTTTCAATGCCATCAATCTTCGTGTAGATAATTTATTTTCTTCAATCCCGGTTTGTTGAATGTAATTCATTAGATAATTCTCGCGCTTGTTAGTTGGTATCCTATCATCTTTTTTGATTTCTATTTTAAGGTCTTCTATCATATTTCTAATTTTGGATTCGATTTTTATTGCCTCTTTATTTAAATCAGATACATCTGTTTGATTTGAATCGCAATGCTCTATTTCGTGAATGATTGATAAATGAAGCTCGTTTAATTCATGGAGTTGAGAGATAATATTTTGCATTTTTTTCAAAAATGAATAATAAAATGAAGATCATTGGTTTAAAAAACCCATCTATGTCTTTCATAATAATCATATGTATAAATTAAGATTGTTTCAAACTGAAATAAAAAATTAGAATAATTCTATAATAAAAGAAAGCGAAATACAAAAAGTTGATCGATTTATAATACATTTAACAAATAAATAATAAAAATCACAATAAATATAAAACAATTAACTAACCAAATTACTCTGTTTTGGTTTCTTCAGCTGGCTTTGATTCACCTTCAGCAGGAGGATTTGCATCGGCAGCTTCAGTGTTGTTTTGTTCTTTGTTTTCATTTTCATTTGCCACAGGTTCTTCTTTTTTGCCTTTCTTTCCTTTGCCTCCTTTTCCTCCCTTCTTTCCCTTTCCAGCTGCTCCTTTCTTGGCCCCTGCTTTGGTTGATTTAGCTGATGCTGGTGGTTGAACTGGTTTTTGTTCTTCGTTACCAGCATTAGCTTGCGCTTCTTGTATAGCTGCTTGAGCGGCTTGCTGAGCTTTAACTGATTCGTAAGCATCCGTTAAAATGGAGATCGCATCTTTGTAACGCTGCCTTTTATCTTTGATTTCTAGGTCAAGGTTGCGAAGTTCATCAACAGTAGATGTTCCCATTTCATCAATGGTCTGGTTTGTTTTGGCAAATGTCTTATTATATTGTTTGAAGTTGGAAATTTCACTTTCCAAGTTCATTGCCAGCGAATCTCTTGTTTGTGTCATCATATCAACGTCATGCTGTGCATTTCCATGCTCTTCTCTAAGCCTGTCGAGTTGTTCGGTGCATTTGTCGCAAATATCCTTAAATTGTTGTTCCAAGTTTGCGATATTTGTCTTCTTACTCTCCTGAGCTTCGACCAATGATGCCTCGGCCGCTGAAAGTGTCTCCTCGAGTTGTGCGATTTCTTTTCTTTCGTCTGCAATACTGTTCCTCGTAAGGTGCAAATTGGCTTCACATTCTTGCAGAGACTCGAGTTCGCCTTCAATTCTTGTTTTATGACCATCTTGCCAAGCTTTCATATTCGATTTAACTTGGCGTTGGATTTCAGTGAACAATTTGAAGTCAATATCGTTAAACTCGATATTCAGGTTGAGAATATGAGTGTTTTCATTGACACAAGTTTGAATTGGAATTCCATTTTTGATAAGATTGTTCTTTATGCTGACAGTGTCAACAATCTTTGATTGTGTAAGAGCTTTAAACAAGTTATCGCTGCCAGAATCGTTAATTTCGCATAGTTCAAGGTCGATATCGCGTAATGAAGGATGAACCTTAATTATGTCGGCCAATTTTGTGGCTCCTGCATCACGTAACGGATTATGGCCGAGATTAAGGCATTGTAAGGTTTTGTTTTGTTTCAGATTTATCGCGAAAGTTTCAAAGCCAGCAGCATCAATTTTACAGAAGCTGACATTGAGATGGTGTAATGTTTCGTTTGTTGTGAACACTGGACCAAGAGCGGCAATTCCTTGGCCGCCAATGTTATTTTTGCTGAGATTAAGCTCGCGTATTGAAGTATTAGCTCCAAGAGCTTCTGCAATAGCACCTGTAAATTTCGCTGTAAAGCTATTTCCGGAAATATTAAGTGTATTAAGCGATTTATTTGTTTGGAAGAAATTAGCGAATTCTTTAGAAGCTACATCGCCAATATGGTTATTAGAGAAGTTAAGCTCGCGAATCTGAGAATTAACTAAGGCTCTTAGCAAGTAACTTGCGCCTTTTGTTTGCATATTGTTATTTTGTAAGTTAATTACCTGTATTGTCTTATTTTCCTTGAGGCCTTTAGAAATGGCTTGTATTGTGTCCGCTGTAATTTCTGTCATTGATAAATCAATTTCAGATAAAACTTTATTTTCGGAAAACATCTCTGCCATTTGTTGAATTGACTTAACACCAAGAGTGTTACGGGCAACACCACTGCTGCTGCCGATTTTCAGTTGAATTACTGACTTATTTTCCTTTAAAGCCTTAAAAATCAAAGAACAACCAAGATCACCGATAGAATTCGATGAAATATCAACAGAAATGATCCTGGATGTCGATTGAAGTAATGTGGAGAATGCTGCGGCGCCTTTATCTCCGATATTATTTCCTGAAATGCAAACAACTTTAATATTGTTATATTTATACACGGTATCAGCTACAGCGCATGCAGCAAGTGGTCCAAGCGAACAGCTTTCCATTTCGAAGATTTTTTTGAAAGTTTTCTTAGATTGATTGTTTACAAACCTTTGAAAGAGTTTCTCTGTAAATTTAAGTCCGAAATCCTTACATTTCTCTTCAAAAATGTAACGAAGATCATCCTCATCAAGTACAAGGCGCGGTAAATTGATCACGCTTTGCATGCTGAGTTTTCTAACGGAAAAAAAAACTCTTTGTCTTACAATGGTCATTATCATTATGAAATTAGTTTAGCTATTTAATGTTGATTCTTTTTTGTCAGATAAATACTATGCAAAAATTCAATTCTAAAAATGCTTTAAATTAGTTTTATCATTCAATAATATCAAAGATATTATATAATTGTATCAAATTGCAGATATATATTTTAGAGAAACATTATATTGGCGAAGATATTAAAATTTTAATTAAAAAATTCCAAAAATAATTCCTTAAGACAATTTTGAATGATCATGAATGTTAGATTTGTCTTAATTTTCAAGATTTCAAGATTTATTTGGAAAACTAAAGAAGCTTAATATCATATAGAATGATAGTTCTGAAGTTGTATGAATCAATTCCAAGCTTTTCTTGCAAGTTCGAATCCAATTTCATATAATTCAAAGGATAAATGGCGTTATTGATATTAGTTATAACATAACTTATCGTATATTACTATATTATCTAAGAAACTGAACAAGTACTTTATAATTCCATTTTCTTCTTTAAATCATCGAATCATGACTTAAACGTTTTAATTTTATTCAAAGAATAGAGTCCTATTCCGAAACTAAAGTAGAGTCTGTACTAATTTTTACTATACTACTCTTTTATATGCATTATTGAAGAAACTTTTAATCACTGACACGAATCTAGAATTAACATCAATCATCTATACAACAAGGAAATAGTTACGTCAAGTATTCTCACTTAACTGTATTAGATAGTTCCAATTATATTAAATGATCATTTATCAATCTTAATTAATATAATGCTCACCATTCTTCTCCATAATTGTATAGCTATCCTTATGAAATGGTCCTTAAAATCAATTTTGGAAATGTTCAATTGTAAAATTTTTAATATTTAACTTTAATTCATATCGATCGCAATGAATTAATGAATCAAGCATAAGATTAACATTGGGGGCGAGCATCATAAGAAAAATTTTTCGAAAAATAGGGGGTGTTAGTATACTCAACCCCCTCATTAATTATCGTTTCTAGAGGAATAGGAACAGAGGCCTTTTTTCAGGTAACCTTTAAGAAGTTTCCGAAAGAGTTTATGCTCATATAACCTCATTTCCAGGTAAATAGTGGGCATTGTTCTACTAAAAGTTTAGTTGCATACTGGCCTCGTTTCCTAAGAAACTTAATCAAGAGGCTATCTCAATAACCCTTGACCAATAGGAATAGGATAAAGGAATATGTAATATTGAACTGCCGTAATCTTAAAGCAATAACCGATAGACACAAGCTCATCACTACTTGTTTGGTTGTTCAACGAATCTTTTTATATCATAGTACACTACGCGTATCTCATACCTCCATTCAATAGATGATTTACTCATAATTACATTTAAAACCCAAAAGTCGACATTTTTTTGAAAATATTAATCAGATTCAACGAAAATTTTCATTGATAATACAAGCATATAAAAGTTTCCAAGATGTAATTACTTGTCTTAACAAAAAATTTCATTCTCTTTCTATAATTTGAACAAAATTATGCAACCATCAGGATTTTCGTTCAGAAATCATGTTTCATTCCTCTATGTATATAAGAAATCATATTTTCTACGGAGAAAACTCCATTTTTTTATATTTTTCCTAAATTTTAATTTTTTACTTCTTTTTAATTTCCTTTTATTAAGAGCACACTATCATCCTTGAAGGATTTTCAATTTTTGCATCACAACTACATTGTTGCATATTTTTACCATAACAATTCTTATCTATTGTTAACATTCACTAAATTCGTGCACACATTACTTTTTCATATATGAAAATACTGATAGCTTCTTAAATTTCCAATTGAATCTTTCCTTTTGTACATTTTGTTTGAAAATGTTTTTATTTTTCTGCATGAATATCTTAACACTTGGGACAAATATATATATCAAAACCAAACTAATAGATTCTAGGCTCAGATATTTTCAATTTTCTTCTTATTTATTCTCCAATGTGATTATATGAGAATTCTGATAAAACATTCTCGTATTATGCATGAGAAATATATTATGCATGAGAAATCAAATATATTACAGTCATCTTTCAATATGCAATGTTTATGGTAATACTTAAATTTTTATCTCTTTACACTAACTTTATTATGAAAGGCATATTACAATGTTAAATTCACATCAAAATAGTGCAAAACGTATCTTATATTAATTCCAGACTTCAAAATATTTAATGAAATTTAATTTCCTTCAAAAATTAGAATAACCATTTCAAATTAAGAAAGCAAAATTATAAAGTAGCAATACGGGTTCATTTGTCTTTGATAATAATAACAAATATTGATTTAAATAAACAATTGAACTTATTAATTTTCGAGTAAAGATAAAATTATTCGAGAAAATTAATAAAGTTCGTCATCTTCTATTAATTTTCACATGTTTTAGAATGTAAATCTCAATGCAACAATAATATTGGATAAAAAATTCGACGAGTAATGGTTTTGCTTGAAAAGCGTATGAGCATTATTGAATTAATGTATATAATACAAATGTGGTTACTTATATTTATGCTCGGAAGAAAGTATAATGCTGCATTATAGAAGGTAGGCTTAAAGAACCTAAATGCATGTTTCGGTATTATTGATTACTTATTCCACAAGAGTGATGGTAAATCCTATTCCTGTTTGTCAAGGGTTATTGAGATAGCCTCTTGATTAAGTTTCTTAGGAAACGAGGCCAGTATGCAACTAAACTTTTAGTAGAACAATGCCCACTATTTACCTGGAAATGAGGTTATATGAGCATAAACTCTTTCGGAAACTTCTTAAAGGTTACCTGAAAAAAGGCCTCTGTTCCTATTCCTCTAGAAACGATAATTAATGAGGGGGTTGAGTATACTAACACCCCCTATTTTTCGAAAAATTTTTCTTATGATGCTCGCCCCCATTTATTTTTGTCCGAATATCAATTTTCTATAAAAATTGTCACCTTTCCGAACCTTGTTGCTTTTTGAAACCATTATCTATTATTCTTATTAATTATATTTATTCAGCTAAATTATGAACACCAATCACCATAATTCAAATTTACAGAATATTCCTTCAAAAAATTGAGAGAGTTGAACTTTTTTATCGCAATAGCTATTTATCTTAATACTGTATCCGATCTACTTTACAAAAATTTTAACTGAAAAAATTTGTTAGGAGGTTTTACCTCTGTTTAAAAAATTGTGAATTATTACTGATAGGTTAATTATAAACTGATGGTTTTATTTAAATTGATTTGAATTGCCTTTCAAAAATTTTGCACAGATTTATATTTGACCAATGAAATCAACGATTCAATTCTCCAATCCTGATCTACTGAACCCTTTTATGGCATTTCATCGTTCGTTCGATGAATATGAATCAGTCTCAAACTATCAAATCGTTGGTCAATATATTATTTCAATTATAAATACGGCTCTAATTGTTTTACAAGTTTATTCATCGACATATATGATAGTAATAGGTCGAAATTTAACTGATTTACCAACAGGATTGCGTCGTGTCAGAGATGTTTTTGGTTATCCAACCTCAGAAGAAAGAATTACAATATTTTCATACCATTCCTTTTATTTCATATTAACACTTTTCATTGTTTCGTTCGTATCCTTTGCCGTACGCTTTGGAACAATAATTTCAAATTCTTTACCAGCAATTTCAGTTTCTGTATTCAATAAGTTATATGACCTATGTTCACCAGCGATAATGACAATCTCATATGTACTTCTTTTTACATCATTTTTAAATATGATCGATCAATACAATTCAAGTTACTTAACAATCCTTATTTTTTCCATATTAACGCTAATACCAACAATATTCGGTATCGGAAGATTGATGACAGACTCAAGGATAGCAAAACTCCCTTATTCATCTCCAAATATCGGCCATGTGTTAAAATTCTACATAGATTGCTTATCAGCACTCATAGGAGCAATCTACATGGAGTTTACAGCTCACGACAAATACTTGGTACTATTCTTGTCTTTCGTTTTGGCTTCAACGGGTTTTTACATTTTATATATCATTTTTGAAATCCCGATTTTTCACAATATTTTTCACAGTGTTCTATCAAGAGTAGTCACTTTTATAATCATTGATGTGATGATTACAATTTTCATTTCAAAATTTGTCACTTTTTCAACACAAAAATTATTTTTATGTATTTGTATTCCTCCAGTGATATTTTTGGTATTTGCTTTAGTATTTTCATTTATTACCTATAAAGTTTGCAGAAAAGTTCTAAATTCAAATGAAAAAATCAATCCAAAGAGCTATTCTATCAATTTTCTATGCAAACTACTATGTACAGCTGATGTTGTTACTGACCAATGCAGATTTGATGCAGATTTTCCTGAAAAAGTTCATCAAACTTTTCCAAAAAACCATGATATCATATTATTCGCGATATTATACAAACTATATGATACTTCATGCCATAAGGAACTCTTGCGATTTGCAGAAATGCTACAAATTTTTGATTCAACAAATATTTTTAGATCTCCAGTTTTAAAATCAGTTATTTTCGTTACATCATGTAATCAATCATATTCCAAGTTCACATCTTCCTTAATTAACCACAGTTATCAACTTTACTCGCAATATTTTTATTATATTATTCAAAACAACAGATTGATGTCAAGAAACTGTTTATATAACATATCCAAGTTCATACAATTCTCGCAACCTTTTTTTGATACTCATCATAAGATTGCTAGCGATTATAATCGATATAATAAGAATGTCACTTTTAAAATTGAGAATACAAAGCAACAACTTGCAACTGATAACTTGGATGCAAGCGAATCATCTGAAAAACAAGAAAAAGATTTGATATCTATTACCGATCCTTCAGATTCAGAATATCTGGAGAGAATAGAGACAGCATCAAAGTACAAAGTTCCAAACCTCAAAAAATTCAAAATTTTGTTCGTTTCTATGATAATTATTTCATTAATTTGTTGTGTCTTTAGTTATATCCTTATTACACAGACAATCCTTATGTCTCTATCATCACGAGGTAAGATACAAGATTTCTTTCAGTTTTATAGTGATTTTATCTTATCTTGGTCGATTTCTGTCCAATTTCTTTATACAGACAAATTACCTTATTCAAATGATTACTATAGGAATGTTATAAACACAACGAACCAGAATTTGCTTAAATACAGCTTTATTTCCGAAAATTCAACTTTATATAATTTATTATCTGAAGGAAATGAGCTAATTTTACAAGCTACGTATAGTAATAACTTTACAGACTGTTATAATACTACTATTGACCTTGTTGCTAATTTAAATGACTACGGAAAGTCAATTTACGCTTTATACGCAAAACAAAGAAATTCTGTACAACTGACACTTTATTTGTGTATCGCAATCACTTTTGCATGTACGATTATTTGTTTGATTTTGTTTTTCGTGGCTTATCATATTGGATCGGAATTATTTACTTTAATTGCAGCGCAACCGATGCATTTAACCAAGATATTCACATCAGAGACAATGCATAAATACCATGAACTCGGAAATGTTGAAAAACGTCTAGATTTTGGAAAAGATTCTTTAAGATCGACTTTTATTTTGACATTTTCGGCCATCATACTACCATTCATTGTTTCATTCGCTTACAGCATCGATATGGACAGAATTCATAGAAAATACTTGAGAACAATGTCATGTACTTTATTTGCATCGCAACAAACAGGTGTTTTAGTTGAAAACACAATTTTGTTGCCATTATTAAGGGATTATGGTGCAAATACCAATTATTTCCAAAGTTTTGAAAAATCATATTCAATAATTTTTTCAATTTTGAAGAAATTCATGAATCTCAACATTACTATCAATATAACAGATGATAGTAACATCATTATATCACAAGATATCTCTGATGAAGATGTTTCTGACGTATTAAAAAATGTCAACCAGACAAAATACGTTTTGTATACAAATGGATCGGTTATATTGCTCAGGGATATGAGTATCATTAATTTGGATTCAGAAGAAACAGTAAATTTGTCGGATGTCTCGATTATGGCAATTCCTTCAAACATCTACTGCGGATATCCAATGAGAATGTTGTTAAATGATTTTCTAGTTATAGAAAATTCAATTTATGACTCTTTATTATTCTCATTTATTTTAACTCTGATTATATTAGCGGTGATACTTAGTTTTATGGCGATATTTGTCATTAGACTCATCAAAAGATACTATACTGCCTTGGATCTTGTCATCAGAATCATTTCAATTCCAAATTCTGAAAATCCATTTTTCGATGACACTGATGGAACCTTTACTGGATTCAAAGAACCACCTTATCCGATCATGGGAGAGATATTTGACTCATTGCCAATACCAACATTCCAATTGAACAAGAAATATCTGATTATTGACCAAAATACCACAAGTGAGATGGTTTTTGGCGATATAAGAGGCTCCAACTATGACGATCTTCCAAACCATATCGTTGATCCTCTTGGAAACCAAAGATATTATAATTATAATTTAATATGTAAGAGAGTTCTTCCAAGAACGATGAAACTTGCCGGCCAGGCAATTGTTCTATCGAATGATATGAGTGGATTGGCCGCAAAGAAGGAGATTCTTAAAAATCTCAACAAAGATATCAGATTAACCTTTAGTATTCCAAATATCCTTCAAAGAGAGAAACCTACGACAATACAAGATATCGCTATTGTCAATTTTGGCTTCTCAAAGTCAGTTTCAAACCAAGATTTCCTCAATTTCTCAAGTAAGATCGAAGACATGTTTTCACAGTTCGTTTCCTTCTTCATGTTCGAGAAAATGAGGTTTTCTTTCTATGTCTTGTTCCATGACAGCTCTCTTTCTAGGCAGCCAATGCGAGATGCAGTCAGTTTCGCACAGATTGCAAGAGATGCGGCCAAATTACAGAATATAGATGTAAAAATAGCTGTATCCATGGAACACGAGGTCATAGCAAAGGCACAGAGACAAGATATGATTTGGAGTGTTACTTTTCTGAATTCTATCCTTTGGAGAACAGATGCAATGCTCAATTACATCGACTACGGCAAAATTATTTGCCTTTCGAAGATGATGTCTGGAATGCACTTTACAAAGAACTTACACATAGGCAAATTCGCAGAATCAACAGAAGTTATTATAATATAAGCTGTTTTATATTGTTTTTATTTGTTTGATTATAAATTGTTTTTTTTTTATACTTATACATATAACAAGTTTTCTTTTGAGAAAAGAAATGAATTCTCAATACATCTGATATTGTTGTTAACATGCATATTATTGATTCAAGTCATTGAATTTCTTAGTTTTTCGTTAAAATGGAAGTAATACATAAGTTATGTTCTTCTTAGATTTATATCAAACATATCAATTAAAGAGCGGATATATGCATTAGTACAAGAAAGTTAGCACTTGCTAAATATATTTTCATTAATATTGGTCGCTGGCTATTATTGCTATTAAGAAATGCGACTAAATCAAGAAAAAGATGAACATGGAAAAACATCTCTTCATATTGCCACATGGGAATATAATTAAATTTCGGCTTTAAAATGGTGATAACGTCAATTCATGAAGGAGACTCATTAACGTTTATAGTTTTTTTGTTATTAATCATTTTCAATTATTTTGAATTAATTTTGGTAATTATGTAATTTTGGTATTTATACATAATCTTTATATACAAACAAAAACAAATCAAAATGGTTGGATAAATAAAATATTCTACTCCGTAAACTCTGTCGTAAATAGTTCGATTTGAGATTTAATTAAATCGTTCTGTTTCATCAAAGATTCATATTCTTGTTGGAGTCTTGTGTTCTCTGACTTCCAACGTTCTTGACTGTTGTCCAGTAACTCACGGACTTCTTTGATTTTCGTTTGTTTGAAATTTATTTCTTTTTCAAGAGCTTTAATTTGCGACATTTGAACTCTAATCTCTTTATCTGCTGCTACTGGTGCTTCTTTCTTTGGTGGTTCGGCATTGATTAATTTTTCGATATTTTCTGCTTTTGCTATGGCATTTTCGTATTCTTTAGCAACTCTTTTAAGTTCTGCAAGCAATAGTTTCTTCTCTTCCTTTGTTTCATTATATTTTTTTATTTGATTTTCAAGATTTTGTTTTAATAAATTGTTCTCATTCTGCACATTTTCGAATTTTTCTCTAAATTGTCTGAGTGTTGATTCTGATACTTCTTTTACGTCTGGTTTATTCCCTTCCCATTCATCGCCCGATGCCGAAGACAGAAAACTCATTGAAATTCAAAACGTCTACTTTTCAAATTTGATTTGATAGAGGCAGAAAATAACAAAAGCATCTCCATCATATTAACTATTATGAAAGACATATACTTAGACAATACAATTTATTCATCACAGAATATTTATCTTAAATAATGTTGAATTCTTAATTATATCTTATTATCCACAAATTTGCATATATTCACAGGAAGTAGGCCAGATTTTAAGACTTTATGCACAGTATCTTTGATGCTTCACAGGAATAAAATTCAAAAACTCTTATTATTGAAAGCTACTGGTTTTGAAAAGCCAATGATAATACTTAAATAGTATATAAATAGTTTTAGAGATAAACAAAATAAAAAATAAAAAAAAATTATGAAAATCCGAAATATTCACCGCAGTAGTCCAATGCCTTGAGGAGTTTCTCTTTCATCTTTTCCTTTGATGAATACTGTGGCATCTTAAGAAGTTTTGCGCAAGTAGAAACAGTTGGCAAAACTTCTTCATTTTCTTCTTTCTTCAGTTGCAATTCCAACTTAGGAGTTAGAGCAGCAAGTCCTCCAACAGGAAGTTTGGCCGATCCTGTTGTAAAGTACAAGAATTTTGAAAGAGTTTCTGGATCAAATTCCGAAACAATTTCTGCAAGCATTGTTCTCATTGTTGGGGTTGCGTACTTGGTTAAATTAACGTTATTTTCAAATTCTTTAACGGTAATTTTCGTCATTTCGCCTGTAATTAATTGACTTAATTCGGTTGGAGTGAAAAGTGAAAGAGCTTCAGCAGGAATGACTGTTCTGAAGCCTCTTCTAAATTCTTTCATTGCATCGGATGCTGCGCTTGACATATTTCTTCCAATTTCAATGAATTCATCGACATTTTCTTCATTTACTTCAATATCTTCTCCATCAAACATATCGAAGTTAAGGCCAATCAAGTTTTCTTTCACAGATAACGAATTAGCTATTTGTGTGTCTACTTCTTGAATGTCTACGTATTCTAATTGGATTAATTTGTAAAATGCAGGGCTGAGTGGGATATCTACGAGGCATTCGAGGAGGAGAACGCGGGCAATGAATATTCCAAACTCATAGAAGTTCTCTTTGGCATCTCGGCATGGGAAAAGTCCGAATTCTTGGTTTTCTGACCACATTTTCTTATCGGAAGCGAATTCTTTGGCCAAAATCTGCATGAACTCATGTGTTGGACCAGATCCAATTGCACTGTCTAGTTCAGTATCCCATCTATGTGTTCCTTGGCCGAATGTTCGAAGAATCTTGAGTCCATCCTCATAGATATGGTCTCTATTGGGCTTAATAGTAATCCTTATCTCGCGGGAGTTCGATCCAGACGAATTAAGGAAGTTTGAAGAATAAAAATCAATATAATCTCCAACACTCATGAAAACGCTCTTCAACATTGCTAATCTGGTTTTCAACGAGAACAAGAATGGATAATGATATATTGCACGGCTCTCCGGTGACTCAAAACAATAAGATGATAAAATGTATTGCAAAGACATGAAACATCTTCTATCAATCGAAGGGACAACGACAGGTATACCAGTTGAACGATAAAAAGCTTCAGCAAGTTCGATAATTTTCAAAGATAATTGGTCATCAAAAATATTTTTTGGAATTTTCAGTTGCATTGGCTCGCATGCACCATGTCTTGTGATACAGTATACACTATTATTAAGTGCATTATGGGATTGCCTGCAAGTTGAGATTATTGCTTTGTAAAACGAATCCGACATTGCAAATTCACATTCTTTGTTGTTATAATCATATAGTACAAGCTTATATTCCATTACATTGTACAATACCCCTGAAATCTTTGAAAGAGATAAAAATTTAATTTTTTCTTCAAAATCGTGAAAGCTTGGGAATTTGGCAATAGAGTCTAACTTTTTTTCTTTAAATTTTTCTTCAAGTTTTTCAAAGGAAATCTTGTTTTTGCTGAGAAGTTGATCAATAATAATTGCGCCGCAATCCAAAGTCAATGGAAATCTACGGCGATTGTTATTCACATATAAAGAGAAAGATAGGTTTTCATTCAGATCAATCAGAGCAAGTTTTGACTCTAATTTTGCAAATTCTACAAAATTTTGAATTAACGTCTGAATAAATGTTTTTATCCGGTCAAAATTCAGTGATTTATCGTTTTTGTAAATATTTTTCTTGAAAAATTTTGTCATCTGAATAATAATATCGTAATTTAGATCTTGCTGATTGAGTTTCTGAATGTCATCTAATGTATTAATGATCTTACGTTGCTCTGGCATCTGAAATATCTTTCTTTTTAATTCAAGACGTTCATTTGGCTGAACAGGTATATTTTCTGCAAATTTTGTGTTTATAATAACTTCTGGATCATACATATTGCGTAAAAGAGGGAGCAAAACGCTTTTTACGTCTTGATTTTCGATTATTGAATTTAATTTTTGAGTGTAAATGGGTTCCCACTTAAGTGGAACGTATCCTGAGACCCATGATAAAAGGGAAATGAGCTTTTTATAATATTGTTTGTATTTTGGTAATAAATCCGAAGTAAAATGACGAATAATCACTGGTTGAAGATAATACGCAATTTTTCGTAGTCCTACTAGAGGATTAGGGTCTGATTGCTGTTGATGGTCGCTTATAATATTGAAATAAAGATCTATTTGCCATTGAACGTAAGTTATGTGATCTTTTTCATTCTTGATGGTTAGGTAAGGTATAATTTTATGATCAATAATTACTTGGTGGCATTTTAAATCTAGTTTACTAAGATAATACAAAAATCTGTATGCGTATCCAATAGAAGCCTCGCTTAATTGATTTAATGATCCTGTAGAAAATATGGCATCAAGAAACAAATTTAAACTAATATCTTTGTAAAAATTCTTATTTTGTGTTGAAAACCGAGAAGCTATTAAAGCCAGTATTTCTAAACACATTTCGATTGTTTCAATATTATAAGAGTCAATATTTTTAAGAAAAATGTTGATTGATGTTAATTTTTTCAGAAATATACTGCCAGTATGACCATCAGCAATTAGGAATTTATGCATGATCGTCATTGCTTTAAAATAAGTTTGTTTTATATCGGAATTATTTTGATTTTCGGAATTTTCTTCTGATTTCATGAGTATCTGACCAATCTTTTCTAAGTGATCATTTCCATACGCATCAGTAATAGTACTCTGCGTAAAGTTTTCTTCTTTACTGTAATAATCCAAAAGTTCCATAATTTTTTTGACAATAGTTAAATTCTCCTGACATTATTTCATTGGAATTATGTAAATGATAATAAATTATCATTCTATTTCAATCACTTAATAATCATATTCTGGTTATCAATATTTTCAAATTATGAAATTAATATTGGATGAAATACTTTTAATTACTTGAGAATAATTATCATTTACTTTTTTTATACGGTCGGCTCATTATTATCATCTGAATCGTTCTTTTCAAGTGGTTCATTTTTACTACCCTCATCTTCCGGCTGAATCAACGCATAGCATAGTCGCCATCCAAGATAAACTGTTACTGGTGCAACAAGGAAGAAAATTCCCCATGCAATTATTTCAGTTGAACTGATGTTCGGAGTTGACTTGATTTTCACTATATCTGGAACTACGAAGTACTTCAACTTCGATGAAACAACATTAGCTGCCTGAAGTATTCTCTGATCTGTAAGTTCATAACAAGTCTTAATATATTCTTCAGGAAGATCATTATCTTTCTGAATCATACTGAGGTTGTAAACAATTTCCTTTGATAAATTAAAACTTTGATTAATGGCACCAGCATAGTCAGAAGGACATGGCGTTATAAATTTACTGTCATTCAATCTTTTATATAATCTTGTTGTAGTTTCTTCAATCTCCTTCCATCCATTACCATTAAAAGGCGTTTTTAGTACATATCTTCCACATCCAGTTTCCCAGAAATCATGTAGGCTCATATTCTTGCCTTTGAATTTAATATTGAATTTTTTACCATTATCATCTCCATCAATGAATGTATCGTTATCAAAGTATTCAGTAACATGAACAGGATCAAATGAATCCATATATAAGGTTAAGAACACTTTAAATCCAAAATTATATGGCCAAGGCCCATTTAAAGTGCCTTTCATAATAGTTTTGTTCAACTTATCGAGTGTACATTCAAGATCATCTTTATTTATACAATGATGTTCAGGATGTGGAATTGCATTGATATTTTTCTGAGAGTAACGCCAATGATCAAAACAATTAGTGTTACTTGGTGCATGAAGCAATGAAGCAAGCCATGAACCTGCCAAAGACGGTCTCTCCATCTTTTCTCCAGTCATATCGATAACTTTTTGTAGTTTCGATATTCCTTTATTTCCAAGTTTGCGAAAGATAAGTTCGGTACCAATTGTAAGGTATTCCTCACTCCAGGACCTGCTCAAAAAAAACAGAATAAATATCATTTTTGACAATTGTGATACAAACTTTGAATTGAGTATAGAATTCAATTGAATCGACTCAATTTATTTAAATTACTACAGTCATAAGATCAAACCTACATTGTTTTTAAACACAATTTTGAAAAATTAAGGGTGCACCCGTATGTACGTTTATTTGAGAGGAGGAGGATTACCCTCTCAATTTTGAGGGATTCGTTAGTTTATTTTCTCGATGAATATGCAATAAAATTTGATTTTTACCTTATCAATATACTTCATATAATATACATAGGGTTGTTAAAAATATCAAAAATTAGCGTTTTGAAGACACCATGGTGTCTTATAATTTTCCCTTCCTTATTGGCGTGTAGAAATAAATAATATTTGAGAGTTAATTGAATTTATTAATTTGTCTCAATTTCAGTATTATAAATTTTTATAATTTCAATATTTTGAAATACACTTTTTAATATTTCAATATTTATGATATTTCAATGTATTAAGTGGTCTCAAATTGAGCTTCTCAAATATAAGTTGGCCTATTCAAATAATAAAATTAAATAATATTTAAAATAATAAATAAAAGTGATTGAGGTCATAGCAAAACGGCTGTTTCAGTCATTAATTCTTAAAAATAAAAAGGGTAAAAACTAAATACAATGGGTAAAATTCAATAGTGTCTGTGCTATCGTTCAATTTGAAGGTGTCTTTTGAAACCGCAAGACACATTGAATTTTTGAATAGTGTATTATGGTTTGACAGACACCAATGAAAAAATAAAATGATATTTATTTTAAATATATAAGATCCTTATATAAAATATAAATATTTATCGTTTTATTTTCTTGTTTTAGAAATGTTTTTTATTGAAAAATCAATAAAACTAACTCCAAAATAAAATTTTTGATTTAAAGACACTATGATGACACCAGGCAAATCTTCCAAGACACCTATCGTCGGGAATCTAACAACCCTAAATATACACATGTTCATGTAAAAACTTTTTTCCAAAATCCTCAGGAATTAAGGGATTTTTGAATTTTAAGAATTTTTTTCGAATTTTTTCGAAAAAAAAATATTTTCAGAACAGCCTTAACGGCTAAGATTTAGGAACAATGTTAAGTATCAAAAAGAAAGGAGGTCTGATATAGACAACATATATCGTTGAAGGTTGAAAAAATCTCTAATATTTGAGCCCAAAATTTCAAATTTTAATTTTTTGAAAAAAGAGGCCACCCGTATGTACGTTTATTTGAGAGGAGGAGGATTATATTTTTGAAAGGGTGAAACATTATGAATATGTTAATTATATAATAATATGTATTATTATAAAAAAGAAAAAATAAAGCACGTTAAAATTTTTCTTTCTTGATTTTTTACAAAATCTACTTAGAATTATGCAAAATATGACTAAATAATTATAAATTTCAAGTTAAATTTTAATTTTGATAAATAATTTAAATTTCAAAATATCAAGTTCAGTTCGACTATGTATGTAGTAATTCCTCAATAAAGTGCCAAAACCCTATTAAAATATATGAACATTTTCAACATTTTAATGTTTTTATTTAAAAATTTGATGGAATATGAGCTTCAAACAATTATTATGTAAATAAAAATAATTAAATATATGTATTTATTCGTATTACAACCGTAGTAAGTCGATTCTTCCTTTCTTCTACTGAGATTTGAATTTGATTTCGAATTGTAAAGAGACTCAAAGGGAAAATACTAGCGGATAAAAACTACCTCCATGAAAGGGTCATAATGGAGTCAAGTTGTATTTTTTGATATTTTTTGCTTTTCGAGCCTAAATAGGTAGCCAAGATAATGCCTAAAAATAAGGTTCTAAATTCTGAAGTTTACATGATCCTCTCGTGCGCACCCTTAAATAAAAAGCATTATTTTCACATTTTATATAAGAGTAGGAAATTCCGGCATTTTACAATCAACAACATATGAAGAGTTGATAGTTTTGATGCATATAAAATTCCGAAAATATTGCTTTCCGTCCAATAAGTGAATATTTCATTAAATTTTCAAAGAAAATGAAATATCTGCATTTATTTTTCGGATACAATTATATGTAATCTAACATTTAATACAAATTCTAAATTATTTTTAATAAAATAATATTTAAATATAAAAAGCAATTCTTTATATTATCCAACATCTTCCCAGCCATCAGATTCATCTTTTTGTGGTGCATTTATTATCCTAGCAATTTTTTCAGTCAAATCCAAGTCATTTTCATCAGAATCTGAGCTTGAAGAACTTTCTTTGTCATCATTCTCTTCTGTTTCTACAGTTTCATCCATTTCTGGTACTTTTGGAGGTAATTCTGGTGGATTATCAATTAATTCCAAAGATTTGTCGACAAAAAGGTCAAACATTGCTCCATAGTCCTTGTCCTGGTCATCAAGGAGCTCGTTGTCAATGTTGTCAAAATCTATTTGCGACAAATTCGGAATTAATTTTAATGCGATCTCAGGATTTTGGAAAGCTGTAAAAAGCAGTTTAAGCAGCAGCTTTAAAGTGAAGTGAACAACTTCTTCATTGTCTGATTCAATCAGTTCAACGATTTGTTCGATATAAGAATTATTAACGACGTAATTCGTAACAGAAGCAATACTGTTCTCAATTAATACGGACAAGGCTTTTATTGAGACACTTTTCATCTGATTTGTGCCGAATTCAATAATATTCAATAATTCGAACACAACATTGGAGCTAAAGATGCCTTCTTCGGCTGATGAGCCATGGTTGAACGCGTTGATCAAAATTTCGCACATACTTTGCAATTCTTGGATATCTTTGTCAATTTTGATCGCTTTCATGATGTAATCCCATGGAACAATCACAGCATCATCAATAACCCTTTGATGAGGACACAAAAGTAGTTCCGACCAAAATTTCAAAATTGATATTCTGATTTCAACTGATGCAGTGGAATACGCAGCAAATAACTTGGCAGGACCGATGTTTCTCATGAAATAAACAACATTTTCTATACTTTTGATACAGAAAAAGTGTAAAACTTCGATATCGTACTCTGAAAGTGTAGATAGATCACTCCTGAAGGTCGGCATGTACATATCTGGTATGAAATGACCTAATGCAATAGGTATTATGATGTCATCATCTTTCATAATGCTATAAAAAATGGATGTAATTAATTTCATATGAGATACTTGGTGAAATTCGTTGTAAAGTAATGCAAATACTTCTAATCCATTCATTTCAACGAATTGTCTGCGAGAATTTTGTCCATCAAAAATTATATTTTTCAAAAGAGTTAAAGAAGAGATTCCATGCTTGAAAGTTTCCTTTTTTGAGCATAGTTCTACAGTAATATGGAATAAAAATTGAAAGAAATCTTCGTATTGAAAAGGTTCAAAGTCGACATTTTGAATTGCACTCCAAACAATAGCGCAATTGAGAGCTTGCATAAGAATTGTTAATGTTGTGTCTGGGCAAATTAATGAAATAAGTGTTTCACATACATCTCGGTGGAATAACTCATCAGGGATGGAATCTTTTGATTGAATTAATGCAGATCTGAATAATGCTAAGTCCCTATGAATTTTATCTGGATCTCTATCTCTTACATCGTTTGATAAATCATTAAATATGTCTATAGGATCTATATCAGCACCTAATCGTGGAGTAGTGTCAACATCAAATGGTTGAAAAATTTGATCTTGCTTAGTATCTGCATTTTTAATATCATCCTCCTCGACTTTTTTGAAATTTAAAGTCATTTTTGAAAAATTTTCATTTGTCACTTTAAGTAACTTTTGACATTATGAAACTACTATAAATTAGTATCCTATATTTATATTTTTATGACTTATTTTTGATAGTTTTTGTTCACACTAATGTTTTCAAATGATTTCCCTTACTAAAGCATACGAAGAAGGAAATCTCGAACGTATTAAATCTCTTATAGAAAGTTGTAACTATAAAGTAGAATCTTTAGGTTTACCACTCATTTTTGCATCACAAAATGGTCATCTTGAAGTTGTTAATTATCTTATCTATATTGGAGCTAATAAAGAAGCAAAGGATTATTATAGATGGACTCCACTCATTTGGGCATCAATTAAAGGTCATCTTGAAGTTGTTAAATATCTTATCTCAGTTGGAGCTGATAAAGAATCAAAGAATTATAATGGATATACTCCACTCATTTGGGCATCAGAAGAAGGTCATCTTGAAGTTGTTAAATATCTTATCTCAGTTGGAGCTGATAAAGGATCAAAGAATGATGGTGGATGGGCTCCACTCATTTGGGCATCAATTAAAGGTCATCTTGAAGTTGTTAAATATCTTATCTCAGCCGGTGCTGATAAAAAAGCAAAGAATAATAATGGAATGACTGCCCTTGATGTTGCAAAAAGTTCTGTGAAAAATACTTATTGAAAAGCAAAACAGAATAAAGAATAATTATAGGTAATGATATCATTATCCTTGCCACTTTTAGTACAGAAAACAATTAAAAAACTCATTTTGTAGCTCCTGAATCTTCATCAAAGGCGGACCAAATGAAATTTGAGCCTCTGATAATTTGAATATGACGGATGTGTCCATGAAGTATATATATACAATGCTAAGTATTCACTAAGCATATGTTTGTTAAAAACATGAAGAATTTGAGTGTTTTGAATTCACGATTTTATTGATGTTTTTTTGAACGAACGATTAAGTATATATATTGAGAGCTGAATGTATTGAAGAGTAGTTGAAAAAAAAAGTGTTTGATTTAAATTTATCGGCGCGAAGCGCTAATTAATGTCACTTTTGGAATTCGTTTGAAAATTCAAAAATGATTCTTTATCAACAAGGAAAGATACCTATTACTTATAGTGCTCCTCTATTATCATGCTCCACATTTGTTGCATTCATAATTTATGCAGCAGCTATTGTTTTTCCATACTTAATTTGTGGATGGACAAAAGATTTCTTCACTCTTTACGAAACAAACTATGAACAACCATATATTTATACAACATCAGAAATAAGTTTATATGATGCACAACACAACTTAACATTTAGCATTCCAATGACTTCCGACGTTAATGTTATTCCAATCTTCGAAAGAACTTCAAGAACAGACCTTCACGATATTACATTTTCATTAATTCTTCCAACATCTTCTGTTCAATCTAAAACAGGCTCAATAACACTCAAATTCCCGTATAAAGTTGAATTTAATAAGACAATTCACCATGTTTTCACAGGAAAAATCAACACAGTTCTTAGACCATTCGAACCTGTCTGTCAGGCATCTATTTCTGGCTTCTTAGGTTTCAATCAACAATTACCTTACACAAAGAACATTCCTCCAACAGCAGAAGGCTATCAGGACTACGCAGAAGAAAACGATCTTCCTATTACAGACGGTGACCTTCGCTTATACGGCCAGCCATACTTCCAAGTCAACGCACAAGAGTTTGTCTACGGAACATGTGATACCTTTACACTCAAGTTCAAAATGAGAGCTCCTATGCTTGCTGTTAGAATAGAGAACAACTTCTGGTACGCATTCCTTTCCGGCTGGACAAAGTATATCGCTGTTGCAGTTCCATTTATTTTCTTCGCACGCTGCACATTGAGTTTGTTATTCGGTTCTGGTTTACTGGCTTCTACTCCCAATGTCGAAGCTGTTTTGGCCAAACCTTCAATCAAGAAATTCAACCGTAATTGATTTATTTTTATTGGAGATAATATTTGATTCTTTTTACTTTTGTCGTATTTCTAAATTTTATTTGATAATAGCTTTTCGTTTCTTCTTTTCTCCAGATAATTTCATTAAATTAATAGTTTGTTTCTAATTATCAACGAATCTATTAGTGTATTTATTCCAATGATTACCTAGCATTACATTTTGTTCTATTATATAAACATATTTCCATCCTATTATTTAAAGTTTGACGAGAAAGGAAAATTGATCACTAACTATCATTCCCATAGGCTGGGTAATAATTTATAAGTTTTTGGCTTGATCACTACTATACTAATGTTATCAAATTATTTTGATTTTTTTCAATTTTCATTTGAAACATCTGTAGTTGCAGGAATGCATTCATATTTTAACAGATTAATATTATTCCCAGATTCAGATTTTAATCTGACTTTAATATTGCATTAGATTTCGAAATGCCGAAAAATCACTTATTTTCCCAGTCAAACTCTATGTACAAGCATCTACATATATGAGGAAACTATGTGTACTATTCATTTTCCACCCCACAAACTAATAGTGTCTGTGGAAAAGGATGTATATCATTATTATTTGATCAGACTATTTCAAAGGAATAATAATGATATTATTGTGTAAATACAAGTGTCTATCAAAATATAACTAAATTTTAGCTCAAAATGCATATTTCATTCATAAAATTAAATTAATTTCTAATTTAAGCTGTGAGAACACAAGCATTGCCATATTATAGTCAAAACAAAGTCATTCATAGCAAAAACGAAGTTTTATTTGCAATTATACGCATCATTATCGCTTTTTCTTTTTGCCATTTTACAATTTTTTGGCAGATTCATTATTATAGAGTATAAATGATTCAGAGATAGTGTTCACAATGCACAGCTTATGTCTTAAAATCATGTCCTCTCAATTTACCGCAAAAATGGATAAACCTCGGTTAGAGGGGATGCCAATATATATAATTTTACGTGACCCTCCTAAAAAAATGATAAGCGATCAGTATCAGGAGTATATGAGCGTGGTTGCAGATCGCAGACGCAAAGCTTCAGACCGATTTTATCAGGTTCAAAAAATTCTTTCTGCGCTTCCAAAATGCAAACGAAGGAAATCAGATATCCTACTTATCGCGAAAAAGATATCAGAAAAGACAGGAATTAATATTGACCGATCAGCAAAAAGAATATATGATTGTTTAATTTGCTGGTACTGCGAAAATTGGTCTGCAGTCAACAAATATATAATCGAAACTTATTACGAGATCTTTGAGCCTGAAAACTACGAGAAATTCAAAGGATTAAAGCATCTTGAGTTCCCAGAATGTTTGAAAATCAGTGTATTATTGAAACAATGAATTCAATTTCATTATTATATTTTTTTTCTTTGTCCTCTGTAAATTTTTTTTAAATTCAATCCTAAATTTAATTTTTCAAAGGCCTATAAAAATAAATACTTGTCAATAAACAAATTAAGAACGAGGCATTCAATTTTGACAATTGTGACATATTTTTAATTACTCAATTTAAATAAAAAATTAATGGCTGCCAAAGTTGAATTAAAATATTAAATTTTCAATGGAGTGGTCTTTTTTTATCAGTTAATTTGAAATATAAAAATTGAATAAAACCATTAATTTTTGATTAATCCGATGATGATTAGAATGCATTAATGAATCATATTTTCTGATTTTGGTCATCTGATAAAATCTTTTTATATGCTAGCGTTAATTCACATCTTCTATTAATTTCGAGTGATCGTTTAATGATTCGAGATACACTGATAAATTGCTGAGACATACCTAGAATATAACCCGCAACGCTGGCTTCAGGATTGAATGAAATAAAATTTTATTTTTTATTTTTTCGTTTATCATTTGAAAACTTATGAAATCATATTTATCATTCGACAAGCAATCGGTAAATCATTAATTGTTCGCTACCATTACCTTGATTTTCATTATTTTCGATCATATATTTGATATTATTTTTTTAATTTCTTTTACAGGATTTTCAAAATACCCTCAAATCATTACCGCCACTATACAAGAATCATCCACAGCTCCTCCTTTCATTTCCTATACGATTTTTCAAACTGAAACATTTATTGTAAAAGTATGGGTTGCCAAAATCTGACACAAGTTGAAGTCAACTATTTTAATAATACCTTGATTTAAATCAAACATTTGTTTCTCCGATTAATTCAATTACAAAATTATGAAATTTTAAATCAATAGCTTTGAAAAATAAGAGAGAATTCTTGTTTTTCTCTTAATGGCAAAACCATTTTCAATATTTATTTATTTTTTTTTTTTTCAAAATTTCATAAATATTATTTTTTAATAATTATGGAAAAGATCACCGAATGAATTCGATACTATTCTCTGTATCAATTAGCTTGGTCTGTTACGGATATGACAACAATCAACTGCACAAATAAAATGATTTCAGATATATCATTATTGATTTTTTTTAATTATACATATACATGATATATATGATAGCTTCTGAAATCAAAGATTGAATTTCATCTCCAAATTGAAAATCAAAGAAATTGTAATTACAAAATTAATTCAAAATATTGGAATTTGCATGGTAAAAGCACCAGAAAAATCCTTCTGGTGATCTTTAATCAAAGTCAAACTTAACATTGGGAGCATATTGTAAGTAATCATCTTCAAGATGTTCAAAAGCATTAGCAGATGCCATGGATATACATTTTGAATCAACTAATGGGCTAAAATCAAGAAATCTCTTAAAATTAATTTGATTTCCAAGCGGCAAAGATATTGTTTGAAAAACATTATTTTGGAAGCGAATTATAAACTCAGACCCCTCCAAAAATTTAGCTGCTAAGTGAAATAACAAGTTAAATCCAATTTGATTACCTAATTCAATGAATTCATCAACAGTAAATCCCATTATTTCATTCATTCCATCTCCAAAACAAGTCATAGAAGAAAAACCGTTGATTCCTGGTGTATTTCCAGCATCTAATTGTTCAACAGCGAAATATGCTTCGTAAATTGGCCTAAGCTGATCCCAAGGTGTATGGCATTTCGGGCAAAAACCAAATGATTCATAAAATTCATCTACATTAATTTGAGCACATTCAGCAAAATATTCTGGGAATCCGTCGACAGATTTGTTGCATTGATCACAGCGGAATTTAATAATTGACTTATTTACTGTACTCCCTACTTGATGAATTTTAACTCTGCAAGTTGCACTATATGATAAACTCATTTTTAAAATTTTCTTTGTTTTATAAATTTTTCCAAAAAAATAAAATAGGGGGATTAAGATTTGATATCCCCTAAATTTCATTATGATTTCCGTCACACCAAGGCTAATTGATACAGTGAGAGGATATTTCGTTGCACGACGTGATGGAAAAGCTGAAAAGTATTATGCTGATCGTGTTGATATCATTAAAGCCGGGCTTATTTCTGATGATGTTAATGAAATCTCTGAATCTGTAAGAGAAGTCATATTTTTCGATTTAATTGGATATGACACATCATTTTCAGAGTTTGGAATTCTGGAATTAATGTCTCACAACGATTTCTCAGCAAAACTTGTTGGATACACAGCATCAACGCAAATATGGAAGGCCGATTCACCAGTAGTGTTGATGGCAACAAACAGAATTCAACGTGATCTTACTTCAACTAGTTTTCATTACGCAGATTTCGCATTATCATCATTCTCTCGTTATTTATCGCCATCACTAGCCAAAAATCTTGCTCCTGAAGTCATTGCTCTTATGTCTTCTACAAAAACATTCGTTAGACAAAAAGCAATCATTACTTTTTACCATGTCTGCTTAAAATACCCAGAAGCACTTAAAGTTGGCTTCTCAATACTTCGTTCTTGCTTGAGTGATGACAATAAATCAATAGTTTTTACAACTCTCACGGTAATGAACGAAATTTGTTCACATAACGCTTCAATATTCATCAATCTCATACCAAAGTTTTACAAAATGATTACAAGTGTTACAAGCAATTGGATTTTACTACGATTAATCTCTTTACTCAAAAAAATCGCATTATCAGAGCCAAGACTTCCGAAAAAGCTTGCAGGACCATTCCAAACTGTCATAGAGACAACATCATCCGTATCTGTCGTGTTTGAATGCGTTCGCGCCATGTTAGAAATTCCAATTCCAGATAATAAGCTTTTTACGATTGCCGTTCAGAAGATTGAGCAGTATCTGACCCATCCAGAGCCAAATCTCCGCTTTTTATGCATGCAAATCTTTGTTGAACTGATAAAAGTCGAACCAAACTTAGTTGCCGGCCATAAAGACCTTATTTCGGGTTCACTTGACTCACCAGATGAAGCGACGAAGCTTTTGGCCCTTGATCTTCTCGTTGCCCTTGCAAATGAAGAAAATATCGACAGTATTGTCGGTAAATTCTTCATCCAGTTCAAGAAATCCACATCTCTTCAGTTCAGAAACCTTATTCTCACTAAGACGATCAAGCTCTGTGCCTCAGAAAACTACAATCTCATTACAGATTTCGATTGGTACATAAACGTCTTATTTGACTTCGTAGAAGAGGGTGAATTTACATGTTATGACATTCTCGCGACCCAATTCCTTGATCTTGCCCGCAGAGTTCCTTCAACTCGAGATCATCTCGTTGAATCCTGCACAACGATCTTCAGCAAGCCCAATTTCAGAGATGCGACCGAACTGTTATTGGCTTCCTCGCACATTGTTGCTGAATATTCCAAGAATTCGCTTCCAATCAAAAAAGTTTTACAACCTGTCATTGCAAACTGCACAGAAAGAGTACAGGCAAGCTGCGTTGACACAGCATTCAGGCTGTACCTCAGAGCTTCTGACGAAGAAGAGTTTTCTGCAATGGAAACACTATTTGATTTAAGGTTGCCACTTTTTTGTTCATCCACTTTTCCAGAAGTTTACGGGCGTGCATATTCTGTTCAAAAGATAATTAATATATTGAGAAAAGATCACCAATCATATACATTCCGAAATATCCAGAAATCTCTTGCAACTGAAGAAGATGCGATTATGAAAGAAGATCTTAAGAAACCGGAAGGTTTTGATGATCCTATTCCTCTGTTTGAGGAAGACAAAGAAGAAATAGAACGCGAGAAGGCTGCAGAAGTCGCAAGAATCACTCAAGAAGAAATGATTTCAGATGATGAGAAAATTTATGGCTTGAAGAAGTCAAGAAGGAGAAAACAGGATACAACAAAAGAGAAGGTTGTAATATTGGACGCTGATTCTTTGTTTGCAGAGAAAGATAAAAATTCAACGACTAATAAGGTCAATAAGTTCCTTGAATCAGGTTTGGCATCAGTAAAAATCGATGATGATGAAGATGATACACCAAAACAACCTCAAATCGAAAAGAAAGAAGAAATTCCTCAGAAAATTGAAAAAGAAGAAGAGAAACCAATGCCAAAACTCAGATCAAGAAAACCTGGAAACAAATTAGCAGAGGCCTTAGCTTCTTCTGCTACAGAAACTGATAAAGAAGTTCATGTTCTCGAAAGTACTGAATCTACCCTGAAAAAGAGAAGAAGACATCACCATCATAACAATGATGAAAAGAAAGAAATTAAAGAAGAAGGAACTTCTGAAAATACAAATGACGGAAATAATATTTAATTTTTTTTTTTGTATAATTATAAAATGTATGTATTTTAAACTCTTTATTTGATCTAAACTCGATTCCAAATACTCAAAGAAGCTTTATGCACTTTTAATAAACTAATATTTTGATCTTTTTGAAAAGCATTTGATATTTTCGATGGAAATGGTGAGAAGAAAACTTATCTCTATTATGAATCAGCAGAAAATCGAATTTAAATGAATTATCAGTTTATTTCGCAAATCATTTACTGTGATTTGATGTTTCAATTTGGATATTTTGATTAAAAACCATTATTATTCCTTTTCTATTGACTGATTTAATAAATTCAACAGACTTATTGCCTATTAAAATCATTTCAAATTTTTCATTCTCAGACAGACAAATAAAGATATAAAAGAATTAGTAAGATAACAACTTTCTTTAATATGATACATTCTAAATCTAAAGTGAAAAATAGAAAAATTCATAAATTTATTATAGATTTTATTCTAGAAATTTTATTTTATTTGAAAGCCTTGATTGTATTAATAGCCTTTTCTAATCTCTTCTTCTGTTCCTCGACAGTCTTATTGAATGGACTTGGACGTTCATCAATTTCCTTCAATTTTCTTTCGTTGTATTTGTCAACAACAGCAATGATTTGGTCGACATTTTTCTGGTGTTTCTTTGCGAACATCATCATTGATGCCAAAGAGAACAAAGAACTCTCTTCACTGACTTTTCCTTCCTTTACGAAATCAGCGAAATCTTTGTACAAAACTGGAATATCGTTGACCAATTTTTCATCAACATTTTCAGCTAAAATGATCTGAGTCAAAAGAGATACACCTTTAACGAGATCTAAAGTATCAGGGTAGATAAGCTTCTGTACATCTGTGTATAAAGGAAGTGCTGTTTCATCAGTCTTGTTTACGAGTTCTTCGATACTCTTTGTTTGTGTCAAAACTCTCATTTTGTTTTTGACAATTTCTGTTTTTTCGTTTTCCAAAATCGATGTCCAAAGATCGACAACTTTGTAGAGATATCTGATTCTGTGCTGCATTATCTCTTTACGGATATTTGTTGCCTGCAACAATGTGATGAAGTGTCTGTCATCGATACATCTCTGGTAGAATTGGTTGAATCCAGTGATCGAATTGAAACAAAACTGTTCTGTCAGATTTGAAATTCTCTTCATCTCGTCAATGTCCAATTGGTTGATGATTCCTTCAGCGAAGACATGTCCTAATGACAAGAACTGGATGGCTTCCAATTTGAGCTTAGTCTGGTTCTCGCCAATGAAAGATGTCGCTCCGAAAAATGTTGCCAATCTGATTAACATCAAACGACATTCTGGAGCTTCATCAAACAAAGCACATGTACTTGCAGCTTCAACTAAATACTTCCTGTCATTGGTCTTAGAGTATTCTTTAAGGAGATGCTCTGCTTTGATGACAGCCGACCTTGAATTAGTGACTTCGCCAATGAATTCGCCTGTGATGTATTCATGAAGTGCTTGGTCGTTGATTGCAGACAATTTCTGTCTGTTCTGGTCGTTGACGTACTTGCGGAGGTCTCCGAACAAGTAGCCGACGTTCTGGCGTGAGTTTGCGTAGTCAATGATCAAATCTGATGCATCAGAACCGTTCTTGATTTGGTAATCGATTTCTGCGAGTTTTGGACCGCGACGCTTGCCTTTATTGAGGTCCTGGATGACTTGTAAAGCGTTGGGATGGTGCTCTACAACTAATCTCCACTCATCAATCGATTCTGCGTTGATTGTTCGTAAGAATTTTTCGGCCAACTTGCCAATTTCTTCTGTCTTGCCTAAGGCTTGAAGACAACTGATTTCGAGCCTAATAAGACCCATTTTGTCGTAGGATAAGATCTTCTGGACGTCGGCGGATTGAACATACGCCAAAGCTTTCTCAGCTTGGTTTGATTTGATCATTGATTCAACGTACATGTATATGGCATCGTATTGCTTTGGTTGGGCTTTCTCAAAGAACTTGGCGGCGAATGCATAGAATTGTGGTTTCTCATGAAGAGCTCTGAAGTAGCAGCAAGTAGCACAAATGAGGAAGCTAGTCTCTACTTGGGCTAAACGTGTAAGTTGCATTGATGTTTCTTGAGCATCATTGAAATATCCTGAAATTAACATGCAAATTATGGCTTGTGTGAGAGCTTCCACGTTCTTTTGGCATAGTGCAACAAGCCTCTTGTAAATCGGAACACATTCTTCTTCGGCACCTGTAGATCTGTAAAGTTTGATAAAAGACTCTAAGAAAAGTGCGTCATTTGGCTTCTTTTCCTCGATTTTCTCACAGTATGCAAGCGCTTCCTCAACATTCTTTTGACCTAATGCAAATGCGCCTTTGTATAATTCGACAAATGGTAAATTATTTGGTTGTGTTTTCTTTTTTTCTTGTTCTGCAATGATTTTCTTTGCTTCCTTGATGTTGTTGTTCTTGCAATACTCTCTGATATCTTCAAAACGTCTAATATAAGGACGAAGCTGCTGTTCTGAAAGACTCATATTAGCTGGATATATTGAATAGTTTACAAATTTTCACCAAATTTTCCTAATTTTCAATAGGAAAAGAATATTTATTTACACTAAACAACACCAATTTCTTGCTATTGCACTATCCATAGGCTATTTTCTTAGCGATCTGCAACACAATTTTTTTCATTTTGAGATTTGATAAATGTCTAGCAGTGATTCATCAGATGACATTCCTAGTTCAATGAATAATAAAGATGCCATTCAAAGGTTAAACCAAGAAATAGCAAAAATTGATCGCGAAAACTCTGATATGATGGAGAAAATTAATGAATTAGAAAAAGAAGCTGAATTAATCAGATCAAAGAAGGATTTACAAACAAAAAAGCTTGAAGAATCTGGCAGCTCATCATCTTTTATCATTTTCTTCATTTTATTGTCAATTATTTTTTATATTCTTCTCAAAAAGAATTAATTCCTCGATCGTGCACCAGAAGGAACTATTTAGCTGTTTAATTCAAGAATACTTTTTGCTCCATTCGCTTTAATACATGATTTCAAATATTGATACTAGATTTCAAATTGAATTCATGTCAATAATCCACCACATGAATCAACCAGAATATATTCTTACAAATCTTGAAGAGTCATGTTAAATATGTTTAGGAATTTGTAGAATCATGTAGATTGAATTGCAACACATGCAAGTTCTATTTAATTCATTCCTATTTGACTTGATTTTTTGATACATATCCAAATTTGAATAAAAAATTTTAGTTTTTCAATGAATATTTTGAAACCCCGGGAAGTGAATTCATTAAGCTTACAGGTGAATTATAATTTCATATTGTTTGTATTTGAAAACAAGAATACAATCGTTAGATCAAGCGCTATTAATACATTATCTCATCATCTCTTCATACTTCCCAGAAAACACAGAATTAATGTCCTCCATATGCGAATTAGCTGAAAAGGACTTGGATGTCAACTACAATGATGTTAAAATCAACTTATTCCAGGCATTTAATTTCCTTGTTTGGGCAAATAAGGAATTGGTTGCTCCAAGAGCTAATACATTGGTTAATTTGGCAATGGAGATGATAAAGAATGAAGAAATCAACGAAACAACTAAATTCGACCCTGCAGTTCTTTGGGCATCACTCATAGAATTGTACGAATTATCTCCTTCGATGGAGGAGTTGGAAGCTGTCATAAATGTCCTTCCTGGATGTGCCCACGACTACCAACTTAAATATTCTGCTCATTTCGCCTCTTTCCTCATGCAGAAGTATCCTAACGCTATTCAGAGTGAGCCAATAGTAAGATTCGCTACAACAATCATCGGTTCCGATGCTTTGTTCGAATACATCGATCCGAACGACATCGTCCTTTTGGCTCAGGCAATTAACAGCGCAGACCCAGAACTTGTCAAGACTATTGCTAATAATAATGAATCACAACTTCAATACATTAAAGAACACATGGAAATTATCGCAAATTTCCAACAGTAAGTTGTAAAAGATAGAGTTTGATTTTATTAGAATTTTATTGCAAGTTTCATCTTTTTTTTATCTACATACAATTAAAAGAATGATATCCAATTCGTCGGATTTTTTTTTTGTTGCGATGAATTTTATAAACCTCCATTATTTTTGCTCTTGGAGACACTATATATCTTTTCTAGTTAGTTATAGTTATCAAATAGGCGGGCACTACTAAACCATTTCATCTCATAAATGTGGCAAATATAATTATCAACATATATCGGCCCGCTAATAGAATTTGCTAGATATAACATGTGACTAGTTGATTTGAAAGTAAAACAAAATAAGGAAATTCATTGGGGAAAAAATGAATTCCCCTTCATTTTTTCAAAAATATATTGAAAAGTTGACAAAGTGAATTTTTAGATATGAATATGATTGAGTTAATTGGCACAAATAGTTTTTAAATAATCTCTTACTTTACCATTTGAATACATCATTGCCTAAATTTCTTCTCTATTTGGTTTTGTCTTCCAAAAAGTATTTTTTCACAGAACTTTTTGCGACATCAAGAGCAGTCTTTCCATCATTATCCTTTGCTTCTTTATCAGCTCCAACAGAGATAAGATATTTAACAACTTCAAGATGACCTTTAATTGATGCATAAATGAGTGGAGTAGATCCATATTTATTCTTTGCATCTTTATCAGCTCCAACAGAGATAAGATATTTAACAACTTCAAGATGACCTTTAATTGATGCATAAATGAGTGGAGTAGATCCATTATTAACCTTTGCTTCTTTATCAGCTCCAGCTGAGATAAGATATTTAACAACTTCAAGATGACCTTCTTCTGATGCTTCAATGAGTGGAGTACATCCAAGACTATTCTTTGCTTCTTTATCAGCTCCAGCTGAGATAAGATATTTAACAACTTCAAGATGACCATTAGATGATGCTAAAATGAGTGGAGTCCATCCAAGACTATTCTTTGCATCTTTATCAGCTCCAACAGAGATAAGATATTTAACAACTTCAAGATGACCATTAGATGATGCCCAAATGAGTGGAGTAGATCCATATTTATTCTTTGCATCTTTATCAGCTCCAACAGAGATAAGATATTTAACAACTTCAAGATGACCATTTTCTGTTGCCCAAATGAGTGGAGTACATCCATCATTATCCTTTGATTCTTTGTCACAACCACATTCGATGAGTGATTGAACAAGTCTGAGATTTCCTTTTTCACTTGCAAAATGAAGAACATTTCTCTTACGAGAATCATATTTATCTTTTTTAGGAGCAATCTTTTTCCAAAGTCCTTCTTCGACTGATTTTGAAATCATTTCGTGGTTTCCTGTCGAAGAAAGTTCATCAAGGAATTTGTAAACTGTTTCAAAATCACTAGATTTCTTAAGTTCTGTGATTTTAGTTAAAATATCGCGTGAATGATTGTAATTTTCATTAGTTACATTGACAGTAGTATCTTTGGTTGCATTTTCATTTTCTTTTTGAAAAGCTTTGGATTTATCTTGAATTATTTCTCTTTCGTTCGTAGAATCGTTTATAACTTTCTCATTCTGTTTTAAAAAATCTGTAATGCCATCAAATATATTGAATTTCATGTATCTTTTCACAGAGTTAAGAATTGAAACAACTTCTTCGAGATTTTGGACACGAACGTTTGCCTTCCTTGTACAGATATATAATTCTTTGGAATTGAGAGTTGATGAAGATTGTTTAAGAAGAGTAACGTACTGATCAGCTGTCAAATGTGAATTTTTCATGATTATTTTGATATCCCTCATATCAAATGTATCGAAGAAGTTTTCATTATTAATATAATCGCTGATATAAGCAGCAATGTATTCGAAATTCAGATCCATGGCCTATTTCGTTTTTGAAAAAAAAATCGTAACTTTACAAAAAATCTGAAAAAAAATAGAATTGCTACTACGCTCTTTTACATACATTTGACATTTCTGCACAATTCAAAAATTTTTTCCACAATTCAAAAATTCTTGTTTATTCAAATTTGTGGGCTTTGAATTCCTCACAAAAATTGAATTCGTGCACACTAAATAAAAAATAGAGTGAATAAACTGTTCAAAATTGAGAGAAAAACGATAATTTTTAAAATAATAACAAGATATGGTTAAAAGTAATAGATATAGAAGGGATCAAGCAATATAATAATAATTGTTGGCTGATAAGCATCAATTTTTTGAAATTTCATAATTTGAATTCAAAAATTCAATGTGTCTTGCGGTTTCAAAAGGCACCTTCAAATTGAACGATAGCACAGACACTATTGAATTTTACCCATTCTATTTAGTTTTTACCCTTTTTATTTTTAAGAATTAATGACTGAAACAGCTGTTTTGCTATGACCTCAATCACTTTTATTTATTATTTTAAATATTATTTAATTTTATTATTTGAATAGGCCAACTTATATTTGAGAAGCTCAATTTGAGACCACTTAATACATTGAAATATCATAAATATTGAAATATTAAAAAGTGTATTTCAAAATATTGAAATTATAAAAATTTATAATACTGAAATTGAGACAAATTAATAAATTCAATGTGTTTTTTTTGAAATAACTCTCAAATATTATTTTTTTTTGTTTATTTAATGATGAATAAATATGATTGCTTTAGTCAATCATAAAAACTAATTTAAGTTTAAAATAATGAAAGGATAAATTGATCGTTTTTTAAAATACAATTATTTTTGATGATTTGCAAGAATCTTTGAAAAGAATATAATATTGGTTCTATTATTGTAAAATTTATCCAAATCATGTATTACATAAATTACGATTAAAACGATGAAAGAACCAAAAAGTGTGTTTTGTGTTTTGTTGTTGCGTGTTGGATGCGGGATCCTGTTATTTCCGAAATCGACAAAAAATTTGGAAATTTAATTTCCGAAATCGAAATTATATTAATGTTTTTAATATTCTTATATCAAAAGCATTAAAGTTCATTAAGAGAAAAACAATTCTTCTTCTTCAATCTATTGGCGCATTTATTTCTACACGCCAATAAGGAAGGGAAAATTATAAGACACCATTGTGTCTTCAAAACGCTAATTTTTGATATTTTTAACAACCCTAATTATCAACATATATCGGCCCGCTAATAGAATTTGCTAGATATAACATGTGACTAGTTGATTTGAAAGTAAAACAAAATAAGGAAATTCATTGGGGAAAAAATGAATTCCCCTTCATTTTTTCAAAAATATATTGAAAAGTTGACAAAGTGAATTTTTAGATATGAATATGATTGAGTTAATTGGCACAAATAGTTTTTAAATAATCTCTTACTTTACCATTTGAATACATCATTGCCTAAATTTCTTCTCTATTTGGTTTTGTCTTCCAAAAAGTATTCTTTCACAGAACCACTTGCAACATCAAGAGCAGTCTTTCCATCATTATTCTTTGCTTCTTTATCAGCTCCAACAGAGATAAGATATTTAACAACTTCAAGATGACCATTTTCTGTTGCCCAAATGAGTGGAGTACATCCATCATTATCCTTTGATTCTTTGTCACAACCACATTCGATGAGTGATTGAACAAGTCTGAGATTTCCTTTTTCACTTGCAAAATGAAGAACATTTCTCTTACGAGAATCATATTTATCTTTTTTAGGAGCAATCTTTTTCCAAAGTCCTTCTTCGACTGATTTTGAAATCATTTCGTGGTTTCCTGTCGAAGAAAGTTCATCAAGGAATTTGTAAACTGTTTCAAAATCACTAGATTTCTTAAGTTCTGTGATTTTAGTTAAAATATCGCGTGAATGATTGTAATTTTCATTAGTTACATTGACAGTAGTATCTTTGGTTGCATTTTCATTTTCTTTTTGAAAAGCTTTGGATTTATCTTGAATTATTTCTCTTTCGTTCGTAGAATCGTTTATAACTTTCTCATTCTGTTTTAAAAAATCTGTAATGCCATCAAATATATTGAATTTCATGTATCTTTTCACAGAGTTAAGAATTGAAACAACTTCTTCGAGATTTTGGACACGAACGTTTGCCTTCCTTGTACAGATATATAATTCTTTGGAATTGAGAGTTGATGAAGATTGTTTAAGAAGAGTAACGTACTGATCAGCTGTCAAATGTGAATTTTTCATGATTATTTTGATATCCCTCATATCAAATGTATCGAAGAAGTTTTCATTATTAATATAATCGCTGATATAAGCAGCAATGTATTCGAAATTCAGATCCATGGCCTATTTCGTTTTTGAAAAAAAAATCGTAACTTTACAAAAAATCTGAAAAAAAATAGAATTGCTACTACGCTCTTTTTACATACATTTGACTTTTCTCCACAATTCAAAAAAAAACTAGAATTGGTACTACACTCTTTTTACACACAAATGACTTTTTTTTCGTCTTATTTAGAGCGATATAAATAAATCAGCTGAGCTGCGCGCCGATAGAAGCTGACAAAAAATAGTTTCGGTATTGAATGAATCTATATCTTACTTTGATGTAATGATAATAGGCATAATACTATTAGTTACTAAAATACAATTGTTTAATTAATAACAAAATAAAAACAAGTTTAATATTAATACAAAATTAACAACATAAAGATAAACATTGCTTAAGAAGCATTCGGAAGGGCATTAAGAGCATCGTTAGCGATTTGGGAATAAACTGTAGCTTTGTATACGTAGTCATGAACATCCTGTCTCTCATCAGTTCTTCTATCAATAAATGTATGCCCTTGACATGATTTTGCAGCACATTTATATGAAATACCGCCTCTTCTGGACAAATCTCTCGGAGATCTGTCATCTAATGGCGCATTGGCAAAATATGAATAGTTCGCAAGTTCATAAACAGCTCCATAGCCGAAATACTTAAATATACGCGGATATTCAAACACTTGAATAAGTGCGTTAGGATTTGTATTCCTAAATTTTGTAATTGTATCTGTAATGTATGATTTAGTATTTGGAATTGAAGAGTAATTAGCTGTATTACGTGAGCATATAAATCCTTCTTTTTCACGAACAACAGTACCACTTTTGACATAAAGTAAAACTGTGCGCATTTCATTATAAGTATTATTAAGTGTGTAAGATAAATTAACCCATGAATCTGATCCCGCGCTATCAGAAACACAGTTTGCTGTTTCTCTGAAATATGGAGAGAATAAAACTTGTGAAAATCGATTATCCGTTGCTGTATTTGGATAATACGTATCATTTCCTATAAAGTTATATAATGAATTGAAGCTAGAATCTGAACTGATATTCGTTGCATTATTTAAACTTGTTGCCGAGGCAAAACAGATCACCGCAGTTAAACCTGAGAAGGCATAATATGAAATGTTAGCTGAGGTGCCGTTTATTGATTGATAACAGTAATTATATGCATACATTTTATATAAAATTATGGGGATATCACCAATTGATAAACGTTCATAACATCCCCTCAAAAATAAATTGTTCTCAATTCCGAAAAATTGCATTACAGAATCCAAGAATTGACACCAAAATCTATACATCGCTGTGAAACAACTAGTCCATGCACATATTTGCTTACAAACGAAAAAATTGATAAATTTGAATTTCGATCTAAGTTGGGATGAATTTTATTCCGGACAAAACGATAGTTACTATTCAGGAAGATTTTTAAACTCCCATAGTTATTACATTGTTGAAATAACTTCAATACAAAATTCGAGATTCATTAATTTTACTAATGCCGCTACATCAAATATTAAAATACTTTTTGAATCGTCATTATTCCATTCAAATCATATAGGTGATTCCAAAGGTTCTAAAGGATATGATGGATATGGTGGAAATATCTATCTCTATTCCAATTTAGATGTTGTTCAAAACAAGATATGCTCTTATAATTGTTCTTCAAGCGGATTTGGACAACATTGCTATATATACCTAAATTCCACCACTATTCCGTTCAAAAATTATAACTATCTTTCTTCATATTCCGATTTAGGCCAAACAGGAGTTGGAAAGTCACCAATCAATCATGTAAGAGGCGAAATTATAATTCATAATTCAAATATATCAAATTGTAGAACTAACCAACATTGTGCAATTTTAATTGAATTAACACGCTTTCCAGGAAATATTTCACAATCATCAATCACAAACAATTCAGCGACATCAGACTTTTGCATTTATTTTTCGGGATATGAATCATTTTCATATATCAAAACCAATTTTTTGAATAATTCAGTATCAGACAAATTATTTCGTACAAGTAATCATGATTTAACTATAAAAGAATGTATCATTAAAAACAATTCAGCAGCAAACACATTTATTTCGAGAAGTCCTTATTCGATTAATATAATATACAGTTTCATTGAAACAAACGGATCCACAGCTAGTTTAAACACAGAATCATTAACAACACAAGAGTTTGAAAACATTTTCTCTGTTTATCTTTCAAGTGAATGCTGTTGTAAATATATCCATGCTCAATCTGAAAAATATAACTCTGTTAAGCTATTAATATCTCTTTCTAATTACATATCAAGTTACTGTTTCGAACAAGGCATTGCAGAAGCTTTTGCTACCTAAAATATCACCGAAGGTAATTAGAGAGACAACCTTTATTTGTGATGCATCACCCTTTTTGAAATAATTTCTACCATCAAATATAATGGGTTTATATCTATAAGAAATAATTTTGAGTTTGAATTGCATTGATTTATAGCTTCGAATTGCCTTATAATCTTTTGAGTTTTATTATTTCAATATGTTTTATATTAGACTAGTTGAATGATATACTGCTAATATAATACTATCATCAAACACGTGATATCTCACAACTATTATACTAAAACTTATAGTATCGTTTAAATCTCAAAATACAAACGATAATACTATTATTAGCAGATTTCAATATGCATATGCCTGAAATGGGATTATAAAAAGTATGCTAATTATGCTAATTTTGTTTCAGTGTTCTAGCACTGAAACAATAATAAAATTTAGTCTATTATTTAGATCATTCTTTCGATAAGCTCATCGATAAGGTGTTCGCGGTTACCATAATCGCCACCCTCAACATAAGCGCGGTTAATCTTCTTGTAGCCGCCCTTTGGAGCATGAAGCTTGAAGACAGCAAGGAAGCGGTTAGCAGCAGCAAAGTTTGGACCAACAGTGTAGATTTCGTGAGCGAGATCTTCAACAGACTCGATGCAAAGATGGCCGAGAGCAACCTTGATGATCTGGTTGTCAGCGATTGGGATACGCTGGCCATTAAGGTTGGCTGTGCCAAGCTTGTAGATGAGCTTGCGGACCATGTCAACGGATGGGTAGCCGAAGGCAACCTGTGGTGTAACACGCTTGAGCATCTCGATTGTAGCCTTGTTGAGGCGGACAAAGATAGCGTTGTGCTTCTGGTTGAGTCTGAAGAGATGAAGGATCTTGCGGACATCTGGGTGGAGCTTGTTTGTACCCTTTGTACGGATGACGAAAGCAAACTTGGCTTCAGCTGGGACATAGAAAGCACCTTCGGCTGTGGCCTTGTTCTCGGCATCGATTTCGGCCTTTGTCTGGGAAACGTATTCAGCGGCGTACTTCTTAGCACGTTCCTGAATCTTGGCTTCATTAGCCTTGGCAGCAGCAAGGAGCTCCTCTTTCTTCTTGAGGTAAGCAGCCTTCTGGGCTTCAACGCGAGCGGCGATCTTCTGGAGTGTCTCTGGAAGTGGTTTTCCCATGAAACTAAATGTCTTGATTTTGAATCAAGATTAATCGTCTCGGGCCAAAGGCCAAAAAGAAAAATTGACATATCATTTTATAACTCTTTCAAACACTATAATTATATAGCTTTAATACTCAGCATTTATATTTCCCAAGTTAAAGTTCTCTAGAGAGCAATTATTTCGAGAAATTCTAAATCCTCGACTTTAGCTTGGAGCAACCTCTCTTTAAAAGGCTGTAATCTGTATCAAACTCATATATCTTCATAGATTCTTTATTTGTAATTTCTTTTTTGATAATGATCAATTCATGTTAAAATATCCACAAGAAAGAGCCATAGATAAGGTTAAATATAACAAAAAACGATATGCTATGAGTTTGATATTATGAATATTTGTATTTTTTATAATTATTTCATGATTTAGATTTGGGGTATATTTCTTAATGCATTTGATTCGGCTATATTATTATATTTGGTTGTATACTTATACAATGATCTCCAAGACACCGACTTATATATAAAATTATATAATTGATCAATATGAGTTTTATAGGCTGCGAGAGCATCAATTTTAGATTCTCAGCCTTATTCTCCTAAGTTGGGATGCTTCTTACGCTTTTGACTAGGCTGAATAAGTATCTATTCACATTCCAAAAAAATAAAGTTCGTTTTTATGCTTCCATCTTCAGGTTTAATTAAAGAGTGGGAATATGAAGGAGATAGACCAATGAACGTTAAATTACCTATAGATGATTCTCCTTATAGAACTGTTCAAGTTTCTGAAGATACCGCACCAATCTTATTTAGAACTATCGAATTCAACCAAAAGCAAATACAACTAAAGGCACAAAAAGAACGTGAAAAGCAAAAGTCTAAAACAAATACCGAAAAAACTGTTATTTCGAAAAATTCAATTAAAAATCTATCTACAAATGACCTCAAAAAGCAATTAAAGGCTCTAGGACTTTCTACAGATGGTACACGCGAGCAAATATTGGCCAGATTTGAAAAATTTGTAAAGAAATAAGAATACTCTATATTAAAATAGAGTAGAATTTCATTTTATCCATTTACTGATAGATTTTGGAACCAAAACTCAACAATTGCAATTAAAAACAATTTGAATAGATCAAACTTCCTTAGCTGACTTGGACAAGAGAATGAATAGCTTAGACTTTTCCATTACACAGGAACAAGCTTACGTCTCGAATTGGAACGAAATTTAAAGAATTTCCCCTCATTATCATGAAATTAATTCCAAATATAATGAATAAAGATAATATTGGAGAATAACATTTACTATTATGATATATGTTCAAATACATTTGCTGTTAAATCATTCTGAAACAGGAATTGCAAAATTCATTTAATGCATATACTATATTTCTATTTATCAAAAACTAATATGTTGCTATTTTCCTTATGACAAAGCTTGCTAACAATATTTGCAGGCATAATAAAAGATTTAATATTGATTGATATATTTGGAATATTTAAGTTGTCTTTCAGGTACATATAACTATTAAACCATTAGTTATTGATAGGGTTCGAATCTCATGATCTATAATCTCTAAATTATGAGAATGATTTTTTATTTGGCCTATATCGATAAACTAATGTGATAAAAAAGATACACATACCAAATAATATTTAATTCAATTGCAGTATATGTTTATTTTTTTCTTTTCGCCCTCCAAAATTCTCAAGCCCTTTGTAACACTTACAAATGCTATTGTAAAAACAGTAGCAAGTACATACGTAAGTACTATAAAGATTGAGTCACTACCTTTATGGAAAGGAGAGGCAACAATCGATGATATTGAAATTAATACAGAAGGAATTAATCAAATTTTACGAAATTCAAAGTCTAGACTTACATTAGAGAAGATTGCAACTTCAAGACTCAAAGCAAAATTACCAATTTTAACTCCAGGAACAAATCCAATTTCGATTAGCGTTCACTCATTAGAACTCGCCCTTGCAATTAAAGAAAGAACAGAACCAAAGCCTGAAAAGCCTAAACCAGCAACAAATCCAGAACAAGATTCGCAAAAACCACAAAAACAAAACTTTATTACAAAACTAACATCGAATATCGAAATCAAAATAGATGGATTATCAATAAGTTTGAATATCAAAGGCGTTCAGCTTAATTTAATCGGTTCATCAGTTTATGTTCACGTAATCAATGGACAAACCATTGTTCAGCTTTCTAAAATCAGGGCATTTATCAAATACAATAACATATCAATTACTTTGACTATAGAAAACGTCGATATCTCTGCTTCAGAAGAAAATACAGAAATTGCAGTTTCAGGATTTACCGTAACAGTATCAGTACCAGACTTTTTCGATCTTATAAAAGACTTGTCGTTAAAGATCCACATACTACCTAACAATGAAATCCACGTAAAATCTTTGTCTCAAGTCAGAATCGGAGTAAATCTTTCATTGTTACCTCCATTATTCGAAGTAATTGCATTATTCATGAAACCGCCAGAGCCTAAATTCAGTCCTCTTCCAAAACTTACGATTCATGTTGACGGAATTTTCTTTGCCGCATATGTTTCTAGTACTCTTGGAATAGAGCTTTCAATCAGCAAGCTTAAGCTCAAGAATAATGTTTTCGAGCTCAGACCGCTCGAAATGAGGCTTTTAATCAGAGATGGCGTAATTCCAATTTTAGAACCATCGATAATCATAGGTAAACTTCTACAAACAGACCGAACAATCAAAGTATCAGCAGAAATAGAGATGCTTAAGCTCGCAATACCTGTTTCAAAGGACCTTGTTGACCAATTAACGAAAATTAACATAAAAATCCCACCATTACCAACATTTCCACCACCTCCACCACCAAAGATACCCGAAATATCCATGAAACTCATGAATTGTCCCAAAGTTTCAACTACAGGAAAATTAATAAATTTCGAATTTCCTTATGACGTTATTCCAACAGGATTTTCTTTTGGTGGCTTGTTTACTAATGGTGATAAGATCATGTTACGTGTCTGGGATGCATCATCTGCCACTATGATTGCATTTTCTTCATTCGAAATCAGCAGATTAAGTGATGAATTCTCAATGGACAACCAACAGATGATTCCTCTATACAAATTCCAATTGGTCCTTCCAAAAGAAACAAGTAACTACCCAGATATCCTCGACAAGATCAAATTTACTTGTCTTTCATCAGTTGTTTTGTCAGAAGCTTTAGATTTAGACGTAAAAATTGGGAATATCCTTATAACTGCTGATTCTTTGGAGCTTCCAACAGGAGCATTGTCTCTTACTAGTATCCATGCACACGCAGTTATTGGTCCTGTGATGTCTACTCGTCTTCATGCTTCATTTGGAATTTCCGTTTTATTGTCAAATTTGAGGAATCAAACAATGTGTTCCATTTTCGATATCCCGACAATACACGCGTCATTGTCAGTGATGTCTAAGATAGATGGATACCTTCCTGATGGAATGACACGCCACAGATTCGCTTCAATCCTTCAGACACAAATTGGAGCAGATACAATTTCTGCCAGTCTAAAAATTCCTTCAATTTCATTAAACGTTGTTCCATCAATTATCAGCGATGTTGCAAGGTTTGCAATAGCATTAGATGTTGCTAAAGCAATTGCTTATACTGTTGTTAATAAGAGTGATACTCCATTCGTGTTCCATGTCTCGAATTCAACAGAATTAACTGAGATTTTACCTGGACAAACAAAAGTTGTCACTTTTACTCAAAAACAAGTTCACTTTTTGAATTTTCCTACTATATCATTAATAGTTATGTTGAATCAGCCCGGCTTCTACAACATCTCTAATTCTAATTACATATCATGTGAAATTGTTGCACCTTTCTCTTTCAAAGTTTCGATTTTGTCATCAACAGTTTTCAGAAACTTTTTGATGGCGCCGATAGAAATCAAACTTTCTGATCCATCCATTGCAACACCAATCACTAAACAGATTGGCATTGATGACTTTGCTACGTCATCTCTTTTCTTGGATAAGACATTCCATTTGAGTTTATCAATGACAGGAATTACAGAAATGTCAAAACCAATTTTGCTAAATCCACTTCACGATACGGGCACGAAATTCATTGTTTGTGAAGTTCTCAACCAATTACCATCCCTTTATTTATGTGCTCCACAGTTCTGTGCATGGCTTGTTTACAGAGAATTCGAAGTAGATTGTTTGAATTCAGCTGTTAAACACAGAGTTCAAGAATACTCTCTTTTACCAGTTTTAGTTGTAAATAACAGGTTACCTGATCATATTGTTACTTCTGCAGGTGTTGTTCCTCCAAACTCCAGCAAATACATATCACAACTCACTGACCAATCCATTGTTTTCGATAATGGAACATCAATAAAAGTCGGATTTCCTTTGGCAAGAGGTCTAAAACACAGATTAATGATCATGGGAAAGGCATCTGTTATAGAAACAGTTCCAGAGACAAATACAATTGTCATTAGTCCTTCTTTCATGTTCTATAATGGAGCTGCTTTCCCACTCTACTTCAAAGTAGTAGAGATGAAGGCTGTTCTCGTAGAACCAGATAAAACATTAGTTCTCGATTCGACAAAGATGCCGAGAGCTGTTTTTGTTGGTTTCAAATTCAAAGGAAAAACATTTTGGTCTAAAGGAGTTCCTGTTCCAAGCAGAAGGGATCTGACAATTAAAACAGACAGTGGAAACCTTCTTTTGATTATAGATGTACAAGATGACAAAGCAAGTGTTTATCCGAAATACGTCGCAATCAATGAAAGTAGTGATTCAATCTTTTTGAATTCATCTACAGAATTGACACCAGAAACACAAGCACAATTACTTCTTTGGAGAGGAAACAAACATTTAGTTTCTTTCTCACTCTCTTCTGATAAAGGTTTCCTTTCAGATCCAGTTGATTTAGATGGAAATGAGTATTTAATCAGAGTTTTCTCTGGTTCTTTTCCTTCTTTCTCAAGTTCTACTTACATCACTTATTCCGTACAAAGTAACACTGATCCACACACGATTGTCTTTCATACAGATAACTCTCCACCTCTGACAATTGATAACCAATCTCCTCTTTCTTTCGATGTGACTTCTCCTTCATTTAAGAACTCTTTGAGAGTACCTGCTGAATCAGTTTGTCTTGGAAAAGATGTCCCTATTTTCTTGGTTTTCTCGAGAACAGGTGCAGATCCATTTGTTGTAAATCTTCAATCAGCAATGGAATCAACATTTGTATCAGGAATGGCCAAATTGTACGGAAGAGTGGAAATATCAGGAACTCAAAGCAGAGTAACTCTTTCGCAGATTCCTTTGATTCCTCCTCAAATAAAACCGAAGATAAACTTTTCAGTTTTTCTTGCTGATGTAAAGATCAGAATTTACAACGATATCTCTGTTCCAGGAATTCCTACAGAACTGCTTTGTATCACTGCATCTCCTCTCTCTATCGAAGGAGTCTTCCAACAAGGAGGAACAACAACAATTTCTCTTGTTTTGGATACTTTGCAAATCGACTCTCTAAGTTGTCACGAGAATTTCCCTGTAATTTTCGGAAAAGTCGATGACAAAAACCCTCTTTTGAATCTCAACCTCAAACTCGGATCAACACTTAATGGTGGCATCTTTGTAGATGTTTTCCATTTAAGTATCAGTCCGACACAGATGAACATCGAAGAATCTCTCATCAGATTCATTTTATCATTAATTAAACTCCTGCCTCAACAAGAGATACCAATTAAACAAGACACAAATAAGATTTTATTCCCAACATTTGTAAGAGTCTTGCACGTTGATCAAACAGAGTTCAGACTCTCTTTATCAACGCAATCATTCATCCACGCGATGTTTAAAGATGTTCCAATACAACTCTCAATGTTACACATGGAGAATACAGAGACATTCGGTGTTCAAATCGTCGAATCAATTGTTGCTCATTATATATCAGATATCATTGTTGCTGTTCCTGCTGCACTTACTTCTTTGTCTTTAATAGGAAGCCCAAGTGCGTTAGTAACACAGAGTATCACTGGATTGAACGAGTTTGTTAAATCTTTCAAACAACAAGGTTCATTTGTTGGAGGATTGAAACATGGATCTGTTTCTTTAGTTAGATCAATTTCTATTGGAGCTCTTGAAAGTATTGTTTCATTTTCTTCATCATTGGCAAGTACTCTTGGCCAGATATCGCCTGTTCAAACACAGAACGACACACAGAATGATGATATCGGAAGAAGAATACAGCAAATGGTTGAATTTCCTGTTGAAGGATTCCAGAATGAAGGTGTTTTAGGAGTTTTGAAGGGCGCAGGAAAAGCTATGATAGCATTAGTTACTGGTCCAACTGCAGCTATTTTCTCTTTGATTGGTAAAGCAGGAAATGCGTTGTTGCAACAAGTTGGAGCAGCTTCACTCCAAACTAATGATAGAAGAATTGAAAAAGAAGCAAAAGATTTGCCAGCTATTGTTTTTGAATAAAAAAGTATTATTTCTATTTTTTAGTTTTCCTTAGTATATATATATTAAAACAATAATGAGAAATTTCAAGTGTGTCTGGTCATTATTTAAATAATTACATAACAAGAAGATATTTCTTGAAGATATATCAAAATAAATCCAATGCGGGTCAATCTCGGACTTGAAAACTATATTCGGCTTGTAATTCTGGAAAAATTCAAAAATATCATATTAGATACAATATGCACATAGAGCCTTAATGTTAACATGTATATAATTTTATTTGAAAATTATAATATTGGATAATTGATGAATTTCAATATTCATTTCGACTTTTCTATTGGCATTATTTCATTGCTTATCAATGGCCATTATCTAAATTCATAAATTTTATCCCAAATAATGGAAGTCACTGTTTTTCACATGCATAGCATAGTATTTTTTTTCTTAAATGAATGATAAAGATATTTTATATAGTAAACAGCAGACAAATGACTTTTAAATTTTTTAATGTCTGATCAAGACTCTCACACAAATAAATATGGGGAATTTCGAAGTACGTATAAATACTACATCGACTCATTTATTGCTTTGTATCAGCTGAAAACGGAAAACGAAGAAGATTTAAACTCGATTTACAAAATGATCAAAACAGAATTGATCGATTCAAACAACCATTTTCCAAAAATCATTGTAAGAGACATTTTAAATATCATTCCGTATAATAATCGCTATTCAAAGTCTTATTTATATCTTGCTAAACGTATCACTGATGATTACCATGTAACATCGATCAACAAAATTCCTACCATTTCTGCCTTCCAGTTTTATAAAGAGTATGGAATTACATTATACAAATTCAAAGAATTCAAAGAAATTAAATATGAAAATCCCAACATTCTTTCAGAAAATACAATTTTTAGAGCAATTATGAATGATGACAAAGAAAGATTCATTCAGTTCATTGAAAGCGAAGAATTTAATAAAGATAAAACGCTTTACAACCATTTATATCCTATTTTGCCTGATAAAGGATTATCATTACTTGAATTATGTTGTTATCACGGAGCAGTTGATTGTTTCAAGTTATTAAGAACGAAATTTAACTCACAAATAACTGAAATATGTCTTCGATTATCATTTTTAGGAAGAAATCAAGAAATTTTGAGTGAATGTTTGAAACATCAAAAACCTGATGGAGAATGCATGAAATACGCAATTATTTCCCACAACATAGATTTTGTTACATTCTTAATGAATGAACACAATATAAAGATCGATTTATTAGCTTGCGGACAATACAAAAATCTTGAATCATTTTTAGTTTATTTCGATCAAAAGAATGATATAAACAAATATTTTGTTGTTTCAACTTTGTTTGATGTTCCTTTCTCATGGTGCAAATATCAATGAAAAAGATTTGTTTGGAAGGACGGCTCTACATTACATGGCAAGCAATAATAGTATAGAAGCAGCCAAAGTTCTTCTTTCACGGGATGTAAAAATCAATGAAAAAAATAATTTCGGAAAAACACCTCTTTTTTATGTAGCTGAAAATAATTGTAAAGAAACAGCTGAACTTCTTGTTTCTCATGGTGCAAGTATCAATGAAAAAGATCAACGTGGTAAAATTGCTCTTCATGACGCAGCAATAAATAATAGCAAAGAAATTGCCGAATTACTTCTTGCTCATGGTGCAAAAATTAATGAAAAAGATGAATTTATTAAAACACCTCTTCTTTATGCAGCAAAAATGATAATAATGAAACAGCCGAACTTCTTGTTTCACACAATGCAAAAATCAATGAAAAAGATAATGAAGGAAAAACTGCTCTTCATTATGCATCATATAACAATAACATAGTAATAGGCAAACTTCTTCTTTCTCATGGTGCCAAAATCAATGAAAAAGATGGAAATGAGCATGCACCTATTCATGAAGCTGCATATTTTAATAATAAAGAGATGGTCGAACTTCTTCTTTCATACAAAGCAAAAATCAATCAAAGATCTATGTGGGGTTTCACCCCTCTTCAACTTACAGCACACAATCATAATACAAAAACCATAGAACTTCTTCTTTCGCATGGTGCAAAAATAAATGCAAAAGATGATGATAGAAGTACCGCTCTCCATCATGCTGTACGAATACATAATTTAGAAGGAGTCAAAGTTCTTCTTTCATATGGTGCAAAAATCAATGAAAAAGATGATCAAAGAAAAACCGCTCTGCATATTGCTGTAGAATACGGTTTTACGGATATTTCCGAAGCTCTTGTTTTACATGGTGCAAAAATCAATGAAAAAGATAATTGTGGAAATACAGCTCTTTATATTGCAGCATTTTGTAATCATAAAGAAATAGCCAAACTTCTTATTTCACACGGTGCAAAAATCAATGAAAAAAATAAATCTCGAAAAACCGCTCTTCATTTTGCAGCAGATAAAAAAGGCATAGAAATAATAGAACTTCTTATTTCACATGGTGCAAATATCAACGAAAAAATGAAGATGGTAGAAACCCTCTTCATTTTGCATCCTTCGATGATCCTAATAAAGAAGTAATAGAATTTCTTGTTTTTCATGGTGCAAATATCAATGAAAGAGATAAATATGGAGATACAGCTTTTAGCATTATAAGCGGTAAGAACAAAAAGGAAATAGTCGATTTTCTTACTTTACATGGTGCAAAACCCAATTCCCCAAAACCATTAAAGTCTATCCCTGCCATCTATAATTATTGAGGAAAACAATTATAAAAACATATATGGATGCACGTCTCACAGATTGGCACACTGTTCCGCAATCTTACTTTGTACCTCATTTCATGCAAATCCCTGTTCACATAATATATAAGTAATAAAGCATATATTTTTATAAAAATGGAAAACTATTTTCTCATACGAAAACAACAAATAAGCCTACTAACCCAATAAACTTATATTGGTTCTCTGGCCAACAAAAAGCCAGAGAATCACATTTGCATTAACTCATTCTGATGCATTCTGGATTTTCTTCCTCATTTGAGAGACATATGTATATATTCAGCATAAATAAATGAAATGCAAATCATACATCATATATAAATCTAGTTATTCTTTTGAAATCCAGATAAATAATAGTAATGAGTTGATACAATGAATCATTAATATATGTTAAAGAATGCATAACAGTGTTCTATTGATGCACGACGATCTAAATAGCTTGTTCTAATTGATTACATGCATAATGAATTTGAATAGCAAATTTTATAATGAAATAGTAATAAATTATTGTATTTGGAAGCTATATTAGCAAATTTAATTAGATTTTCTATGTTAAATACCTGAAAAAAAAGGCAATTTAAGTATGATATATTTTATAAAGATATTTTTACTGATACAGTGATTTAATGTAGAGAGAAAAAAGTTACGGGTGACTATTCATGTCGAATATTTGCATGTAATCATCAAACAAGATATTGCTGCTAGTATCATATTGACCATGAAGTAGAAAATCTTCCGCAGTGAGATCAAAATTAAAGAACTTAAAAACTTCTTGAAGTTTTGGAATGTCTATCATGCCTTGTTGATTTGGTTTACCACCTAGTGCTTCAAATGATTGTGAAACGTATTTTCTGAGTTCTTTCATTTCTTTCTCTTCTTTCTTATTACCATAGATATCGCAGAATCGATCGAACCCAATGTCCCATTGCTTGTTTTCTTTGTACAATGTGTCTGTATCTGTTTCAATCCCGAGTTGACGAAGTGCTGTAACGGCTTCGAACAAGGAAATAGTATCGCAACTCTCGCCTTTGATCTTATCATAGACGATTTTCGCTGCTTCCTTGTCTTCTGGATAAATCTTCCCACTCATCAATAACGGAATAATATTTACATATCGTCTTCAAAAAAATTCGTTGGTTTCCACCTTCGTTATATATCATGGAGAGTGTTTGGAAGTAGCAACATGCTATATAGTCATTCACAAATTATTTGATGCATTATCTCTGCTAAATATCCCGTTTTTGAATTATCTTATACAAGTTATAAGAATTTCGTTCAAAGTAAAGAAGTCTCCTGGTTATTTCCGTATACCCTCCTTTTATAAAGAGGAACATGCTATATCTATTTGCTTATTAAAAGTATTTTAAATATGAGAACAAAATGATTGTTCTCAGAGCTTGACAATAGCTATATTTTGATTTAAAATAAAGATTGATGATTTGAATTTACAAATAATACTATTATACTAGGATATTTTAAATAGTGATTTTTAATATGATAGTAAAATAGGTATATGATTCAAAATCCGAAAGATCTAGAAATTATTAAACTCTTGATACATATTGCTAAAATATTATTATCAGGCAAATAATATATAGTCTTGGGTAGAGTTGATTATGACATTCAAAATTAAATGTACATCAATGCCAGCAGTTAATTATTAAATTTTCATTACCTGATTGGTATTATTTTCTATTACATAATGATAAATTTTAGATGATAATTTGTAGAAGAATGATATATCAAATGAATTCTCGAAATTTTATGCAAGAATGATTGAAAATGGTTGGAAAATTTTGAATATCATTTGCATGCCCACCAGATCCTCAAAAACAGATTGTACAAACAGTAGCAGCAATGCTTAATGTCAAAAGGGAAAAAATAAACCAAGCTTTAGTATTTAAAAGCATATCATTTACTAAGAACGTTAAAGAATTATGCGAGATTTTGAAAACCCAAACAGCATCTGAGGAGAGAACAGAAAAGTTATGCAAGAAGTTTTCCCACTTCCAATATTAGCAGCTTAGCTTATCTGTTCATTCTGGAAAATACCTAGGCCTAGTTATGTATATACCTATAAATATTGTTCGCTTCTCTTTTATCGAAGTCAAATTCTAAATTAGATTTTTGAAAATCATACACAATATTCGCTTTCCTTATTAAGAGTGTAAAATTTATGTAGATGTAATGTATATCTGATGCAAAATAATATGATTGGATTCAAGTTCAGCTTAATCAAATTCATGTTTATGGAATCCTAGTCATTTTAATTATTAAATCCAAGAGTTGATGTCTTTCTTTTTTAAAATAATTATTGCAAAATTTACATAATAAAACGATTTTAATTACAAACAAAAAGAATAAAGTCAATTTTTGCAATGAAGAGGAGGAAGATGCATGATTTCCCTAATATAATCTGAACATTGAATTTTTGAAGGTATATATGTTTCAGAAACCGGGAAATTAGGATCTGCGCCGAAGTTAATTAATGTTTGAACGGTGCCTGCATGCCCTTCTCTAACAGCAATTGATAATGGTGTTAATGAAGGATCAAAACTAACGCAATCAACGTCAATTAGCTTCCTTGTTAGTATCTTTTCAATTAATGATTCCGCGTTACCTACTTTTGCCAGCCAATGAAGTAAATTTTTTCCAGAAATTTTACAAAAATCTTTGGAAACAAATTCTGGTTCTCTTTCTATAATATAATCAACAATATCAAAATTCCTTTGAATAACAGCTGAAATTAATGGGCTCATTTGACAATAATCAGCTTGATACAACAATTGTGGGTAAAAATCAAGGATATATATAAAACCTTCAATAAAATTTTGTCTCGCAGCAATATGAAGAATATTTCTGCCAAGATTATTAACCCCAAAAATATTCAAATAATCTTCTTGAAATTCCTTTGATTTTTCAATAAAAATAGTAAATGTCTGAATATCTCTACTGGATACACATAACATAATTGGCGTAAAACCGTCATTTCTCTGTAAAGATGCATTAACAAATTCAGGACAAAGATCTAGAAGCATTTTGACTGCATCAGTGTTTCCACATTTCGATGCATGATGTAATATTGACATATTATCGTAATCAACTAAATTAAAAATTTCGGATAATTTTTCTTTTAATTGTGGACAATCTACAACCAGTTGAATCAGTTTGCACATGGATTTGTTTTGTATTGTACGATTCGAATTAAATGCAATGTGAAGAGGAGTTATTGGATTTTCTTCTGTGGGGCAAATTTGAAAAGGATCTTCGTTAAACAGGTATTCTATTATATCGAAATTATCGAATTTGCATGCATAATGCAAAGCTGTTCTATATTGTTTCTCATTTAGATATAAAATACTTTTATCGCAGCATTTTATTAATTCGGTGTATACATAATCTAACATCTCTGGTTTTTGTGAGTGTATTGCTAATTTAAGAGCAATTGGAATTTTATTTTCGATTTTTTCTGGAAAAAGTTCGTTCAAAACATCTACAAAAGTAGAACTTCCTTCACTTTTAACGAAATCAACAAATTGCTTTGCTAATTCTAAATGTCCATAGCGAATCAAAGGAATAATTGCTCCATCAAGATTACAGTCATTTGTTAATAACAGTTGTATAATACCTTGATTACCACCAGCTACAGCATAATGGAATAAAGGTTTGATAGAGTGATTAGAAAAGTCGGAAAATTCTAAATCTACACCTTTATCAAGTAACGTTTGAAAAACTGTCATTGCTCGATAATAAGCTGCTACTGCAATAAGTGGTGCAAAAGAGAGTTTTGAATTTTGCATTGCTGGCATTCTTGAGTTTATATTAATGTTATTTTTGAGGATGTAGTCAACAAATCTGCTAAAATCGTCATGCTTAATGATGATATCTAAGTTTACAGCGTGATTAAAATCAAAAGAAGTAAACTTATTTGACATCTGAGATTTTCAAAATAACATATGGCATTTTTTTATTTCAAAATTAATATTATTGAGTATCGCAGTAATATATAAAGAATCATATCCAAAAATTATGATAAACAATTTTTTCTTATTCAGCATAAATTTTGTGAGTCACAAATTGCACTTTTTTTACATAGGTAGATCGATTTTCATTCAGAATGAATATACTAATTGTATACTTCGGTTCATATGGATGCACATTGCTATAGGAAATTTCCTCCAAAGCTTTTTAGATGAAGATGTATAAACTCTCAAAATTTATTTTAAAAAAAAACGCTTATAGTTAATAATAGTTTATAAATCATACAGAAAGATAATGAAAACTAAATTATAAAAAATTAATCTAAAAGATCTGGATTAATTTGTTCAACATCATCGTTATGAGTATCCTTATCAATTCCATCAATTAGAGCACTGAGGTCTTTCTGGCAAAGTGGACAAATCGAATGGTCTTTGGCCCATCTCTCCAAACAATCTGTATGAAGGCAATGGCCGCATGGAAGCTTCTTGGCGGTTGTAGATGTCATAGTTTCACGGCAGATAATGCATGTATCGTCACGCTTAAGGTCTTCTTCTGTGACATTCGGGAAAACGGTGTTCAAAGCGTCAGATAATCGCTGCCATCTCATTCTCTTGTTGTATATATCGTAAATAGAACGGAAAGCGTTGAATAATGGGAAAATGAAGAAAGCAATTTGTAAATTTTGTTTGAATACGATTGATGAGACCATAATTAAGGAAAATAGAGCTCCCAAGAATTTGCAAACATATTCTGCGTAAACTAAGAAATGGAATGATTTATTTGAGCTTCCAAGTTTATCTCTATCCAAAATAAAGACAAAATGAGTGATTATATCCAACAAAACTTCGAAGAAATTGTACACAAGGATGCAATCAAGAGGAGCGGCTATAGCGTATGCAATGTTTCCTTGTTTCATGAGTTCTTTTGAATATGGTAAGTTAAGGAAGTAGAGATTTATGAATAGAAGTAAAAATTGTGATGTAATCAATCTGTGGTGCTGATTCAATGTTGGCAATTTCGGTGATAATTGGAGGCAATGTATTCTTTCTCGAATATAAAGCATTGTAACATAAGAAAGAAGTGGTTTGGTAAGGTAATGAATTTCTACTAAATGGAGAGGGATACCTCCTGCTAAGTATTCGAAACAAAGTGAAATTAATTTTGTTTGAAAATTATGTGCGATACTTAATACTTCTGAGTGACTTAGCTTGCCAATGAATAAGTCCAGCATTCTTTTGATTAATAATACTGAAGTAAATGTAAGAAAAATTATAAATGAAAGATATGTTTGTTTATCTTCGAATATTTCAACGCAAATATCATAAAAATCGGTCTTAACGTTCATGATCTTTCGAATTTGCATGGCTAAGATAAATCCTGATACCAAACAGTAATTCTGGAAACAAAGGATTTTCATTATTTCAAAAAAATTTAAAAAGTTGGATTTTTAATAAGAAATTTCATACTTTTTAATTTGTAACTTTAAATGACATACATTTGAGTTGGCTTTTTTACTCAATTTCTTTCATTTTTGAATTGGATTGTTGAAAAAGCAGGAAATGTATTATATGATGATTTAATATGTTAAATGTGGATTACAATATGTGTTTCGTTTTGCTAAAATTGTCACTTTTATAGCATATTTGTTTTTGGATGTTTTGCGAAACCAAAAAAAAACTATGATATACAATGTGTGTGTAAAGAAAATACTTTATTTACTAGTTAAAAAATCATTTGGTATTGATCAAGTTATTTTTTCTGGATAAGATATTATATGGATAATTGGATAGAAAATACAATTATATAATCTTGTACCTGGTTTAATTAAGCTAATTGTCATCAGAAACTTGTAATTTTTATGAATTTCAGATTTTCTTTTCATTACTGCTTTTCTTAATAGGTCAAGTTCTTATTTACGCTATAAAGTATGATATTTACAAATATCAAGTTATCATGTTTTTTGAGAAATTATGAGAAACAAACAAAAATGAAAAAGATAGGAATAGCAATGAATAGTGATGTGGGTATAGAAAATGTAAGAGATATGAATGCAAAGCAATCAGTATTTAGGATATTGACCATAGATTTCGAAAAAAAAATGCTGCATATTGAGCGAAAACTATGATTATATTATAAGGCTGTCATTTAAAGCATAATGAAACTATTCCCTTTTCATTTTAATCGAATAAGATAGTAAAGATTTTTGAATTAGCTAGAAACTGATGAGATGTTTTCACAAATCAGATTTTTAATCTCTATAATGCATAATTCACTCAATATCTCAAATTTGATATTGCGAGATATTTTTGCTATCGGTTTCGCAATTTTGACACAATAGCAAGAGGGTTCTATAAGCATTATTATCAACGTAGAATCTGAATATCACATCAGAAAATGTCGCAAATCCGACATTTCCCCGACCAAATAGCAAAAATAATTGAATACTTTTCGCAAAAACTTTAAAAATCGACAAAAATATGAAATATAGATATTAAAGAGACTTTTTATATAATATTCATAAAGATTTTCCAAAAATATGATACCGCAAAATTAAAAAAGTGACGTCTTGAGTGGAGTCAAAGGTCGAAATTGCTAGCTAAATGTTTTTTTTTTAGCGAAATTGCGTATTGTACGTTTTTTTCGCAAAACGAAACCCTTAATTACAATTTTTGAGTTGTTATGAATTATGATATTTGGTCAAAACAAAACTTCCTAATTCCCAATGAAAATGAGTTCCACAGTACATAGCAATTGCTGCAGTATAACGAAAAATATAGTTTGCACTGATGTAAACTCTTTTGCAAATTCAACAACAACATTTATGAATACTTCTAGACTAACATTTTTGATTCGTTTTCAAATATTGTGCTGTGTTGATGAGAGCAATCAATTTTGACATAAAATTAGAAAATATCAATATATTTCAAAGGAAATATGTTTAAAACGAAAATTTGGATATTTCATTTTTTATCATCGTTCTTTCCAAGTATTTTATTTATCTTTTTTATAGCTTCTTCTGTGAGTTTTATAGGATATTTGAAAAGAAATGGCTTTTCTTTGCTTATCTTAGAATAAATCCTTATATGTGCATACCAGTGATAATCTCTAAAGAGATCTGGACAAACATCTTTTGGATCATTTTTGATGAATGGAATTCTCTTTTGAAGTTCAATAAGTCCAAGAGCAACTCCACCGAGGTCTTCCTTTTCACATGGGTAACCATAACCAAGAAAATAATAAAGACTATCAACGACAAGTTTAAGAGAGTTGATCCATTCATAACGAACAATTTCCCTTCCAGTAAAGACTAAGAATAGAATTATTGCTCTTCCATATTCTGCGAATTTATGTGGGTAGAAATGGCTTAATAAGGCACCATGGTACTGAGCTTCAAAAACGAGAGGGTTCGCTTCAGGATCATGAAGATACTGTAAAAAATAATAACGTAATCTTTGTTCCATCACATATAATTCTGGATCATCTGACGTGAAGTATTTATCGAAATCATACTTTTTTACTGCCAATATGTATTTAACAACCATCCATGGAACGACAATTCTTTCTAACTTATTGCCATTTGGTTCAGATTGATATATAATTTGAGAATCCTTTCCCATTTCCGAATCGCCGAAGCCAAACATATAATGAGATCTATCCCAAGGCATTAGGAAAAATTTGAAAATTTTAAAAACCGTAAAATTGCTCTCTAAAAATATTACTTGAAATTATGTCCACTCTTTTTATCTAATATCTATGTCCTTATAAGATGCAACCAATTAATTTCATTCATAACCGCTATCTTTTCAGAAAATCATATCGTATTACAACATCTTTGATTCAAAAATAATCGTAACGGTTTTAATATGAAAAATGAAAAAGAAACATTTTCAGATGTTTGAACTCATCAATGATATAGAGTCAATCCCATTTAAAAAAAATATACGATTGATTTATAAAATTAATTAAAAAGAAAATAAAATTAAAGAGATATTAAAATTATAGAGATAAATAAAATAATAAATGGGAATATCCGAATCTCATGTACGATTTTTTCAGGAATGATGTAGATGTTAAGAACAAGGCAATCCTGGCTTGGGCAGAACAATGAAAGAGGTGAATTAGAACAATAAATAAGGCTTTTCAACTTCCAAGGTATGGCAAATCTTATCCTCTCATTTGGAATATTTTGTAATAATTCAAAACTTTTTCGAACTTCATCTGCAACATTTTTGAATGTAGCATTCCTATCAATTTGGATAGTTTTTGAGATATTTAGGTATTTCAATATTAATTTGATTTTTTGAACATATTTATGTTTTTGATATGGTTTAATTATCTCATTGATTTCATCTTCAATTGTCTTTTTCGGTTCGTCTTGATCTTTTGAATCTGGCATTTTATCTGCAGGCTCATCAGTTGGAAGATTAGTGAAAAGATCAATCATATCTACTGATTCTTTATATTCTTCTCTAACGTTAGCAGGAGATAAACCTTCTTGTTTGTTATCGAATGTAGAAGATGAATCATCTTGTTTGTTAACAACAGTAGAAGATAAATCATCTTGTTTGTTATCGAATGTAGAAGATAAATCATCTTGTTTGTTATCGAATGTAGAAGATAAATCATCTTGTTTGTTATCGACTGTAGAAGATAAACCTTCTTGTTTGTCATTGTCTGCAGAAGATGAATCATCTTGTTTGTCATTGTCTGCAGAAGATGAATCATCTTGTTTGTCATTGTCTGCAGAAGATGAATCATCTTGTTTGTCATTGTCTGCAGAAGATGAATCATCTTGTTTGTTATTGTCTGCAGGAGAAACAACTTGATTTGGAGATTCTATTGATTTAAATTCATTCTTGACTTCACTAATGAATGCATCAATGCATTCAAGATTAAAATCATCCAAATCTTTGAATCTCTTTTCCAAGTATTCGACTCCAACTCCAGATCTGAAGATCACACTATTTTGATCATTGATATCTGGATTGTAATTGATTGCAGCCTCAACTTTTTTTTCTGCATCTACCTTCCAAGCCTGATACGCATAAGAATTGAGTCGAATATCCATTATACATCCCTTCTTTAGTTTCGGTAATTTATCTTCAGGACCGCATCTTTTAAAGAGATTCATCATTAAACTTGTGAAAACGAACTTCTCTGGTTGATCCAAACTGGATAATGAGTCTTTAAACGTTTCGTATGGAATGTGTGAAGCACGAAGGAGTAGTGTGTCTTCTTTGATAATGATAGGCAGTTGTGCCTTGATGGCTGGATGAAATATGATTACCTGCCTGTAGAGTTCGCCATCAGAATACGACATGTTCTGTGAAGGAATTGTGATGCTGTAACTGGGAACGCAATAATTGATCAGGAGCTTATTTCCACGAATTGAGGAGTTCTTTGATGAAATCATTGCTGATTCATCATAGATGTTGATCAATTCTGTGTAACATCCTCTGTCATAAGTTTGTAAAAATAATTTGTCACCGGTGTTGATCGATAAATTTTGGTTCTGCTTATTGACGTATTTTTCTTCTTTTAAATACTTCAATGAAATATCTTCCAAGATTGTTTCAAGGCGGTCTGCATCTCTCTTGTTTAAGTCATATTTTGCAAAGGCTTCCCTGATTTTCCTGACAAGCTTTAAATCTGCTTCGGCGTTCTTACAGAATTCAACGGCATTCTTTTTATAGGAGCTTGCTAGCAAAGTTAGCATGGTCCATGGTCCCACCATATTGAAGAATCGACAGAATGCCAAACTGCATTCCATATATCCCAAGCATTCTGACTGCAAGAAGTGTCTTCCATGGCGAATTTCGTGGCCTAATATGTATGCAGGAACAGGTATGAAATGCGAGTATCCACCAGCAACAACAACGCCAAATTCTCTTCTTTTGAGTATCCATTTGTTCAAAATGATAGTTGGCTGGTTTCTACCACTTTTATCAAAGTAAAATCCATTCCCTTCTTCTCCAATTTCAAAACAAATTTCCTTGACAAAATAATTCTTCTCTCTGCAAGCCATTATACCTTCGATTATAGAAAGTATTGACGATTTACATTCGCTTGTACAGCAAAGCTCCAAGAATGCTAGCGCAAAATCTTCTCCTGTAAATTCTCTTACATTCTCATCCTGTTTATCTTTGATAGTATTGTTATTATCATTACTGTATTCTTGAATACGAGATTCATCTGTAGTCTGGTCTTTCGTTCCTACTTCTTGACTTGTATTTGTATTTGTCGTAGATTTTGGATCATACGGATCTAAAATTTGGAAGTAATTGCACAACTCTTTTGTTCTCTTCCATGATTCTTTTTGGGTTTTCAAAATCTCGCATACTTTTTCAACGTTCTTAGTAAATGATATATTTTTAAATACTAAAGCTTGGTTTATTATTTCCTCTTTGACATTAAGCACTGCTGCTACTGTTTGTACAATCTGTTTTTGAGGATCTGGTGGGCTTTCGGCCATCAAAACTTAAAAATATGATGTGCCGATAGAAGAAAAACACATCAAATTAAAACCTGTTCTAAAGCATGGAATAACAATCACAATATACTGTTATTTCATATCCAATCCATTTTGGTGCTAAAAAGTATTTTTTAATTATTTTTGAATTTTATTTCTATAAAAAATTGCATGTAAATGATATTCAAAAATTTCTCCAACCATTCTCAACCATTCTTGCATAAAATTTCGAGAATTCATCCAAAATTTATCATATTGTTATTACCCTCAATTTTTAACTTTTGCAACTCCAAAAACCAGGTGTTTTTCCAGAACTACCATCTAGGATGAGTCCTAGGAGCTATAATTCTAGGGCTAGATGATACCCACTTAGTACTTTTATTTGTATATGTTTTAGTGGAATTTGGTGAGGGGTCATGAAATTCGTATCTAATTTGCTATCATCTAAGCTGGTAAAAGTTAGAGAAAGCTATTTACTGGTTGTATATTACAAATATACCTTGTAATAGAAAATATAAGTGTTTGTGATTTAAATTCGCTCAATTAGCTCGAAAATTTGTTTTATATCCATGACAAACTAACACAATCCTATTTATGTGATTGCCAATCTGTTCCCAAAATATATCAGCATGAATATATATCTATTGATATTATTTGCAATTTCATCATTAAAAAGTACTTTTTTCTATTTTTAATTTAGAAATAGTATATTTATATGATAGCGACACAATATATTAATTAAAAAATATATGTTATCGATCATCACACTCAAATTGAATTTCAAAAATTTTAGAATTTTTCAATTTCAATATTGAAAATATATTTCTTATATCATAGCGATTCATGTTATAATAATATGGAGAAAAATATTGTTTTAAATCTAAAATTTAAAATGAATGATTGGGCATTACATTAATCCAATTTATTGTTTATTTGTTAATCTAGTGGAAACAATTAATATTTTGGAGAAACAAAAATTTGAAATTTGAAATTTTGAAAAAAATGCATGAATCGGTAATTAAACATTGATTTATTAATTTATTAGCCATGCTTTTGATGTTGGTCTTATTTTTAAGCCGATTTAAAGAATTAATTTTTCCAAATCGTGTTTGACATTAACACATATAGATATATCAGGAAAAAAGGTATCACTTATCAAGTTATTGGTTTTTATGTATCTCCTAACTTTGCCTCGTTCTGAATACAATTCTAGTTAACGAATTTTAAATAACTATATGAAGAATACATCATTTTGGTTTTATTATTATTAAAATGATATATATTAGCTATGTATATGCTTGTAAGAATATTATTCCGTGAATTGGAAACAGAAAAAATAAATTTAGACAGAAAATGCATATCTTTAAAAAATAATATGAAATTTAGCTTTGATATTATTATCCGATAAAATATGCATGATAATTACTCCGCAAATAAAATTTAGGAAGCAAGTTGTGACGGTTTGGGCGGTTTTCAATGGCCCACAAGGAAGTAAGTATCGTTTTATCAGGCAACAAGAGGTCTTGAAATGAGTAAAGGACTGATCACCCTTGAAAGGTTCAAACTTGCTTGCGCGCCGCAGTCTTAAAAATGATATGTTTCACTTCTGGTCGAAAATTTCAACTTCTATGACAGTTGTTGGATGAACAATTGTGTAGCGGGATGAAATCTGAGTGCGGCCTGGGGCTGCAGCATCAATCTTCCCGGCATCTTTACCGCAATCATCTCTTAGATTGCACACAAAGTTGCGAACGAGCAGTTTTCTATGCGGTAAAGATGCCGGAAAGAGAGAGTCGATGTGAGGTTCTTTTCGAGGGCTCCTCGAATGAGACACTGTTCCGCATTCATAACTTGAACGCGGAAGTTTGACCGACAAGAGTGTATTGTGCACTCCTGTCGGTCGCAGTGTCTCATTCTGGGAGACATTGCCTCTGCATGTCTCCCAGAATGGAACAATGTTCCGCATTCATAACTTGAACGCGGAAGTTTGACCGACAAGAGTGTATTGTGCACTCCTGTCGGTCGCAGTGTCTCATTCTGGGAGACATTGCCTCTGCATGTCTCCCAGAATGGAACAATGTTCCGCATTCATAACTTGAACGCGGAAGTTTGACCGACAAGAGTGCATTATCCAATCTTTTTTGTCATATACCTCAACCCACAAAGACAAAACCTTACATAAAATAGGTAAACTTTGGTTTTCACTTAATAATGTTTATTTTTAATTTTTTGTTCTTTATATAACTTTTTCTTCTACTAAACTATTTTACAGACTCTACTGAGCTATCCTCACATATATACCTGTGACAATAACACATATATACTCCCTTCATATTCTGATCTCATGACATATTACAGCACAAACTATAATTATACAACATACCTCATAAAGTCTGATTTTACCCCTATCTAAGCGTTCAAAACCTATTTTCCCCGCGTAATCTGATTCTTCTGGCTCTGCTGATTCGATTTCTGCTGTCAGATCGTGAAAATATGCATCACACAATGAGATAAACACAAAATACACAACTTAATATTTTCCTTAAAATTTCTCTTCAAGTTCATACTGAAACAACATCTTTTTTTGAAAATACAATTTTTTCAAAAAATGTATGAATTCAAAAGTGCATACTATATCTAGTCATTACCCAACATTAATTTTGTATTTTAGTTTTTAAGATATTCATTTTATTATACGTCTTATTCAGAAAATTAAATATATTTGTGAGGGAAAACGGAGGAAATAATAAATATGTCAAGATCGAGGAATTGACAATTTTAAGGAAAATATTAAGTTGTGTATTTTGTGTTTATCTCATTGTGTGATGCATATTTTCACGATCTGACAGCAGAAATCGAATCAGCAGAGCCAGAAGAATCAGATTACGCGGGGAAAATAGGTTTTGAACGCTTAGATAGGGGTAAAATCAGACTTTATGAGGTATGTTGTATAATTATAGTTTGTGCTGTAATATGTCATGAGATCAGAATATGAAGGGAGTATATATGTGTTATTGTCACAGGTATATATGTGAGGATAGCTCAGTAGAGTCTGTAAAATAGTTTAGTAGAAGAAAAAGTTATATAAAGAACAAAAAATTAAAAATAAACATTATTAAGTGAAAACCAAAGTTTACCTATTTTATGTAAGGTTTTGTCTTTGTGGGTTGAGGTATATGACAAAAAAGATTGGATAATGCACTCTTGTCGGTCAAACTTCCGCGTTCAAGTTATCAATGCGGAACATTGTTCCATTCTGGGAGACATGCAGAGGCAATGTCTCCCAGAATGAGACACTGCGACCGACAGGAGTGCACAATACACTCTTGTCGGTCAAACTTCCGCGTTCAAGTTATCAATGCGGAACATTGTTCCATTCTGGGAGACATGCAGAGGCAATGTCTCCCAGAATGAGACACTGCGACCGACAGGAGTGCACAATACACTCTTGTCGGTCAAACTTCCGCGTTCAAGTTATGAATGCGGAACATTGTTCCATTCTGGGAGACATGCAGAGGCAATGTCTCCCAGAATGAGACACTGCGACCGACAGGAGTGCACAATACACTCTTGTCGGTCAAACTTCCGCGTTCAAGTTATGAATGCGGAACATTGTTCCATTCTGGGAGACATGCAGAGGCAATGTCTCCCAGAATGAGACACTGCGACCGACAGGAGTGCACAATACACTCTTGTCGGTCAAACTTCCGCGTTCAAGTTATGAATGCGGAACATTGTTCCATTCTGGGAGACATGCAGAGGCAATGTCTCCCAGAATGAGACACTGCGACCGACAGGAGTGCACAATACACTCTTGTCGGTCAAACTTCCGCGTTCAAGTTATGAATGCGGAACATTGTTCCATTCTGGGAGACATGCAGAGGCAATGTCTCCCAGAATGAGACACTGCGACCGACAGGAGTGCACAATACACTCTTGTCGGTCAAACTTCCGCGTTCAAGTTATCAATGCGGAACATTGTTCCATTCTGGGAGACATGCAGAGGCAATGTCTCCCAGAATGAGACACTGCGACCGACAGGAGTGCATAATGCACTCTTGTCGGTCAAAGTTTTGCAATCACATTCTGATTGCAGAAGATTGTCTCATTCTGGGAGACATGCAGAGGCAATGTCTCCCGAAATGATACCGTCATACCAACACCAATTTATTCCTTCTTTCCATTGTCATACAATTCAATATTTTTATCAATCTTAATCAACTTTTTTTATTCTTCTTTAATTCAATTTATCTTTCTCCTAGAATATCTATTCCTTTAACAGACATAAAATCACTAATCGAGCTTTTTCAATACTCAAAATTTCATATAAATCTTTGTTATTTTTTCTCTCATCGCTTATTTTATTAAATATACATATTTCCTCTCACATATCCCTCTTCATATATATTGGATCTCAACACTCATCTATTAGAACAATATATTTTCGCTTAATCTCATATTATTCATTAACAATCTTTCATCTTCTTATTTCTAGTTAACCTACCAATATATATATAGAATATATGCCCAATTACATATTCAGATACATTAAATTCAAGAAATTCTTCTAATATTATTCTCCTATTCATAATAAAATCATATTTAGTCTCACATCACAATTCTATCAGTTCTCCAATATCATATCATATTGGTAACATCACATATATCTCTTATAATATCACTTAAATTTGTATTTTTTTATTAATTATATTTAATTAGTTCTACATTCTATTATTATAGAGGTTTGACAAACTCATCAATAGTTAAAATCAAAATCTATTCAGAACTTTGAATCTAATGAAAATTACATTTCGATATCTTTTTGCAAGCTTAATTTTTTGTATTATCTTAAAATACATTTAGTAATGTTATGTACGTATTGAATTCAAATTATAGCGCAGTAACATGCAACTCATCTTGAGATTCACATTTCATTTTCACAATTATTGCATATATACATCAATAACATATTGTACTCATATATCTACACGACTCTAAACTCAATGACATCAAATAATGCTTGTAATATTTAAAATAATTTTTGCATTTTTGATTCTCAGCTTAACTTCTATAAATGTCACCAAAACATTTCATTCCTACCAAGAAATAATATATTAGTAATTAAGCGTTTATTACCATTGTTACTCACATCATATTAATTCATTTTTGTAATTTTTTAAATAAATGACTGGAATCATAAACCCTATGTACCCATATCAACATGTTAAAATTTCAAAGTCTGAAACTTAGTATACATTGAGTTTCATGAAATCAGATAATCTCGTAGATTTCTTAAATATTATATATTGCTGGCCAATAATGATGCAGCATGATTCTCCATCATATCAGCATTCTAAACATATCTTTATTTTGTCAATTGGCATAAATTAAGGGTGCTTTTCAGGCGATAAATGGTTATTTAGATACCTGGGTAGGGGGTCGGGAACAGGACAAATTTGCCACACGGCACTTTTTTTTTAAAAAATTAATGGAGCGGAGCGATACTCTGCTGCAGGAGCCCCAAGGCTCCCAATCATTACGAAAGGGAGCCTCATGGCTCCTGAGAAACCTCTTTGAGAAGGTTTTCTTAAAGAAAACCTTCTCAAAGATGATTGTCAGCATTCACTCAAAATCTACCAAGAGTTTCAAAGTTTCAAATCTATCTGAAATGAAGCTTTGAATCTATTGTATATCTAATTGTAGAGGTACCTTTTCAAAATGTCTTCTATTGATTAAATTTAATCAGTAAAAGTCATTTTGAAAAGGTACATCTCTATAATTGCTATTGAGCATTCACTTTTGGAACCTTGGAGCTCTTGTGTAGTGCATGAAAACTCCAAGATTCTAGCATAAAACATATATCATAGACATAATTTCTTCAAATATAATTTAAGGTTATTTTAAAAAATGAGAAAAGCGTAATTTAAGGTTGTTGAAAAGTGACACTTGGCAAATTTGTCCCGCACTCACCCCCTAGAGTGAGGGTAAAACAATAATAAATATGAAAAGAAAAATAATGTAATAAAACAATGATAAATATGAAAAGAAAGATAATCTTATAAAACAATGATAAATATGAAAAAGGTGACCAAACTATTTTTTGAAAGTCCGCCATAACTTTAATGGTACTATTTCAGCGTGTACAATGAATACAAAAATTCTAAGAGTGCCACATAAAATAGTACTTTAGACTTGAGTTAATGCTACCAAGCAAATGTTAAAAAGATGACTTTAGTGTTTTGATAATCAAAGATTAAAATCATTATTGTCTAAATCAATAATCATAACGACAGAAGTTAATGTTTTTTCATAAGTGCTTTAAATCCACTTTAAAAGTATACCTCAAAAATCAAAATATCAAAAAAAAATTGGCCGATAGGTTTGGCTTTAATTTTTGTCTGCTTTTATGATTTGATATGGATGTTATAATTTTAAAAGTTGAGCCAAATTCACCAATAGATTTTTGAGATTTGCAAATACTCAATAATTTTCAGCGTGTTATCTTTTATTAAAAGAACTATTTGGTTTCAGTATCATATAAATTGATATTTACTTTCTATTTGAACCTTCATTTAGCTAATGATTTAATAATACAGATTTCATCTAGTCCTTATAAGAGAATTTTGAATTTGTTATAATAAAAAAACAAACAGATATAGCTTACACTTCTATAATAAAGATACCTTTTATAGAAATCAGTATGAAATGTGTTTTGGCTTATTGGAAGCATATCAGACATAATCGCCATAATCAAAAAATCTATATACCCAATAAGTAATAAATTTGTCGATATAGATTTTCCATAAAATTAGTTTTTAGTCTGATCTTAAAATAAATTTAATTTTTTATAAAAAAAAATCACATTTAAAAGTACCTTTTTAGTAGCTCGAAATCCTGTTGGTGGATTTCGGGCGTACTTCAAAATTAGCTTTTCTTCTACATATGCAAGCTATATTTTAAATATGGAGCAAATCGGATCGGCGAAAGGAGTTTAGTCACCTTTAATATGAAAAGAAAGAAAATGTCATAAAATAACAATCATTTAATAAACGCAGTTTATTACTCCATGAGTTAATAGCCAACTTGATTTTAGGAAGAGTTAAAGAATTTGTTACCACAATTTAATAAGTAACAGCTAACATTGATATATATTTAAGAATGATTGCGATTTACAACAATTAAAGTTAGTAGTTAAGATGCTAAGTGCCTAAAGGAATTCCTGAAAAGATATTTTCAAAATTGAATGAATTATAAGCAATATAGGTATAATATAAACTTAACTCATTCAATAGAAGTGTAACAGAATTTTAATTTGCTAAAAATCTAAAAATTGGAAGAAACTTGATTTAAATGTAAGAAATAAGATAATACTTTATATGTAGATTTTGTAATATATCTATTTGAGATTAATAATTTATCGGAATTAAAGCTAAGATTTTAGAGCACAAATACATTGATTATTTTCCTCTCAAATTCGAGGTCCAAAGCTAAAATGTCTGAAATTGCCGCAGCTGCAGAGCAACTTCAGCAGCTTTATAGAAATTTTTACACTCAAGGTAAACCTGATGAAGCCACACATCAGCAATTGCTTCAAATCTACAAAAATCCTTCCAATATTGAAATTATGATTCATCTTGCGAAAAACACTAATGATCTTAACGTAAAGAAGCTTGCTTATACAGGTATTACTGCTATGACTAAACAAAATAAAAAATATCCAGATCCATACAATTCTGGCCTTATTGACCAATTATTAAGTTTAATTCCAATAGCCCCAGATGCAAAGTATCAATATACGATAATCGATCGTATTGGCAACTTTATTTTAACAAGTTCTTATGATGAAGAAGTTCAGAGCGAAATTTACCTACTGTTAGCACAGAATTTAACGGAAATGATTGGAAATTCCAATGCTCTTCCAGGTGTTTTCTACTTATGGAAAGATCTCATCTGTTTCCCAGTTATTTACGAAAATTATGGCAGCTACATCATGGAAACTCTTCTTCCGATTGCATTTCATGCTTTTCAAGGTGAGTCATCTGATGTACGCATTTCATCTCTTGAATTCGTCATTACTTCCATTCATAATTTAATAGAATTTCTTGAGATCGATGGCGAGACTTTAAACAATATCTGCACCATGGTCATCAATGTTGCAGACTTTGAGATCAAGCAGAGTGTCCAAGAAGCCACTTCTTACTTTAATAACCTTTATACATGCATTGAAGAGTGTTTCGATGCCCAAGAGCCACTACTTCCACTTGTATTCAAAGTGTGCGCTTATATACAGGACACAGACATTCCAATTGAAATCAGATGAAATTCAGTCCAAATTTTGACAATTTTCATCAATATGCAGCCAGAAAACCTCGGAGAAGGACTTGAAGAGATCATTCAAGCAGTTGTGAACTTCTCTCTTGAATTGGCCCAAGAAAATCAAGATGAAGGAGGATATAAAGACACTTCCCTCTTCTTTATCGAAGCTGTTAAAGCCATTGAAGATATTATGCATAACAGTATCCAGTTCCTTATGCCAATCTTCAGTTCTCTCTTCACAGCTCAAGATGAACAATCATTTCTCGTTCTTCTCATGATTTCCACGGCCATTACGTCAGATTCGCCAACAACAGTGGTCGAAATGTACTCAGACCTCGAAGCAGTCGTTGTTTCATGCCTACAATCCGAAATTTCTTACTTGATCGACGCCGCTCTTGATTTTCTCAAGGAACTGGTAGAGAATTCACCATCTATAGCCGTCCATATACAAGAGAAATTCGAGGAATACTTCCTACAAATGGCAGAAAACGAAAATGTCCTCCAAATTTTGGCAACTATCTACAATTACAGTGAAATACCACCTGCAAACCCACAACAGTCCCTTGAAATACTCCTCCAGCAGTTCTCTTCTAGCTCTTCTTATCACCACGAGTTGGCATTCGCTGCAATCTCCTCTTTGATCAAGAATTTGAGGGATCTACCGGAAGGTCTTTACGCCACGGTCAAGCCAATCATCGACGAACTCGTTATTTCTGGAACAGGAGCAATTGGAAGCGCATTAAAGGATTTGCCGCTTTCGCTCTTGCTGATCCGACCACTGTTACTGAAGACCTCGAGAACATGGTCAAAGTAGTCTTGGAGGCCTTGAAAGTTAAGGATAATGAGCTTATAAACAGCGCATTATTAACTGCCATTGAATTATTCCAGTTGTTCCCAATTTCTATTGCCAATTACGCACAGCCATTCTTTGAAGAGGGCACAAGGATTGCAGGAATGCTTGCAAGAATGGAAAATGACGAAGAAGAAGATTTTATTGAAGAAGAGGATCAAGGAATGGATTTGATGAACCAGGATGATGACGAAGAGAAATACGAGAAGTATTATGCACAAGTCTGTGAAAAATCTGGCCACGCTTTCCAATTAATTTCACTTATATTCAAAAACTATCCACAACAGTTCACCGACCACGCCGATGAAATCATCGATATCTGGAGAGGGTTGGATGACAACGAAAACCCTTTGGCTTTATTGTATGTATATTGCAGCCTTCCAGACCTTATCTTTGGCCTCAATAAAAATGGCCAGGACATTTCGGATGTATTTACAACAGTTATCGAGAATTTTGCAAGTAAAGATGATCAAGATATTAACGTCAAGCTCTGGGATTGCATTGGCTACGTTATAAGAATTTCCAATGCAGAGATAGCTTCACAGTATGCCCAGAAAATCTTCGTAAATATCGTTGGAATTCTCTCATGCTCACAATCTATATATCTCAGACAGAATGAGAAGGGAAGACTTGAACCAATATTCATTAAACCAATTATGAACGCAATTACCGAGCTTTTCGTTAAGCTTGGTCGAACAGTTTCCGAAATTGTCCTCCAAATTGGAGAAGATGGCCAAGCAATTACAACCCCATGCCTTGATGCATTAATCCCATACCTTCAGAACATATGCAAGGACAAGAATCCAATCGTTAGATCAAGCGCTATTAATACCTTATCTTTCATCTCTTCATACTTCCCAGAAAACACAGAATTAATGTCCTCCATATGCGAATTAGCTGAAAAGGACTTGGATGTCAACTACAATGATGTTAAAATCAACTTATTCCAGGCATTTAATTTCCTTGTTTGGGCAAATAAGGAATTGGTTGCTCCAAGAGCTAATACATTGGTTAATTTGGCAATGGAGATGATAAAGAATGAAGAAATCAACGAAACAACTAAATTCGACCCTGCAGTTCTTTGGGCATCACTCATAGAATTGTACGAATTATCTCCTTCGATGGAGGAGTTGGAAGCTGTCATAAATGTCCTTCCTGGATGTGCCCACGACTACCAACTTAAATATTCTGCTCATTTCGCCTCTTTCCTCATGCAGAAGTATCCTAACGCTATTCAGGGTGAGCCAATAGTAAGATTCGCTACAACAATCATCGGTTCCGATGATGCTTTGTTCGAATACATCGATCCGAACGACATCGTCCTTTTGGCTCAGGCAATTAACAGCGCAGACCCAGAACTTGTCAAGACTATTGCTAATAATAATGAATCACAACTTCAATACATTAAAGAACACATGGAAATTATCGCAAATTTCCAACAGTAAGTTGTAAAAGATAGAGTTTGATTTTATTAGAATTTTATTGTAAATTTCATCTTTTTTTATCTACATACAATTAAATGAATGATATCCAATTCGTCGGATTTTTTTTTTGTTGCGATGAATTTTATAAATCTCCATTATTTTTGCTCTTGGAGACACTATACATCTTTTCTAGTTAGTTATAGTTATCAAATAGGCGGGCACTACTAAACCATTTCATCTCATAAATGTGGCAAATATAATTATCAACATATATCGGCCCGCTAATAGAATTTGCTAGATATAACATGTGACTAGTTGATTTGAAAGTAAAACAAAATAAGGAAATTCATTGGGGAAAAAATGAATTCCCCTTCATTTTTTCAAAAATATATTGAAAAGTTGACAAAGTGAATTTTTAGATATGAATATAATTGAGTTAATTGGCACAAATAGTTTTTAAATAATCTCTTACTTTACCATTTGAATACATCATTGCCTAAATTTCTTCTCTATTTGGTTTTGTCTTCCAAAAAGTATTTTTTCACAGAACCACTTGCGACATCAAGAGCAGTCTTACCATTTTTATTCTTTGCTTCTTTATCAGCTCCAACAGAGATAAGATATTTAACAACTTCAAGATGATCATTTTCTGATGCAAAAATGAGTGGAGTATATCCATTTTTATTCTTTGCTTCTTTATCAGCTCCAACAGAGATAAGATATTTAACAACTTCAAGATGACTATTTCGTGATGCATCAATGAGTGGAGTATATCCAAATTTATCCTTTGCTTCTTTATCAGCTCCAACAGAGATAAGATATTTAACAATTTCAAGATGACCTTTTTCTGATGCTTCAATGAGTGGAGTAGATCCATAGATAGTCTTTGCTTCTTTATCAGCTCCAACAGAGATAAGATATTCAACAATTTCAAGATGACCTCTTATTAATGCCCAAATGAGTGGAGTATATCCATTATTATCCTTTGCTTCTTTATCAGCTCCAACAGAGATAAGATCTTTAACAACTTCAAGATGACCTTTTTCTGATGCAATAATGAGTGGAGTCCATCGAGCATCATCCTTTGCATCTTTATCAGCTCCAACAGAGATAAGATATTTAACAACTTCAAGACAATCATTAGTTAATGCAAAAATGAGTGGAGTCCATCCAGTATTATCCTTTGCATCTTTATTAGCTCCAACAGAGATAAGATATTTAACAACTTCAAGATGACCTTTATATGATGCCCAAATGAGTGGAGTAGATCCAAGACTATTATCCTTTGATTCTTTGTCACAACCACATTCGATGAGTGATTGAACAAGTCTGAGATTTCCGTTTTCACTTGCAAAATGAAGAACATTTCTCTCAGAACCATATTCATGTTTTTTAGGATCAATCTTTTTCCAAAGTCCTTCTTCGACTGATTTTGAAATCATTTCGTGGTTTCCTGTCGAAGAAAGTTCATCAAGGAATTTGTAAACTGTTTCAAAATCACTAGATTTCTTAAGTTCTGTGATTTTAGTTAAAATATCGCGTGATTGATTGTAATTTTCATTAGTTACATTGACAGTAGTATCTTTGGTTGCATTTTCATTTTCTTTTTGAAAAGCTTTGGATTTATCTTGAATTATTTCTCTTTCGTTCGTAGAATCGTTTATAACTTTCTCATTCTGTTTTAAAAAATCTGTAATACCATCAAATATATTGAATTTCATGTATCTTTTCACAGAGTTAAGAATTGAAACAACTTCTTCGAGATTTTGGACACGAACGTTTGCCTTCCTTGTACAGATATATAATTCTTTGGAATTGAGAGTTGATGAAGATTGTTTAAGAAGAGTAACGTACTGATCAGCTGTCAAATGTGAATTTTTCATGATTATTTTGATATCCCTCATATCAAATATATCGAAGAAGTTTTCATTATTAATATAATCGCTGATATAAGCAGCAATGTATTCGAAATTCAGATCCATGGCCTATTTCGTTTTTGAAAAAAAAATCGTAACTTTACAAAAAATCTGAAAAAAAAATAATAGAATTGCTACTAGGCTCTTTTTACATACATTTGACTTTTCTCCACAATTCGAAAATTTTTTCCACAATTCAAAAATTCTTGTCTATTCAGATTTGTGGGCTTTGAATTCCTCAGAAAAATTGAATTCGTGCACACTAAATAAAAAATAGAGTGAATAAACTGTTCAAAATTGAGAGAAAACGATAATTTTTAAAATAATAACAAGATATGGTTAAAAGTAATAGATATAGAAGGGATCAAGCAATATAATAATAATTGCTGGCTGATAAGGATCAATTTTTTGAAATTTCATAATTTGAATTCAAAAATTCAATGTGTCTTGCGGTTTCAAAAGACACCTTCAAATTGAACGATAGCACAGACACTATTGAATTTTACCCATTCTATTTAGTTTTTACCCTTTTTATTTTTAAGAATTAATGACTGAAACAGCTGTTTTGCTATGACCTCAATCACTTTTATTTATTATTTTAAATATTATTTAATTTTATTATTTGAATAGGCCAACTTATATTTGAGAAGCTCAATTTGAGACCACTTAATACATTGAAATATCATAAATATTGAAATATTAAAAAGTGTATTTCAAAATATTGAAATTATAAAAATTTATAATACTGAAATTGAGACAAATTAATAAATTCAATGTGTTTTTTTTTGAAATAACTCTCAAATATTATTTTTTTTTGTTTATTTAATGATGAATAAATATGATTGCTTTAGTCAATCATAAAAACTAATTTAAGTTTAAAATAATGAAAGGATAAATTGATCGTTTTTTAAAATACAATTATTTTTGATGATTTGCAAGAATCTTTGAAAAGAATATAATATTGGTTCTATTATTGTAAAATTTATCCAAATCATGTATTACATAAATTACGATTAAAACGATGAAAGAACCAAAAAGTGTGTTTTGTGTTTTGTTGTTGCGTGTTGGATGCGGGATCCTGTTATTTCCGAAATCGACAAAAAATTTGGAAATTGAATTTCCGAAATCGAAATTATATTAATGTTTTTAATATTCTTATATCAAAAGGATTAAAGTTCATTAAGAGAAAAACAATTCTTCTTCTTCAATCTATTGGCGCATTTATTTCTACACGCCAATAAGGAAGGGAAAATTATAAGACTGTAATAAACAGAAATTCATCAAAAGTGACAGCTCTCAATTTTTTGACATTTGTAAATTCTAAATTGAATGAGAAAAATGAAATAATACTAAGCATAATACAATATTCTAGATTTAATTATAATTAGGAAAAAGTTAGTTTTGAGAGTACTTTTCATAGGCATATAGAATGAAATCTTCTGAAAAATAATATCACATAAACTCATATTATTTTCTAATATATAACTATTTTATATAAAAATCAAATTCAATGATCTTAAAAGCGAATGATAAACCTCAAAATTTACGAATATAATGAGTGGGAATATTTCATATGGTTTTATGATAGATAAGCATTATATTCCCACTCATTATATTCGTAAATTTTGAGGTTTATCCTTCGCTTTTAAGATCATTGAATTTGATTTTTATATAAAATAGTTATATATTAGAAAATAATATGAGTTTATGTGATATTATTTTTCAGAAGATTTTGTGTTCTTCTTCAAAATTTTAATTTTTTATTAAAAAGAATCTTTACCAAATATACATTTACTTTAATTAATATTTAAAAACGTGCTCTATCAAAAGTTCCAAAAATTCAATATTTTAGCTTTTCTGAGGTGTCACTTTTGATGAATTTCTGTTTACAACAAGACACCATGGTGTCTTCAAAACGCTAATTTTTGATATTTTTAACAACCCTAAATTTTTTACACGTTATGAGTGTAGAGAGCAGCGCCGTCTTCGGCGAGGCCTCAGAGACTGCCGATGCCGCGCTTGAGATCCCTCGTTTAGACAAAATTCCAAACCCTCTTGCTCCAATAAGTCCTACTTTTTCTCCAGAGATTGAGGAATTTGATTCTGAATCATTCAATACATATTCAAAATTCACAAAAACAATACTTCCTAAATTTGACCTTGCAACTCTCGAAGAAGCACAACCAGTTGTGGATCATTTAATATCAAAATTAGAGAATCCAAAAATATCAACTACATATGTAGAACTTATGGTACATGCTTTTTTGCTTGCATGCTCCTATAAGCAAACAGAACTTATTTCAAATCCATCTCTCACAAGATTGTCATATTTGCATCATATTCTTTATTTATGCTCAGAAGCAGTTCATAATTGTTCAAAACTTCAAGTAGATCTATTCGAACATTGCAACATGATGATAGCTGATACAGAAGATCTTTATTACTCCAACTTTTGTGAAATTGTCGAACATAAATTCTGGGTAAAACTAAATCTGTCAATGATTTAATCAATACAATGCTTAAAAAGCAGTTTGAGCAGCTCAGATTGCTAAACGAATACACTTTCAAACATTTGACAATTCTTTCAATGAGAAAGTCAATTGACAGCGCCCCAACACAGACTGGAAGTGAGCTCCTTAAGTGGGCGCATGCAAATAATATTCCTTATGAATAATTTTTATTTTATTTTGATATATTTTTCATGCAATAGCCATGATTTATTGTTTCTTACGATAAATGTTTTAATTACATTTAATAATTATAATATGGTCTTCCGACCATGAATTAATATTTTTCTCTCGAAAATAAATCTGAAATTTTGATCTAAGATGCAAATATAGACAGAGAAATTATCAACTCAGGTGTATTGTTCCTTACCATTATTCAATTTTCGTGCAAAATTGAATCAATTGTATAAATCGAATATTTGCATTATATATGAATTTTAAACTAAAAACACAATTGAAATTTCTGTCAGCACTAAGAACACAAGCTTGTTATAGAAGGAAATAGCTTGTTTATCGATTTATGGATCAAAATATAGTTGAATTCGTCTAATAATGAGACGATTCTTTCACATAAAGTATTCATTTATGCAAAAGATCACATCAATATAGAACTCGAAAACTCAAATTATCTATACTATGATTATTTTTGATTCAAATGCTGTTCGGCATTAGAAGCAAAAATAATCATAATCTAGATAATTCCAATTTTATATACTTTTTGGGCGCTAAAGCGCCCGTAAAAAAAGTATACAAAATTGTTAATTTGAAGAAGGCAGAAATTCAAATTGAATTTTAAGTTGTCACTTTTGATGTCTGATTCTGATGACCCAGTAGTATCTGAGATGGATCTCTTTTTGTCATCAGATATGTCAACAAAGAGTCTCATCATTCAGTTTCCACTTGTTAGTCGTAAAGAGGGCTGCCCAAATATCGAGCAAGTCTCATTTAACTCTAAAAACAAATCTTACAAGATTATGGTTGCTCCACCACAAGATATTTATACAGGTATGGATCTAAAATCACATTACCTTCAAACAAATAAAATTTATTCACCACAACCATTTGCGTTAGGCGTTATTCGCGACGGGCAAGTCCATTTGACGCCAATTACTTCTATTTATCAAGCAAGACCATCTGATTTATTCGAAGAAGAAACAACAACGGCGAAAGACCAAGAACCAGATTCCAAAGCAATAGACTTTACAGAAGGAACCGATATTACCAAATTTACATCTAAAGCAGCGACAGATGTCTCCTCGCAGATGAGTGCCCTCACATATAAAGATAATTTGACTGGAATGAGGTGTGACTTCTCCGCTGACCTTATTGAGCAGATTAGTGAGAATACCCTTTCATCCAGACCACCACGCGAGCAATTATATTACGTCCTTTATAAGAATAGAACAATTTTCTTTGATGATGTTGTTCAGAGCCTTATATTGACGGCATACTCCGAGGAACTGCTTGATGTCCTGTTTAAGTACGCATATTACGTTCAAAGTCGCTGGGTTATTAAATCTGAAGAAATCAGGTCTACAGAGCTTCCTGTCAACTTACGTGCTGCAAGAAACTTTGCAATTGTCATCTTTTCATATAAGAAATACTTGACTCCAGCATTAATCAAGAAATTCCTAGCATTATTCAGTATTCAAAGCTCAGACCTCAAAACAATCTTCGACCGTCTTGCTACAAACACAAAGGACAAAGTTACAAACGAAAACAGAGTTGTTTTCAAGTATACAGAAAAACCCGAATTTGAGCAGCGCCATAAAGAGGCTCACAAGAAAGGACTTAGGGAAATTGAAAGACTGAAGGAATCCCTCTGCCTTATGAAACAAAATCCAAATCTTTTCGATGATTTTCTTGCTTAAAAATTTTCTATATAGATTTTATATAAATTAAAATTATCATCGATTTTTTGTTAATTCGGCTTTGTTATGCTTAGTTCTTTCGAGATGATAATTTTAAATTTTTGGGCAAAATTGAATTGAGCATTAAATTAGAATTATCATAAATCATATACATATACTATGTTTTGTTTTTTAACTAAAATTACAAACGAAAAAACTTTGCAGGTAATCATGTTTTTAGAGCTGGTTCAATGACTCATGATTTTCCAGTTCTTGATTGAGCATATAGGCGAATCTATTGCTTTTGATTTGCATTTGTTAATGTTTGAGACGTTTTATCGCCTCAAAAATATGAACAAAAAAAGTTGGTGCAACTACACTCAAATACTAAATATTATCTTATCTTAGATTTATCAATACATCCAGCATCTGAGATCTTATATAACATGCTATATATAATGAAATAATATATGCCTTTGCTGAAAAATACTGAAGTTCGAGGAGATAATGAAAGAATTATGAATCTAGAAGCAGACTTCACTGATAATTTATAACTTATTAATAATGAGAATATATGGCGAAATATGAATCACAAATATTATTAGGTCTGTTTCTTTGAAGAATCATACATAAATCGATGTCCCAATGAATTTTTAAACGTCCACTTTTTTTATTCTAAAAAAAAATAAAAAAATAAATGAACAACGAAAGGGCTCAGCTCCTTGATTCACTCCACGAACTTTCAAATATTCTTGAAACAGGACTTGACCGCGAAACATTATCCATTTTGCTTGAACTTACAGAAGCTGGAGTTAATCCAGAAGCTTTGGCAGCTTTAGTTAAAGAACTTCGAAAGCAAAGGGAAGAGAATGATGAACAAACTCCAACATTTTTTAGTTAACTACAATCAATCATGTTTTTTTTTATCAATTATCAACATTTATTAGGAAAAAAAAAGAAAGAAACGATTTTATACTTTTTGTTTGTTACAATCAATTTGTTCGTAAATAAAAATGTTACTATTATTTAAAAGAAAAACAAATTAAATATTTTTATAAGCTAACAATCTTATTAACAACATCTCCATGGTCACCTCTATCACATATAATAGTCGTTACGTGGCATACGTAATCTTCATCGAAGCAAACTCCTACACCAATGTCATCTACTTGATTTAGAAGAACAGAAACACAATCTGTGTTATTTCTCCACTTCCTCATAATTTCTTTTGGAGCTCTAAGCATTTCTTTGCAAGTAGTATGGCTGATATCGCATAATTTATAACGTGGTTCAACAACATTTTTGTAAAAGTCGTCTTCGATTGGATTAATACCTTCCTGACCATTTGCAATAAATTCTGCATGATCCTGAGCAACTTTAAACAGGTTGTCATCAAATGACAGCTTTTCTAAAGAATGCTGTTCTCTAAATTCGTTCATTTCTTCAGCAATATGCTTTGCTAGTATGGAATGATCCACTAAGTTCTCTGATCCATCAATAATTGACGCGTAAATGCTTCTTGTAACGATACGAACTGAAAAATAACAATTTTTCTTAATAACAAACCCAATACCGATTCTGTTGAATTCTCCCAACAATGCATCGACATGGTATGTCTGCTGCATCCATTCTGAAACAATCGTCTTGGGATTTGCTTTTTCGAACTCAAATTTACCGAAGTCGACGTGGCTCGAAGAAGCGCTCGGTATACGTGTAGAAATGAATTTCTGGGTAATTTTTGTTGGATCTGTCTGACTGAATTTATATGCTAACGTTGCTAATTGATCGCTCCATAAATAAGGCGGTAAATCGTATTTTTCGCGTATATTGTTGACAATTTCGAGACAGTTTTGGCCCAACAAGAAACTCCTTAGCTCATCGCCAACAAGATGGGAATCTCCAATATAAGATTTGACAGCAACGATAACTGTAAAGAAAGTGGTTTTTTGTGCTGTTGATGCCATACCACATCCAATTGTATTGACTTTGGACAGAAGAGCTGCGGAGATTCCTGGCTCAGATGCCCATTCGTTAGTAACGTCTAAAAATGCGTGATTTGGTGAATCACTTCGAGATACATATGCGTAATAAAATGGAAATGGGAGATCGCTGATTTCTTCTTTAATTGGAGCATTAGTAAATTTTACCTCCATTTTCGCCATTGCGAGAGAGTGTTTCATCGCAATTCGATTTAGATCAATTGATTCTACAATAGGAGGAAGTTTATGAGAAGCTCTGAACAAATTAACGGCCCTTATTAAAGTAGCGCAAATAGAAGAGTATTGGAATCGTAAAACAGGCGGAGGATTATCGAAATCATATTTTGCATCAATAAAACTTCCTTCATTTTCATCCGAATCGCTAATAGAAACTTCATCATCATATTCATCTTCTTCCTCTCCAGATCCATCCTCTTCTTCACCATTGGTCTCTTTCTTTGCCTCTTTTGGAGATTCAACTATTTTTCCGTCTCCAGAGCTCTTTTTCGCTTTTGGTGTCAAATCATCAAGCTTCAACTCCTTATCACTATCAGATGAGTCGTTCCCCTTCATATCTGCGGAATCTTCGACTGAGTCCTCAATATTTTGATCTGAGCTATCTGACATTCTATTTTAAATTTAGATTACACCGATGAAAATCTTTTGAAAAGTTAAAAAAACGTGTTTTTTATACTTCAGTAATTTTGATTCTTTTTATATGCTGACCTGGAGAATTTATATATATACCAAAAGAAAATGTAGATTTGATAAGCATTGAGCTACATGAGTCAACAAAAAGTTATGAAAACTCACATTTTAGATCACAATAATTTGGTTGGCATTTGTAAACTCCTCGCAATTGGTTGATGTGAGAGCAAAATTCAGAGAATGGATGGCTTGAGTATGAATGATTTTCTCGATTTTGGAAATTTCTTAAAAATTGTCTAAATCGGCAACCATACTTAAGTAGTCAAAAAATTTAAAGTATCCACTTCCTTAAAACTGGAGCTTACTGTGACCTTATCGATAAAATAAAAATTTTATATATATTCTTATGGAAAATAGACTTTTATTTTTTGAAAAATAGCATTATGCATTTAAGAAATGAAAAATATTGATTTGTTTCAGCTTAATCTTAATTATTAAATGTTAATATCCAATATAGTATTTCAAAGCTACAGTATCTGATATTGCCCCAATTATTTCCATCCAATATCACTCCGAATCACATCACGGATTTTTCAAATTGTGGAAAAAAATTGAATTGTGAAAAAAATTGAATTGAATTGTGGAAAAAAATTGAATTGTGTATATAATGAGTGTAGTAGCAATTGCTAGTTTTTTATTTTTTTTTAAATAGTCAAAAATTTTAATGTCTTCGGACGTATTAAATCTTTGTTTGAGAATGGTAACTATAAACAAGTAAACTCTTTAGGTTTACCACTCATTCGTGCATCACAAAAAGGTTATCTTGAAAATCCCCTTACTAAAGCATGCGAAGAAAGAAATCTCGAACGTATTAAATCTATTATAGAGAACGGTAACTATAATGTAGAATCTTTGGGCTTACCACTCATTTTTTCATCAGAATATGGTCATCTTGAAGTTGTTGAATATCTTATCTCAATTGGAGCCGATAAAGAAGCAAAGGATAATTTTTGTGGATGTACTCCACTCATTTGGGCAACAGAAAATGGTCATCTTGAAGTTGTTAAATATCTTATCTCAGTTGGAGCCGATAAAGAAGCAAAGAATAAAAGGAATGTACTCCACTCATTTATGCATCAATGGATGGTCATCTTGAAGTTGTTAAATATCTTATCTCAGTTGGAGCCGATAAAGAAGCAAAAGATAAAAATGGTAAGACTGCTCTTGATGTCGCATGGCGCTCTGTGAAAGAATACTTTTTGGGAGACAAAACAGAATAGAGAATAATTATAGATAATGATAAAATATTAAAAAATAATATCCTTACTTATAAAACATAGCATCACTTAGAAACAAAAATTTAAACCTTCAAAATAATGTATTTTTTTTAAGAACAAACAGCATCACCATCTGAGGATTCACTTTTAATCATGCTTGCTTATTTATAAAGTATTACATAGCTTCAAAATCATATAATTATGAAATGCATTCATATTTTTCATGTAAAATTCATTAGCTCAAATAACTCCACCTATATAACCAAAAATTCATAAGCGTGTTAGAAATCTCTAATATATCAAAAGTAGATGATGATGTTTAACTAAATTAACTTGATAAATTTATACATTATGTCCTGTATAATACGTCAACATCAACTATTCTCTAAATATCTATACGACATCAATAAATGCACCAATATAACACCAATTTTTAAAGAAATAAAAATGCAAGAGATGACACCATGTTTTCTTATTTATACCTTACCCTCACAAAATACAGTGTACTTTTAAAAAAAAAAAAAAAAAAAAAAAAAAAAAAAAAAAAAAAAGTGGGGCTTCCAGGCACTTCGTGCCTTCTAGCCTGAAGATGTTTAGGAGAAATGAAGTTCTTATATACGGGTCTTCCAGGAGCTTTTCACAAATTATATATGTTTTTCATGTTTTGTCAAGACTTCTTCGTAAAGACTTTGTCAAGATTTCATCGTAAAGACTTTGTCAAGATTTCATCGTAAAGACTTTGTCAAAACTTCATCGTAAAGACTTTGTCAAAACTTCATCGTAAAATCAGACAAAAATAATGTTTAGGGTAGAAGGTTAGATATAACCTCTTTTCTAACCTCTTTTCTACCCTCTTGAATTTGTCAAGATTTCTTCGTAAATGTTTTGTCAAGATTTCTTCGTAAATGTTTTGTCAAGACTTCTTCGTAAATGTTTTGTCAAGACTTCTTCGTAAATGTTTTGTCAAGACTTCTTCGTAAATGTTTTGTCAAGACTTCTTCGTAAATGTTTTGTCAAGACTTCTTCGTAAATGTTTTGTCAAGACTTCTTCGTAAATGTTTTGTCAAGACTTCTTCGTAAAATCAGACAAAAATAATGTTTAGGGTAGAAGGTTAGATATAACCTCTTTTCTAACCTCTTTTCTACCCTCTTGAATTTTCATGAAATTTACACCAAAAATATACTACTAGGGTCATTTACGAAGAAATCTCAACAAAGTCTTTACGATGAAATCTCAACAAAACATAGACAAGAAAGTTCATGAGAAATTAGATGAAGAAGTCTTAACAAAGTCTTTACGAAGAAATTCATGAAAATTCAAGAGGGTAGAAAAGAGGTTAGAAAAGAGGTTATATCTAACCTTCTACCCTAAAATATTTTTGGGTCATTTACACTCATTTACGAAGAAATCTCAACAAAGTCTTTTACGAAGAAGTCACAATAAAACATCTGTCAAAAGCCGCTTTTTAACTTCACTTAAAATGCCACGTAAGCTACGTAAGAATATACGTAAGAGGAAGAGAGCATTGAAACATCCAATAGTAAGACTGACACCACAACAACAGTTGCAACAACAAATGCTGAATGACCCCACTATGTTGCAACAAATGTCAAGCAATCCTATGCTTTTAAACCGAGTCATTGGTGCACAGAGTGGAGGTTTAAGAGCGGCACTTTTAGCGAAAATGGCAGGCTTTGGTGGAGCTGCAGACGGAACAGCTTATAACCCTCAAAAGTGAATTTGAGTTCACTCAAAAATCAAATAACAGATGTCAAAAAGTCAAACATAGACATACAGAAGCAAATAAGTGAAAAGAAAAGAAACTAGAATATGACAGACACACAAAGAAACTCAATGAGTTAAACGTAGAGAAAAAGAAGAAAGAAGAACAACTGAAAGAACTAAGTACAGAGGAATATGCGAAAAAGTGTCAGAAAAAGCAGCAGAAGTAGCAAAAATGGAACAAGATGTTGTAAATTTGAAAAACCATACTACTCAATATAAAATACTGAAAGATGAAGAGATAAAACAAAAAGCCCTGAAGACATATATGGATAGCGATGAGTATAAAAAGAAGTTGAAGCAAATGTAAAGGCAGAAAAACTTTTACAGTTGCAAAACCAAACCGTACAGTATGAAAACTTAGCACAAGAAAGTAAAAATAACGACGCGGCTATGCAAAAGGCAATGAAAAGCGCAGAATATATAAAAGCTAACAATGACTGGTTAGATGCCCAAGCCAACGCTAAAGCAGCCCAACTCATAGGGTCAATAAGGACAAAAATACAAGCGGATGAAGATAGTTCAAATGAAGCTTTAACAAATGCTGACTTTAAGAACGCCTTCGAAGCTCTTCATAGTAAGGTGAAACAAGTGAACGACTTCTCATCTGGAAAGAAACTGAAGTCTGAAGGTTTCGACAAAGAGTTAAGAGAAGTAGCACAAAATATGACGAAAATAACAGATGCAGCAACGAGACAGGCAGTTCAAAGTGCCTATGACGCCGTTAGAGCAACTGTTGTGGAAAGTCAAGAAAAAGAGTTACAACAGACCAAAACAGACCTAGTAAATGCTTTCTTAAGAACGAAAAGTCAGGTAGGACATTATGCTGCAGATGGAACATATGTGCCAGCTGGTGGAACTTATATACCACCAAACCCTCCAAGAGAAGCACCTGCACCAGGACTACCTAGAACATTTACATCGTCACATGGACACAGACACAGGCATGCACCAAAACCAACACAACAACCAACACAACAACCAACACAACAACCCACAACAACCAACACAACAACCAACAGTTCAAAACCCTGCACAACAACAACCACAAACAGAGCAAGGACATAAAAGAAGTAGAGAACAAGGAAACCAAGAATTCTTAAAAATGCTTAAAGAAGAGTGTGGTTTCCCAGATACTGTTGACTTTAGTGACAGATATAAAGAAGCTATTAGAAAGTTCAAGGATGGAAATACTGACCCGAACCTATTTAGCTTTATGACTCAGCACCAAATGGGATATAATTTCAAACCTGGAAAATACAAGCTCGCTAAGGGATATGATTTAATAGCATATCATCCAAATGACATGAACGAATTTACTCCGAGATATTTGATGTCAGAGCTAAATGACAATACAACTTTCGTCATGAAACGCGTAAAAAATAGAGACGGAACGAAAGAAGAAAGGCTTATGAATGCGGATGACGTAGATAGGGAAATTGTTGAAAACGGTCTCGGAATATATGAAATGCCAGCAGATGAGGTACAAGAAACTCCACAGGAAGAACTAGTTCAGATACAACCAGACATGGAAGAAATAGTTCGCACAACACAACAGCTAGAAGAGCCTGAAGGAAACGAACAAGTCACTCCTTTGGAAACTAACTTCACAGAACTAGATGAAGATTTGGAACAGCCGAAAAATCTTGACCCTCAACAAGAGCATGAGGTGAATATGGAATCTTTCCAAGAGTCTAAGAAAGATTCGGCTGACATAGTAGAAGAATATCGAAAAATGTTTGCCGACATACAAAAGACTCCAACACCAGATGAAATATTCAGCATAGAATGGAAGAACTGAAAAAAATGTACACAAATACAACAACCCTTTTTACTTACGAGCATTTAACGTTCAATCTTCGGATGAACTCGGTGAAAATAAAAGGTTAAATTTCAAGAAAACATATAGAAATGAAACATTGTTTAAAGTTCATTCAGAACCTAACCAAGATGGAAACAAACCTACTTTTGTTTCTGCAGACGATGGAACTACAATGAGATGGGGTCATAAAGCTAACTCGGATAGGTGGTTCATAAACTTACAACCACAATTCCAAGAAGTTGTAGACGCAATGGAAGTCAATGGTGAACCAGATATAGCTGGTATTTTCAGCGCGGCTTTAATGCCATTGAAAGATATGAAAGATGCAGATATTTTGAACCAGTATGAAATGAACATGGCTGATGGAAATATAACACCTGACGTTCTAGAACATTTATCTCAAAGAACTACACAGAACCATAAAGATGGTATATTTGGTGAAGAGTTTAGAAAGAAAGTTAGGGAGAGCGAAGGAAGAGAACCTATTGTACATGACCTTGCAAACGAAAGTTTACAAAATGTCATAAAAACTTACTTTGCAGACAATGAACTGAGAAGGGATGAATATTTAAGAAAACTCAAATGGACAGTACCAAATGAAATGTTAGTATTGAAAAACATGTTCCTTGACAAAATAAAACCAACTACAGAAATAAACGACGCAAGACTGAAAGATTGGGTAGAAGCTTTCCCATTCACAAAAGATATAGTTGGTAACATGGAAAGAAAACCAGAATGGCTACAAAAACATATATTTGGAAACGAGCTTATTCCATATGGACAGGCACTGTTTGAAGAGCTTGAACCGGAAACTCAGGACAGAGTCATGCAAACAATAAGCGACGACTCAAATACAAACTATGACAAACTCTTTCTAGGATATAGGTTACCTGAGATGGGCGACCAGAGCCAAAAGGCAAAAAGGACATGGAAAATTTGCAACATAACTAGATGAACATAATGCAAAGATGCAACAACTTCAAGCAGAGGGCAATGAAGGAAAAAGAAGAGTTAAAAACTCAGTCAGGAAGAAAGTAAAGCTTGGTCGGAGTGGGTTCTATTATGACATATAAATCCAACTATTCTATATTTTTACTCATATGAAATGTACGCCGCTCAGAATATAACGCCAACAGTTTTGGATGCTATGAATGGAAATGTTTCCGAATGGTATAACGAATGCGACAATGCCATTAGAAGGTCAGAAATAGTTCCTGGAACTTACGAATATACAACTGCTGTTTCTTATGGAAACGTAGGTGAGTTTGGAGAAGGTTCTTCAACAACAGTAGATATTGCTTGCGACAGGTTTCATATAATTTCTATTGACAACTCTTTCTTATACGTGGAACAAGACATTGAAATAAAACCTTCTGCCAAGTTGTCTGACAAGAAAGGTTGCAATGGAATTTTCTATGTCGGATACCAATATGCTCCAGAAGTTTTCATGGGATATAAGATATATTCTAACTCTGACTTAGTTCAAACAGTAACATGGGCAAACTATGAATGGTTCGCTTTGAGAAACTCAGTACAACCACAAGCTAGAGAACAAACAGACCAGTATGCAACTATTGAGAAAATAAGAAGACTTGACCCTAACGTTCCAGGAGTTTATGTTAACCTTTCTGGTTCAGATGGAAATGCTGTCACTAAAGTAAAACTGAAACTTAGAGTTCCTTTGTCATCTTTCCTCATCTTCAGGTTTTTAAGATACTTGCCAAACTGGGCAGGAAAAATTTCTATCGAACTTACTCCAAGCAAAAATAACTTAGTCATTGCACCAACACAAGACCCATTCACTCTTACAGAAGTAGTGGGAACAAATAAAATGTCATTCGCCGACTTTTGCAAAAACAAAGTTGACTTAGACTTTGGTTTCTCAAACCTCAACACTGAAGTAAACTATTATTTCAATGCTGCTGGAGATGCTTGGGACCCAGTTAAGTTCACATGCGAAAAGTTTGAATGCAAGAGAATAGAAAGCAGACTTGCAGTCTATATGTTGGACCCAGATATTTCAAATGCTTTAGCTGCCAAATATATTGCAGTTCCACTTATGTTCCCTATACACCAAATATCTGTCAAAGACTTTGCAGGTGAAGTTGGAAACCAAAGTGCTGACCAGGTGCAAGAACAGATATTGCCTTAACAACTGCAATGAAACATGCAGATACTCTGTTTGTACTGTTCAGACGAACTATAAATGACTATTCTTGTTTCTACAACCCCGGTATAAAATATCATATAAACATAGATGGCAAATATTATCCAAGAGAAGAATATTCCACAGTTGAGGATATGAGGTCATACAACTTGACATTAGATGCTATGAACTTTAACAACAACTTCACAACAACCATTAACCCTGAAATGCAAAGTTCTATTATGCCATATGTGAAAGTATGGACCCATACAGGAGCTCAAAAAACTCAATATACAAATGGAGACCGTTCAAACTTTTGGCTTGGCATTCCATTTGCTGACTCAGAAGACTTTATGGGTGGTATTTCAACTGTTGGTACAGTTCAAATACAATATACTGGTGACAGAGACGGTCCAGATGAATTGAAAGCAAAGAAGTTTACAAAACCAATAGCACTTTTCACGGAAGATGCTCTTTTGAAGATTCGTTCGATGAAACCTGCTGGGGCTCCTCAGATTGGCATAAACGACAGCTTCCATCGAGCAGATTTTGGCAGCAGGTCAGTAAGTTGTTCTTGAACTGACTTCTCTCCGTCAAATATTGACAGTACGCCAGTTTTGACATAATATTGTATTATAAACTTACCTTTAGAAATATCTGTAAGTTTTGTTGTTATATTTTGTCTGCTTCAAGAACTTTCACCATTTCAGTTATACCAACTTTCTTTGCTTTATGAAAATATTTTGGTTCAGCAAAGACTGCTATTCTATAACATTTTCCATTGTTTGTATAAAGAACTATTCTGTCAATGTATTTGTATTGTTTGTGTGTGTAAACTTTGTTCTGCTTCAATTCGAAGAGATACTCGAATACGTCCATCTTTTTATTCTAAGTAAAATGTCATTTCCGAAAAATAGAAGCGTAAGTGTTTCAAAAGGTTTAATGGCGATGGCAGATGTGAAGTTAAATTCACCAACTCAAACAAACAGTCAAAGTGTTGTTGTCAATGTCAAAGAAAGAGATGTTGAAGTGGGGAAACCATACGAAGACGAAGATGGTATAACAATAGTTCCTGTAAAAGAACAACCAACATACCCTGAAGTTAGCAGAGACTTAAGTTCTGTTGCAGATATTCGAAACGACTACCAACAACTTAAAGACAAACTTAAAACTCAGGAGAAGATTTGTCAGGCTTTGGGTATAATGTTAAACTTGGTTGAGCACAACCCTGTAAAAGTGAACTCATATGTCATCGCACCTCATGAAATTTTGAAAGAACTATTGAAACTTTTGACAGAGGCAGACGATATAAACATCAAAGAAATAGAACCCGACATGCTTGCTGTGGTGTTTCATATAATGTCATTGACAAGATATACGTTATGAAAGGAGGTGAAACGTTGAACTTAAAGTATAGTTTCCCAGACGTCATAAAAATATTTGACGACCACAACATTTCATTAAAATTTACTTGCTAAGTAAATGGCAGAAGACATAGTGGTTTATACTATTACGACTAAAAACCCTGAGTCATATAATTCTATAACAACAAACTTACAAAGTCCTCAAGGACGATATTGTAAACTGACCTTAAACACGATGACGACTAAAGCCTTTTTGCTCTTTTGACACCAGAAGACTTTGTTGTTGTGAATGGTAAAAATACTTCTTTGAAGATACTTACTCAGATATACCACCAACAGGTTTTGTTGACTTATTTAATACTTTAAGGACGGATGTAACATGTGCTGCAACTAGAGCAGGTTTCATTATGTTTGGATGTCCGACTGAGTTAGTATAAACGATATGAGCTATAATACAAAACTTATATCTGGTTTTTACTACCAACAGTTTCCTATAACAGGAAAAGGTGTCATACAAGGAATGTCTGTTCCATTGACTTTAAGTACACCTATTTTATATATTGTTTCAAACTTAGGTTCAAAGTGTTATTCGAATGTCGACAGAAACTACTATGACCAAAAGATACTCATGCGTATAAACAACACTTTCTCTGCTGGTTTGCCTATTGTTCATTCGAATGCAGAATTTTCAACCTTAGTGAACTCAAACACTTTGGCAAGTATAACGTTGACATTAGTCGACGCAAACTTTGTTCCTGTAAAACTTTTATGTCCTATGTATTTGTCAATGACGGCAGAAAGTTTCGAATTGGAAGATGCAACTGGTGAAAGTATTGTATTACAAGAACAACTTCAACAACAAATAGCTCAAGAACAACAAATGCAACAAATGGAACAAATGCAACAACAAAGTCAAGAATAAAAAAATATTTTTTTTTATTTTTATAAAAATGTACAGAATAGATGTTTCAGATTTTTATGACTTCCAAGCGTTCAGAAATATGTGTCCATTTAGAGACTATAACAAAGCAGTCGAGAACTTGAAACGTTTAGTCATTTATGTTGACTCTGCCCCAGAATGTTATGTTATGAAAGAATGGGATGTTGTCTTTAACAAACCAAGAGCAACCATAGTTTCAGAACAAGAATGTAGACAGAAACTTAAGAAAATAAAAGTCGTACAGGTTGGCATGAAGATGTTAGATGCTTGGGATATTTTATTGTCGAAGTTAGAAGATTTTTCAGTTCGTGGTATAAAGTTCTATACACCTTCTCCAAACTTCTATTCTATCTTCACTGGATATAAATACGAACAAGTAGAATGGAAAGAAAATATTATAGAAGCTTGGTTAGACCATGTCAAAGAAATTATATGCAATGGAAACGAAAGAGTCTATGAGTATATCTTATGTTGGTTTGCAAACATCTTACAACATCCAAGTGCTAAAAATGAAACTGCTCTCATTATAATTGGAAAACAAGGAACTGGTAAGAATACTTTCTTTACAGATATTTTGTGCAAACTGTTAGAGGGCTATTCGAATCCGAATATGACAAACTTAGAAAACATCTGCGGTAAATTTAACTCTTCAATAGAGAATATGAAACTTATAGTATGTAACGAACTTCAAAGTATAGATACAACAAAAGTTTTGAACTCAGATGCTTTGAAGAGTCTTATAACAGACAAAGTTGGAGTTGTTGAAAGAAAATATAAAGACCAAAGAGTTTGTGAAAATTTGCAAACTTCATTATGGTTTCAAACAATGCTGTTCCGATGAAGTTAGAAAGTTCTGACAGAAGATATGTAGTTGTCAGAACGTCAGATTCTCATATGCAAGATACAGAATATTTTGACGACTTAGCAGAAACTTTGACACCTAACTTTTACAACCACTTGTTCTCATATTTCATGACATTAGATATTTCAAAGTTCAATCCAAGACAAATTCCACATACCGAAGAGAGACAAACATTGTTAGAAGCAAACAAGAGTGTATATGAACTGTTCATAGATGAAACTGACTTTGAGTGTTTAGATGAAAGGTCATTGTACGATTATAAACAATATTGTCAAGAGTATGGTTATATGACAGCGTCTAAACGAACATTCTTGGCAAATGTCAAAAATCTTTTAGATGTTCAGAATGGTGTATATACAAAGAAAAATTTTTCTGAGTAAATTTTAAAAAAAATATTTTTTTATTTTATTTGAAATGTACGCTGAGTTTGTTGGAGAAGACCGTTGGGAAACTTGTTTGTTAGATGAGAAATATGAAATTCACTGTTGTGAGTCATTTGAAGTCAGAAACAAAAAGACAAAAAGAGTTTTAAGCGAATGGGAGCGAAATGACGGATATACTACTATGAAGATGAGTGGAAAACACTATTTTAAACATATTGTCATTGCAACTCATTTTATACCGAACCCTAACAATCTACCTCTTGTAGACCATATAAACCATATAAGAAACGACAATAGACTTGAGAACTTGCGTTGGGTCACATGTTCTGAAAACAATAAGAACATAGGCAAATTTCGAGATATTGTATTCGAATTTGTCGACGAACTAGAAGATGAAGCAATTGAAATTACAGACTATGGTAAGCATACGTTTGAGTTTTACTACTACAGCGAAGAACAAGACTCTTTCTACTTTTATACCGGCGTAAACTATAGGAAATTACAAGTATATTTTACTAAGACGGGCTATGCTCATGTAAACGCTAGAGATACAGATGGAAAAAACGTTCGAATACTTCTTAACAAATTCAAGAAGCTATATGGCATACCATTTTAAAACGTTTTTAAAAAAAAATATTTTTTTATCCGATAGAAAAGATGACGAAATATATTTCAGTAAATAAGTACATGACAGAAGTCAAAGAAGAACTAGACCCATTCGCTTATTTGAATGTTTACTTCTACCATTTTGAAAAGTCTTCATTTGACAAAGTTTGGAACATCGAACCAGTTAAGTTTGCTATTGTGACTAAAAATGGTGCGAAATTTGAAGACTTAGACATAGAAGGTTTGTTAGCAGTCAAAGAAAATTTTGACAGAAGGTTCTCAAACCTTAAAGAAGGCAAAGCATACAAACTTGTTATACCTTATGAACCAAAGAAAGCAGACGACTATGAATATTATGAGTCTAAGATAGTTGAAGTTCAAGGTAAGTTGGGTAAAAAGATTTTAGAGTCTAAGCCAGTGTTTGCTCCTAAAGAGGAAGAGAACATTGACATTGACCCAGAAATGTTCTAAAAATAAAATTTTATTTTTACATGTCAAATTTCTTTTTCTCTGGAACTGGCTCTGGTTCTTTCTTCTCTTCTTCTACTTTCTTTTCTTCTACTTTCTTTTCTTTCTTTTCTCTCTTCTTCTTCTTCTCTGGTGGAGTTATGTCAAATTTGGCGCAACCATATTTATGTAAAAGTTCTTTGTCCTTTAATAGCTCATCTATTCTGTTTTCTATTTCATCTTCAAGAACAGCGCATGTGCCTTCTTTGCATTCTAAGAACTTTTGTTGGACTTCATCTTTCCAATCGGCGTCATCTCTGTCAACAAGTCTGTCATTGACAAATTTTAAGACTGCTCTTTGTAATGTTTTATGGTTCTTGTCATATTCCCAGAAACAGAACTTTAGAACAAATTCACCTTTCTTGTTTACACTATGTAAGATTTTATGGTCGACAGAAGTTTTAGAGTCAAAAAGCTTGTCTCGAATATAGATAGCGAAATCGCTAGACATTTTCTAAAAGATAAAAATTTTAATTTTTCTAAAAATATGTTAGAAAAAAAGTTTGCTGACATTGACAAGAAATTTGAGAATGTTTTGAAGAAGAACAAGAGGAAGTTAGAAAATGCTCAGATAAAACCTATACATGACAAGTTCTTATTTGCTCAGAATGGTATAACAGGTCTAATTGCACCACCTGGGTCGGGTAAGACTTTCACTTATCTTAAAATGGCTGCACAACAACAAGAACTAGATGAGAAGAACCCATTCTATGAGTTAGTAGTCATTTGTAGTACTTCTGGTCAATTTGACCAAACCGTAAATTCGTTCAAAGATATTATAAAAAAGTCTAAGTTAGTATGTATAAAAGACTCTGAGTTGTTAGATTGGATAAAGAAGTACCAAAGAAGAGTTTTGAAGTACAATGCTATAAATGAGTATGTCAATTCGAAGTTTAAAGACCCAAATGAGGAAATGCAGAGAATATTAGAGAAGAAACACTTCAGAAACAAACAGAAAGAGATAGAATACATTTCGAAGAAATTGCAATCTTACGATTGGAAGACTTACCCTCATAGATGTCTTCTTATCTTAGATGACTTTGCTTCTCATCCTTTGTTAAAGAACAGAGAACAAGACATGTGTCGAATTCTTAAGAAGCTCAGACACTTTAACATCTCAGTTGTCATTTGTGTACAGACAGCAAAGAGTTTAAGTAAGGATGTAAAGAGAATACTTACTGATATCATACTTTTCCCTGGATTGTCCGAAGACGATTTCATGGAACTTATGAAAGAGTCCATGGCAGGTAAGTTTGACAGACATGAACTATGGGAGAAGTACAAAGTCATACAAGACCCTCATACTTCTTTCAGAATTCACATCTACGCGAACAAAGTTCAAATTGTAAAAAGTCAATAAAAATAATGTTTAGGGTAGAAGGTTAGATATACCCTCTTTTCTACCCTCTTTTCTACCCCAGTTATTTTATAAGCGTTTTACATGGTAAACGTTATTTTTAAAATTTTGTGAAAACTCAACGGTTTGACACATGCCCTAAAAATTATTTTACTCAGAATTTTACTCAGAATTCAATAAAAATATAATTTAGGGTAGAAGGTTAGATATACCCTCTTTTCTACCCTCTTTTCTACCCCAGTTATTTTATAAGCGTTTTACATGGTAAACATTGTGAATTCGTGAAATTCTAAACAATTTCGTAGCTTCTATTTCTTCTGTCAGTACATCGAATGTTTTAACTATGCCGAATGTTTCTTTATATTTCTTCTTGACGTCAGATAGAAGGAAATCGTCAGCTGTTGGATAGTTTTTGTTTAGAAATGTCAACATGTCCATTTTATCTTCTGCTGGTTTCTCTGCCTCCCTCTTTAAGTCAGCATAGTCGTTTCGCATACGTTCTATCTCTTTGACGGAGTAGTTATATTTCCTCATTACTGCTTTACATTTTGAACATTGTGGGTTCATTTTAGCATTGTACATTGAAATCTTACCTGCTAGTATGACTAAGGCGTCAATTGCTCTCTTTAACTCAAAAGTTGCGGGTTTTATCTGTTCATTCCATATCTTACCTCTTCTATCTTTATCTCTTATCTGCCATACACATTTTGCAACTAACGAAACAAAGTTGTCGTAGGTCTTAAACTCCCCAGATTTGTATATGTCAGAGATGTTCTTATATACCATATCGCAATCTTTGTCCATGACTTTGTGGTTGCAATGAAATCCAAGAAACTCATAGTTAACCTTTCGTATGAACTTCTTTATTTCTACTGAGTCAGTTGCTTTGACTTCTATTTCATCGAATTCTGGAATAGTAAGCTTTTGTTGTTGGATTTCAGGTAGTTTAGGCAAATGGTCAATAATGTCCTGCATTTCATAAAGATACTGTTCATTTGTTTCATCTTTCGCAGTGCAATCTAAATCTCCTTGGAGAAGTTCTTGCTTTATCTTCTGGATTGTTGTTTCGAAAGTATATGAAGAAGGAATGAAGCTTTTCATCTCTACTAACATTGAAGTTGGGTTCATGACTAAAGAGTTTGGTGCTGTTGTTGCTAACATGTTCTTACAATAAAAATAAAAAATATTTTTTTAAAAAAACCAACTTTATTTTTTATTTCGGGAAAACTCATGACAAATTCAAGAGGGTAGAAAAGAGGGTAGAAAAGAGGGTAGATATACCCTTCTACCCTAAAATATATTTTTGCTGAAAAAGTGTCATTTTTTCATGTCCGAAGACTCGAAGGTGCAACACTTCCAAAATACCGACGAACTCAGAAGAGCAGCATGGCAGTATCTTCTTGACAACTTCTTTGAGTTCTCCAGGTACACCTTGGAAAATGCTGAAGAACTCCGACACAGAGAATTTGGAGAAATTGCACTCCAATACTACATTGACAAACAAAGGGTAAACAAAGGGTAAAATAAGACTAAAAACTTAACGTTTAAAAAGTGACATTTTTATGAGCTCCGAGTCACCGAGAAAACTTGGTCAGATGTTAGCAGCTTACTTCCCTGAGGAGGATGGAAGCGTTACATACATCAGGTTCAAAAACAACGAACCTGGAATTGCGTACCAAATTCGCAATTACATGACCATGGAAGAGTACGAAAGGTTTCTACAAGAGAAACCAGCTCTAAACAACTCAGAAAAGAAAGAATAAAAAGTTTAACTCGTAATTGTTTATTTTTTTACTTGTATGGGCAAGCTGCAAGAATGAAGTCGACTATCTCGGTCTTTGTCTTGACCAGTTGGACTGCTCTTGCGAGTACGTCTGTTTTGCGGTCTCCAGCTGGTGTCTGACCTTCGTAATTGCGCATGTTCTTGAGAGCTCCAGTTGTAAATGGTTGTAGGATGAAGAGTCTCTCAGACTGCTTGAGGTAGTCTTCACGGTCACGAACCGAATCTGTGGTACGAGTCGAATCGGTCGATTTGAGGGAAGAGACTGAAAGCCTGTCGTCTTCCATAGGGGCTGTGGCATACTCTTTGCGTAAGCGGTTCAGACCTTCTTCGAACTCTTGGTCTCTCTTCGATTGGGATTGAGATTGGAATTGGGGTGGAGGGTTTGACATGAACATCCAAGGGTTAGGGAAGTAAGGCATGGGTTGAGGAGGGTAGTTTGGAAAGCCTTGTGGTGGGTAGTAACCTTGAGGTGGGTAGTAACCTTGAGGTGGAAATTGGTAGTAATTCGGAGGTCCTTGTTGGAACTGAGGTTGCTGTGGGTAGCCTTGTGGAGGTGGAACCTGTTGTGGTGCTGGAGCATGCTGTTCTCTGGCTGTGGAACGGGTTCAGTAGGTGGGACGTCGGACATTCGTTTGTGTCTTAACCGTCTTTGTTCTGAAACAATATAATATTGTCTTGAAAAAGTACAACATTGTCTTGAAAAAGTACAACATTGTCTTGAAAAAGTACAACATTGTCTTGAAAAAGTACAACATTGTCTTGAAAAAGTACAACATTGTTCTGAAAAAGTTCAAGACTTGTTCTGAAAAAGTACAGCTGTACTCAAATTTGAGAGACATTGTACTGAATTTATACAACATTGTTCTGAAAAAGTACAACATTGTTCTGAAAAAGTACAATATTGTCTTGAAAAAGTACAACATTGTCTTGAAAAAGTACAACATTGTCTTGAAAAAGTACAATATTGTACTGACTCAGTATGGAGCTTGACCCCTTAGACGAAGCAATTTATCTAATTGAGGTAAATGAAACCGTGAAGGAATATCTCAGCAAGTGCAAACCAAGCAAGTCCATTGGCTTCTGGTTGTCCAAGAATAGTGTCTTAAAGTTGGAAATTGAAACAGGTGTTGCAATTCAAGTTCCAGAAGGCACTGCATTCGATGATATTAAGGATGTGAAGAAAGAAGCCCTCTTGAAGTTCTTCATGAAACGTCCTTGGATACTACTTCCATATCGTGAGAGCCCAATTCCACGAATTACACAAATTCTCAGAGCACTACTTCACTACTCTGGACAGCCGTTCTTCATAACCTCAGAAGGCGACATCCAACAATTCTTCAAGCCAGTTCAGTAAACATCTCATTTTAACTTCACTTTTTTTTATGTTTTTACTCACACTCGTACTCAACAGGTTTGTGTACAACTATTTCAACTGTGAACCTTGTATTGACCGGTCTTCCTGCAAATGCAAGTTCGGTCAATACACAATTTATGGTGGCAAGAAACAGTGGGGAATGTTATTCTGACATCTGTTGTTGCGCTCGAGAGAGAATTGAAATTCCAGACCCAACTCCAACACCAACACTCAAGTTGCCAAAGACTCATGTGAAGAAGAAGCCTTCTGGTAAGTTTCTTATAGCCATATACATGGCACGCTTTGAGTAAAAACATTTTTTTCATTTTTTGAATGAAGCAAGTTAAATTCGTCCCACACCAATCTCAATGGACCGATGAAGAGTTTCAAGCTATGGTTGAAGGTGTTGAGAACGACATAGACGGCGAACTTGAAGGAGCTCAAACCACAATTGCAACCAAAATTGCAGAAGTCAAGGAACAAATAGCTCCACTTAAAGCTACCAAAGCTACTCTTGACCTCATGGATACTTACCGTTTAGAAGTAAAGAGTGGAATAAGACAATTAAAATTAAAACTTCTAAACTACGAAGCTATACTCCAAAAGTTAGCAGAAATGAGAAGACTTTACCAGAGCTACTTACATGTAAGGGACTTACCTTCAAGCAGTCCGACCAAAGATGAATTTTCTGACATTGTCCCAATTTTGTCCGAAAGTCAGCTCAGATGTTTTGAACTGCTCCCAACATATCCAGAATATGAACGTTTGCCTGAACTCTTCCGCAATCTCAAAAACGTTTTTTGGTTCTCATGTTCGAAACTTTTATCGGAAGAGACAACAAACGTTCAGAAGAAGAACAAGATATTATTTTAAACTTGTTGTATGACTTAACCGTCATAACAAGCTTTTTGAAGTAAAACCGTCATTCTCAAACCACTTCATTTTTTCGATGTCCGAACAAGCACCGAAGCCGAACACAATGGCAGATGTCCTTTCAATGTTGCCAGACAAGCGCCCAGTTCAAATTCAAATTTTGAATTTGAAAGCTCATCTGACAAACACCGTTAAGACTCTCCAAAGTAGTCTTATGGAAGAGATGAAGGGACTTAAAGGTGAGTTCCTCATGAACCAAGCTTCCAATGAGAAAGTCCTGAACGATTTGACGGAAACCTTGCGCATTTACGCGAGAGAGAACCGAGACCTTGCCAGACTCATCTACCGTTTCTTCGAAGAGATAGACGCCATCTGGAAGGTACTCGGAAAGGACAGAACCTCCAACACCGTACTTCGTGAACACAGAATTGCCGAAGGAATTGTCGAGGAAGAAGAGAAACACGAAGAAGAGGAAGAGGAAGAAGAGGAAGAAGAGAAACACGAAGAAGAGGAAGTTTGGGCAACCCTTGTTGCCGATGACACTTACGAAATTTCCCAACCCTACCCATACCAAATCCGCAACAAGGAGACCGGCAAGGTTCTTACCCCAGTTCTCAACAACTTGGGACACTTGAACCTTACCCTTCGGAATTACGGTTCAATCTCCATGGGCAAGCTTGTCGCAATTCAATGGGTTCCAAATCCAAACAAGAGGACGAAGGTCAGACACATTGACGGTGACAAGCTCAACAACCGTAAGGAGAACCTCGAGTGGTTCTAAGAGTAAAAAAATTTTATTTTAGGGGGAAACCCCGAGTAAATTTAAGTTTTTAGTTGCGTAAGCGGCTTAAATTAAGGATAATTTGGACAAGTAGTTCCTGACCTCTGAATTGGACTCTTTCGTCATCCCAGTTGCGTAGGAGGTCGTCCCAGAGGAGTTGGTAGAATTGCCATTCCAAGGACGATTTGTCCTCCCAGGCATTGAGGATGTACTGCTCGTAGAGTCTCATGACCTCTGCCTTGCACCAGACACCCTCTCCCTTGGAACGTAAGGCTTCTTCGAAGTGCTCGAATGCGATTGGCTGCGGGACCATCCGAAATGACACTTTTTGTCCGTTTGGTCAATGTTCGTGTCTCGTGCCATAGTCGACGAAAATACAGACAAACAGGTTATATATGAGTTTGAGACCAAGAATGGTGTAACTCGACCTGTCCGATTCAAATTCGAATAAAAATTTTTTATTTCATGCAATGTTTTATTTCTGTGCCGTCTTCAAGTATGCCCCAGTACTTACGCTTGGAGAGGACATGAACTTCGGTGAAAATTTTGTCCAATTTGAATTGACCCATCTTTTCACCGACCATTCCCATTTCAATGAGTTTGTTATAGCCTTCTTCGTTCGTCATGAGTGCGTCGATGTTCTCATAGTAAACCTTCACTTTGGATTTGACTTCGGAGAAGAATTTGTTGTAGTTGTCAAGGACTGCCTTTGCGAACTGAGGGTAAGACCAATGTTCGACAATAGGTTTTACTGTGGTTACTAAGCCACCTTGACCTTGAGTAAATTCGTATTTCAAAACAAAAGGGGAGAACCTTTCAACAAAGTTGTCGACCTTCTCATAGTGTTTACTCTTCATCTTTTGAGGTTTCTTAATGGAATATCCCCATGTCGAATTCATAAGCAATTTGAGTGTCATTGCAAGTTTGGGGTTTGAAGCTTTCCTAATATCATACAGTTGTTGTATGACTTTTCCAACTGTATAGTTCCTTCCTGGGAACTCACCGTCTTCGTTTGGAATTCCAGTCGGGATATATTGGACGAACCTCATGTATGCAGCGTTAAGGTCGACATAGTATATCTTTTCATCTGAGTCGAACTTGTCGCAACCAATGGGTCCAGTTCGTGGAAATTCAAGTGAGTCTCTTATCTTCTGAGAAACTTCGCCTGCTATCTCATAAACATCGTCGAAGCAACCTGTTTCATATAAAACCTTCTGACCTAACTCAGATGCTCTCCAATACAATTTGACGTCAATTGGATGTCTCAATGGAAGTTTGTTTATAGCATCTTGAAGTTCTTGCAACCTCATTGGAAGTTCTTCTGGTTCAGGTTGGTATCCGAACAATCCAACTCCTTTTGGAACTGTGTACTTCTTTTGTGCTATAACTTTGTCTGGAACAACTTTTGGTCTTGCTAACAATGAAAAGTTTGTTTCGTCTTTTGGTACAAAAGTTTCTGTCAGCTTGTCATCTGGAATTGGTTCCAACAAACCTTTCTCGAAAAGAATGTTTACAGCTCTGACAATGTTGCACTTGCCTTTTCCGAACAATGGGTTTGTAAGACTTTCGTTCAACATGAAGTGGTTGTGGACAATTACAATCTTCAACCATGGTAAGTCTTTGTCAACAACATAGTCGTCATGTGAAGAACCTTTAGCTGTAGGTATGTTGACTCGGATATTGACATTTGCCAACGGTGCAACTTTTGCCAATTGACCTCTGAGAATGTACCTTGTCTTCACACATGACTCAAGATACTTCATCTTCTCATCTGTAACAAGACCAGAGTTCCTGAGACATGTAAGAATACAAGGTTCATTGACAATTTTTCAATTGAATTGTAAATTCCATACCTTGTCAAGTCAATGTCAGACTTATTTATGAACGGGAAGTATCCAGCATGTTGTCTGACTGCTTGAGGGTTAGGTTGGTACCATTCAAATTTTACACTTGCAATTCCTTCAATTGCATTCAAAATGTCTGAGTCGGAGTCAACCATTTGTTCTCTCTTTGTAGTCTTGAAAGCGTCAAGAAGTTGTGCGGCTGTTGTGACATTGCCATGTGCATAGTAAATGTGACCGTCCAAATCTGTTACGGTTAGTCTGAGATTGTATCCTTTCTTATTTCCGTCTTGTATGGCAGCAAGTACTCCCATGAAGCCTTCTTTGTTCTTTCCTTCGTCAAAGTTTACTGTAAAGGTTCGACCAGATGTAATTTGACTTCTAACTTCACGTACTTTTCATATGCATATCTTGTTCTTTCCATGGGAGCATGTTTGT